AAGTGCAAGGCGTACTGCGAGGAGGGCGAGACCTGCTCGGGGCACGGGACATGCCAAGGAGACGGGAGCTGCGCCTGCGAGGGCGGGTGGGGAGGAGAGCGGTGCAGCATGTGCACGGGAGGGTACGGGGAGCAGTGCGAGGTACGGTGCGAGGAGGACAAGGACTGCTCGGGGCACGGGCGGTGTCAGGAGGATGGGAGCTGCGAGTGCAAGCAGGGATATACTGGTTTGGATTGTGGAGTTTGCGCAAATGGTTTCGTTGGAGCGTATTGTGATGTCATGTGTGACCCTGTTTTGAATTGTTCTGGTCATGGATCGTGTGACTTTGATGGATCCTGCACCTGCAATGAAAATTTCACTGGGCAGCGCTGCGATGTTTGTGATTTGAACCTTTTTGGTTCATCATGCGATGTATTCTGTGACTCGACACACACATGTTCAGGGCATGGAACCTGTTTGTTTGATGGATCATGCCAATGCGAAGGCAACTTTATTGGGCAGACCTGTCAATCATGCTCTGCTGGATACTATGGAGGGAATTGTACCTCATATTGTGTAGATTCCGTCACTTGTAATGGCAATGGAAGGTGTAATTTTGACGGGAGTTGCGATTGTTACGACCTAAGAACTCATCCATTTTGTTTGGATTTAGCTCCAAACATAAGTGTAGGTTGCTTCCAGCCAATGGCACTGCTATGCAGTACACGATTTTCTTCTTGTAGAACGGACGGTATCAGGAGCGCCTGTGAATGCGATATATCTTATTTCCAATGTATGCTTGATGCTGGTTGTGCACGGTCAAAGCTTGCAGAAAGTCTAGCTGACTTGTGTTTGTTGAACTCAACACAAGCTATCGCGAACCAGCATCCTCCCGATGATCGATTTATGTACAATTTCGGTGGAAGTGAACATCATTCAGTTGTCGTTTTGGGCCTAGGTTTTGGTCTTGCAGATTTCTCAGTTCGATCCAGTGTTGGTTACACAGCTTGTGAAGCAACAATCTGGTCTAGTGATTCCTTCATTACCTGCAAAGCCCCTGCGGGGTATGGAGGCTCACAATCCATTGCTGTCACGTTGAGAAGACTGACCGGGACGTCAGAAGCAGCGGTTTCATTCGACGCTTTTCAACTTCGGACACCTCAAAGCATGACAAATCGCCATCAAGGGTCGTTCTCTATTGAATATCCTGCATATAATTTGTCCTCACATCTTTTTAGTCCTGCGTTAAGATTGGGATTGACAGCGTGTGAGCAATCAGAATGGACTTCCAGCACTTCTATTCTATGTACTGTTCCAAGAGGTGGAGGATCAAGCGTTCAGATGTCACTGACAGCCTCAGCGTTAGTTAGTAGCGTATCAGAAGTCTACTCATATGACAAGCTCTCAATATCGAGCTCAATCAAATCGAATTTCGTGGCGGATTGGAAATCAAGTAAATTGCACATACATGGACTCTTTGATAGTGCAACGACGTCGATGGCTGTGCGCATTTCTTCCTCTCGCTCGCTTTTTACTCAGTGGTATTCTGATTCATCAATCTCTTGTAGAGGAGCATCTTCTGTTGGATCGTCTCTGAATCTTGTGATCACATCGAGCTTACTAAGCTCATCTTCGACGGAAATGTTGTCATACGATACAGCTCAAATAGAGCGAATACGATCAGCTGTCCTTCATAAGACATTTAATTCATACATACTGGAAACCCCAAGTTCATTTAATCCAAGGGGTACGAATGATGCAAATCTCCTTGGTGTGTTGGAATCTTATTTGGTACCGGTGTCTATGCCAGTGCAATTCCTGAACCAATCAATTTGCTCTAACCTTACAAATATATCGCATTTCAACAACTCGCAAGCAATGTTTCGAATGGGACCTACTTGAACATGACGGCCTCGCACTTCACGAATATGTCTAACTGGACGAACCTGACAAGGGTACAGCTGAGCATTTTCGGTTGGTTTGACGGATATGACTCTTCGGCAACTATCCGTACAGGATCCAGTGCATGCGAAGCGAGCATGTGGACATCGAGCACAGCTTTGGCTTGTCGAATGGCTGATGGGGTGGGCGGCTCATTGCGCATCGGTGTCACCGTGGGAGAGATAGTCGGAACCAGGACGGAAGCCGTCACGTACAGCGTCCCTCATCTACGACCAGCACTCGAGCAGGGACCTCCAGGACCAGCTGTAGGTGGGGGCGAGGTCAGGCTTGAAGGGTACGGCATAGGAGTAGCAGACATGAGTGCAATGGGCCGGGTGTGGATATCGAGCTGCGAGGGCACCGAGTGGGTATCGGACTCGATGGTAGCATGCAAGCAAGCGCAAGGAATCGGGAAGGAGCTACGGGTATCTGTTACATCGGGAAGCTTGGTAGGGACCGTAGCTGCAGGAGCTGCCTACGCCGCACCCTCAGTGCTGTACGGGAGTTGCAGCCATGCTGCGCGGGATACATGCAGCGTGAACTACACGCAGTGCGTAGAGAGCAACAGCACAGGTGAAGGCAGGTGCGCCTGCGAGGTTTCATTTGCAGACTGCTTGGGCAAGCAAGGCTGCGCGGACCATTCACGGCTACTGGCATTCCAGAGCACGTGCCCACAGAACTGGACGCTATACTCGGGACACCTTACTTTGAGTGACCTTGCCAACGCTTCATTGGTATCGAACCGGGCAGGGTCAGGAAAGCGACCAGCAGTGACGATTCATGGTATGGATTTCGGAGAAGCAGGGTACACGATTGCTGGGAGGGCAGGAGTGAGTGCATGCGAGGCAACGTCTTGGACCTCAGACAGCGCAGTGGCATGCAGCCGAGCTCCTGGTAAGGGCTCGAGTATGGCAATCACAGTCACGGTTGGGGAGCAAGTCGATACGACGATGACCAGTCACTCGTTCGACCATGCAGAGATATCTAGCGGGCGTGGGGTGAACGTAGCAGGGAGCGGCTCGATGTGGACATGGATAGCAGGGACAGGCTTGGGGATATGGGATCTATCGCTCAGGGGGCGGCTTGGAGGGAGCGAGAGCGAGGCGACGACGTGGACATCAGACAGCGCGATCACATGTCAGGCAGGGATAGGCACGCGAGGCAGTCATTTGATTAGTATCAGCGTGATGCAGGAGAGCTCGACATTGAGCGAGGCTGTTTCGTATAACAGTCCTGTGCTGAACCTCTCTGCAGTAGTTACTTCACTGGCGGAGACAGTAGAAGAAGGGTTTATGTGGCCGGGTAGCCTGATGAACACACCAGCGTCGTCGAATGGCACATTTCTTGTGGGCAATGTTTCGAATGGGACCTACTTGAACATGACGGCCTCGCACTTCACGAATATGTCTAACTGGACGAACCTGACAAGGGTACAGCTGAGCATTTTCGGTTGGTTTGACGGATATGACTCTTCGGCAACTATCCGTACAGGATCCAGTGCATGCGAAGCGAGCATGTGGACATCGAGCACAGCTTTGGCTTGTCGAATGGCTGATGGGGTGGGCGGCTCATTGCGCATCGGTGTCACCGTGGGAGAGATAGTCGGAACCAGGACGGAAGCCGTCACGTACAGCGTCCCTCATCTACGACCAGCACTCGAGCAGGGACCTCCAGGACCAGCTGTAGGTGGGGGCGAGGTCAGGCTTGAAGGGTACGGCATAGGAGTAGCAGACATGAGTGCAATGGGCCGGGTGTGGATATCGAGCTGCGAGGGCACCGAGTGGGTATCGGACTCGATGGTAGCATGCAAGCAAGCGCAAGGAATCGGGAAGGAGCTACGGGTATCTGTTACATCGGGAAGCTTGGTAGGGACCGTAGCTGCAGGAGCTGCCTACGCCGCACCCTCAGTGCTGTACGGGAGTTGCAGCCATGCTGCGCGGGATACATGCAGCGTGAACTACACGCAGTGCGTAGAGAGCAACAGCACAGGTGAAGGCAGGTGCGCCTGCGAGGTTTCATTTGCAGACTGCTTGGGCAAGCAAGGCTGCGCGGACCATTCACGGCTACTGGCATTCCAGAGCACGTGCCCACAGAACTGGACGCTATACTCGGGACACCTTACTTTGAGTGACCTTGCCAACGCTTCATTGGTATCGAACCGGGCAGGGTCAGGAAAGCGACCAGCAGTGACGATTCATGGTATGGATTTCGGAGAAGCAGGGTACACGATTGCTGGGAGGGCAGGAGTGAGTGCATGCGAGGCAACGTCTTGGACCTCAGACAGCGCAGTGGCATGCAGCCGAGCTCCTGGTAAGGGCTCGAGTATGGCAATCACAGTCACGGTTGGGGAGCAAGTCGATACGACGATGACCAGTCACTCGTTCGACCATGCAGAGATATCTAGCGGGCGTGGGGTGAACGTAGCAGGGAGCGGCTCGATGTGGACATGGATAGCAGGGACAGGCTTGGGGATATGGGATCTATCGCTCAGGGGGCGGCTTGGAGGGAGCGAGAGCGAGGCGACGACGTGGACATCAGACAGCGCGATCACGTCTCGCTGCGTAGCAGGGGGTATGGGCAGCCATGTCATTGCCATCACAGTGTTGAAGGAGGTGTCAAGCGTTTCTGTTTCGTATAACAGTCCTGTGCTGAACCTCTCTGCAGTAGTTACTTCACTGGCGGAGACAGTAGAAGAAGGGTTTATGGGGTCAGTATCTGTTTCGCGATTCACACTCGGTGGTTCAATTGGGTCGTCATCCATTTCTTCGACATCTTGGTTGAGTAAATCATCTTTGACTTGCAAGGCTTCTCCGGGCTTTGGTCATTCCAAACAGCTGTTGGTTACTACCAGTATGCTTACGAGTAGTGTGTCAAATGTTTTGTCATTTGATCGTCACGAAGTTGTGGGATTTTCTTCGAATCATTCCAATTTCCTATCAAGAGCACCGTTGTCTCTTCGCGTTTTAGATGCATATCTTCCCCAAAGTGCTAGTGCCAGACTAGGACGTACAGCCTCCGAACTGACTGAATGGATATCAGAATCGGAAATTATTTGCAAGACGTCCTCCTCTCTTGCACGATCGCATGCTATAGCTGTAACTTCAGCTATGATTTCTTCAAGTTTGTCGGATGTGTTGAGTTTTGACAAATTAACGATGACCTCAGAAAACATTTCTGTGACTAACTTGGCAACTGTTGGGCTTTCCCAGGTAGAGATCATAGGTCAAAACTTTCTGGTCTTCGCTTCTAGTCCCATGATGCGAGTTGGCCAATCATCTGCGGAGCATTCAAAGTGGATATCAAATTCTGCGATGACATGTAGATCGCCATCCGTTGTTGGTTCATCCTTGAGGTTGTCAGCTACAATGAGTCTTGGAGTAGGAACACTCACCGAGAGCTTCAGTAGCGACAGACCTGTTGTCTTCCAGCGAAAGTCCTCTAGTCAGTATTGTGATTATTTCAGAATTGCACACTGTTCCTCACAGAGGATAGATTGTTATGGAAGAAATGGAGTTTGTGAATGTGATTCAATCTTTGCTGGATGCTTGCAAGAAATCGGGTGCACTGCAAACTTATCGATGTTCCAAAGGCTGTTTGCTGCTAGTTGCAACGATGATCTTATCAATCCCCCGCTTGCAAGTGATACATGGCTTAGCACAGCAAAGCCCAGGAAGCAAGACGTCTTTGGGTCTTCTATTGGGATGCGGGCATTGAGTGCTGTAGGTAGAGGGGGAGGTACCTCTTGCGAAAGGACTCAATGGTATTCCGATTCATCAATGACACTTTCAACAAGCACCGGCTCTGGAGGATCCAAGCAGATAGTTCTAACATCCATGAATCAAGTTGGAACTCTAACCAATGGCTATGGGTATGAAGCAGGGAAGCTAATGCTAGTGAACCGTTCAAACCTTCCAACAGATGCTCACACAGTAATAATTCAAGCTCAAGGAGTATCTTTCGGTCTTGGAAGTTCTTATTCTAGTTCTTCTCGCCTTGGACGAAGCTCGGCCACCGCAACTGAATGGTTATCAGACTCGTCAATGTCTTTGCGAGCAGTACAAGGACTTGGCAAGTACCTTGCTGCATCAATAACCTCGGGAATAAGAGTTGAAACCAGTGTAAATCAATTCTCTTTCGATCAAACTTTACATCAATCTTATTCCTGGCGTAGCAATCTCACTGTTACTGGCAGGAATTTGGGATATTTTGATTCGAGTTTGAAGAATAGTTTTGGTTACACCGCGTCAGAGGGGACTTCATGGAAATCAGATAGCTCAATATTTTGCGTCATACCACATGGGATTCCTGATTCGAGCGATGTTGTAACCACTATCATGAATCAAATCTCAACACAATCCAAAAGTTTTTCGTATCAGCCCCCAGAGCTCAACTTGGTTTATTTCAAACCTTCCTGCAAATCTTTGCTGAATGTCACAAATGAGTCCAAATGTTCTCACTTTGTTGTCGCTGTCGGAGGAGACATTCTTTCCATGTATGGAGCTTCTCTTGGTCGGTCTTCGTTTTCAGTTGCAATACGGAGTGGGGGTACATCTTGCCAAGCATCCTTGTGGAATTCTGATACCCAAGTCTCCTGCAAACTAGGAGCGGGGCAGGGTATTCAACTTTCATCGCTTGTAACGATAATACAGCTTCAAAGCACTGCACAAGCTTTATTCAATTTTTCCACTCCTTGCATTAGCTCGACAAAGTTGACAAATGGACCGCCTGGAGGAAAACAACTCGTCACGATCTCTGGGAGCAACTTCGGAACTGTTGATTACAGCCAGAATGTTGCGCTGAAGTATGCAGGATCATCCTGTGAAAGATTTGAATGGACATCAGATTCGTCAGTGACATGTTTGACTCATCCTGGCCTGGGACAAGGTATTGATTTATTCTTCATCCAATATCAGAACGTATCCAATTGCAATGAATTTTCATCGCATTTCACCTACGATGCTCCAGAGGCTTTGAATATTACCCCTACAGTTCTACCTGCCTTGGCTGGACAGACCTACCCGAAGTTTACTGGTCAAGTGACGATAACGGGAAGGAACTTTGGAATATATCCACCTACAACAGTGAAAGCAACCATTGGCGAGACTTACTGCTTTGATGTCTCTTGGATTGCAGACACATCAATCGTGGCTATCGTGCAGCCTGGTGAATTTCTCCAACACTTTATTCCCAAGTATCCAGTTCAAGTTGCTTTGGAAGGCAGACTAAGTAGTTTTCTTCCAAATGCGATGAATTTTTCGATCCCACTTATAACTGACGTCTCCATTTTCTCTGATTTAGTCGCGACTGGTGCACAGACTATACTGCATGTGCGATTCTTGAGTACGACTCAAATTCCTGGCGACGCGAGTATAGAATTTTCATATTCAGTGGCTGCATCATTCAATGTTCAACAGCCGTACAAAGTTACGCAAGTGATGGGACTAGATGGCAATATTCTCCTACAAACATTCACGCCAAGACAATTTACTGATTGTAATCTTCTCAAATGGCAGACGATCAACGATCTATCTTGCACTGAGTCTGCTTTATGTCGTCCCAACTTGCATGGAATGTGTGAGAACAGGTCCGGAGTTTTGTGTTCGGGGCAGAGGAATTTTTCAGAAGCATTGCAATTCTGTGAGAGTTTTGGAACCAGACTTTGCTCCAGCGAAGAATTATCGTCCCTTCCTCCTTCCTTCGTCTCTTCATGTGGATATTCGAGCGGGGATTATATTTGGACGGGCACAGCGTCCAACATTACCGACAATCAAGCAGAATTCTTCATCGTTGCTAGAAATGAATCGACTGGTCAAGTGCAATCTGTGCTATCTTCTAGACTCGAAAACTCTCATTTCGTACAGTGTTGTTCTGATTACATTACTAGCCAGGTAGTCATTCTCAGTCGGTCGGGCAATTGTTCGCAAACACCAACGGGCCAACTTGTGGAGATCGGCATTCCAGTCCGGCTGCCTCTGACAGCTGGAAAGCAGATCCGATCGTCGCTGAGTATTCGAACAGCAAACGGCGTATCGATCGCATTGGGGACAAACATACCAATTGCTGATGTCATCCCTGGTCTTCCAGATGCGAATATGAGCACATTGATCTATCTGAATGAAACATATCTATTCGCGAAGTCCTTGCGGGCCGGCACAGTCGGAATTGTGAATGTGCTCACCAGGGATGTTTTTGGAAATGTGCGCACTGTTGGACTATCGTCTAACATCAGATTCACTTCCTCATTCGTTGGTCAGAGCTTTGGCTCGACAGCAACATCTGACTCCTTGGATGGAAGACTTGGAGTATCGTACACTGCGACAGCTGCAGGCAGATATAGCCTGTCAATTCTGCTGAACGATATACATATTTCTGGAAGCCCGTTTCAAGCCGTAGTGGTGCCAAATGATGTGAATACAACTGTTTCATCCATATCCTTTTCTGCTGGATTCAGTGTTGGTGTAGTTGGCACGACAAGGTCGGTCACTGTGATCGCTCGGGACCGTTACGGAAATCTAATATCAACCTCGACTCAAATCATTTTTGACCTCTACGTCATAAGGTCTGTAGATAGTTTTCAACAGCTCACGATGAAACTATTTCCTGATAACACAACAACGCTTATAGTAACAAAAAGTGGCTTGTTTTCTGTATCTGTCTTCTACAAATCTCAGCTGATATCTCCAATATCAGTTTTGAGTCTCAGCCCGGGCTTCACAGACCCTTCTCAGACACTTATTTTCGATAATTATGGTGGAGTCATTACGGATGTAGTTTCTTTCTCTATTCAAGCTCGAGATTTATATGGAAACGATCGGACTCAAAGCACTGACACATGGGACATATCCATCGTTAATCCTTCGTTGCAAACAGTATTTGTGACTACTGTTACACCATTTCCAACTATAGGCGGGCTATACATCGTTGAGTTCACGGCTCCGAATGAGAAAGCAAATCTCACAGCTAACGTGAAACTGAGTGGCAAAAACGTTGCTGGAAGTCCGTTTACTTTAATCATTGTTGATGAAGCTGGTCCTGCAGATGCAGGTCGCTCCAAGGTCACTGGATTCAACTCAGACGCCAACCTTGCAACCAGGGGGACGGCAGGAATCTTGTTTTCTTTCTCTGTACAGATCAGAGACTTTCGAGGCATCAACAAACGAAGTGGAGGAGATAATGTCTCCTACTCGGTTGACTCTGGTCCAAAGATTCGCATGACAGATTTGCAAAATGGGAAGTACAATGCAAGTGTGGTGAGATATATCGTTGGAAATTACGTGATTCGTGTTTTCTTGAACGAGATTCTTCCTATCGACAAGAGCCCCTACAATTTGACCATCGTTCCAGCTGTACCCAGTGGACCGACAAGTATTGTATCCGGTGATGGTTTGCTGACAATAACAGCAGGAGTACTCTCAACATTCAATGTACAATCATTTGATGCTTTCGGAAATGCTATCAGGTATCAGCCTGACCAGACACCTCATGTTATCGTGTCACAACTGACTGGCCCATCGATTGTCCCTGTGAGCATAGTATACACAAACTTCATGCATGTAGCAAGTTACGTCGTCACGCGGTCTGGTGCTTATTTGTTGAACATATTATTGTCTGATAGCAGTAGGGTAGGCAGAAGTCCGTACAACGTTACTGTGTTTTCTAATCAACCTTCTTCAAGCACATCGCGATTGTATTCCAAATCTACTTCGATGACGGCTGGAGTCTCATCAACCTTTGCAGTTGACTTGAGAGATGTCTTTGGAAATAATTACATTTCGACTCTGCCTTATCTTGTACGGTTGAACATCAAAAGGGTTTGTTCTGTAGAACCTTGCAATCCAAATCTACTGCTGGTCGCACAACAGAATGCCCTTGCGCGGTTTACGTATGAAGTGGGAATTATATTGACGGTGTCAGGCAACTACGTGATAAATTCCACCTTGGGAGGACTCAATATAGTTGGCTCGCCACTTGCATTTTCAGTTCTTCCAAGTGCTATTGATATCACAAAAACTTTGTTCAGCATCACATTCTCAGACTTCAATATCGTACAACTTGGTGATCGGAGCAATATTATCATTGTAACCAGAGACAGATTTTCTAACAATCTGACAGATGGAGGTCTCGTGTTCAGTGCAAGTGTTGTGTCAAGCCCGTCAACGGTTCTAATCACTTTTAGCTTTCAGGACTACGTCAATGGCACATACATCATCTCATGGAAGCCTGCCGATAAGGGGCAATACAACCTTCAGCTGTATTGGGGACAAGATGCATTGAATGGAATCTTACAAATGTATGTGATTCCTGCAGCGACAGATCCCAATCTCTGTGTTGTACAGCCTGCAATACCATTTTTCTTTGTTGCTGGTGTTACTACAACTTTCTCAATTCAAGCAAGAGATGGCAGTGGTTCTAATAAGCCAGATTTGTTTGCTTTTTCGAAGGGTTGGGAGAAAACTGAAAGTTTCGTTGTAGCCCAATACGATACTGTCGGCTCGATGATGATGAATAGAACCTGTGCATTTGGAACGAGCACATACGAATGTACTTTCGTATTAATGATTGCTGGCTCGTACACTTTGAGAGTGATATATGGACCACAACTTCTCAATCTTCCAGGTTCACCGAGAACTATTAAGGTCAGCCCAGGTCCTATAGTAGCGCAAGGATGTACTTACCAGGCATTGACTATAGCTACTGCTGGATCTGTGCAAAATTTTTTCATTCAGACCAGAGACCTATACGGTAACCTTGGTGAGTACGATCCCTTCTCTTCCACCACTATCAGGTTTTCAATCAAAGTGGTGAATTCTCTGAATATAGAAATTCCGTGCTATTCTGCAAAAGGATGCATGTTGAATAATCTTAATGGAACTTTCACTGCGCAAGCTCTCTTGACCCAAACAGGACGGTACAACGTCATGATACAACTATCTGGAATCAACATTCGCGGGAGCCCCGCAGAGTTTTCTGTGACTTCTTCTGTTGTAGATTTGTCGAAATGCACTGTTCGAACCTCTGATGCGCTATCAGGATCCACGTTACCATTGTCGCTGTCTACAGCAGGGACTATACAGAATATGTTGATATTCATTCGTGACAGATTTGGTAATCTTGCAGCAGAAAATTCGGTCTTGGACCTGTCGATGAGTAAGAAACAAGCATTTATTGGGGAGGAGCAAACAGTAATTACGTACTCTCCAACTTATCAAGTTGCTGACAAGGCTTGGAAAGTAATGTCCACCATCACGAGGAGTGGAGATTGGTCGCTTAAAGTGAACGTGATAATCAATGCAGCCTCAGTTCCTATCTCCGGTTCACCATTTGCAATTCGGATGTTACCCGATGCTGTTTATGCTCCTAGTTGCTATGCTGAAGGAACAGGGCTAAGCAGCACGGCCAAGACCCAGACATCAACAATTTCAATCGTTCAGTCTGATAAATACGGAAATGTCATCACCAGCGACTTGTCAAGATTCACATGGTACATCAATCAGGGACAAAAGACAGATGCAACATTCGAAGGAAATGGAATTTACACTTTCAGCTACGTGCTTTCAAGTCTGGGGTTTTATCAATTATCCGTCATCCTAACCGAGGTATGTGTAACACCGGATACCTGTACCCCTGATGGGCGAGGAATTCTCAAGAGTCCTTTTAGAGTGGAATGCATCAGCAACGTCGGACCAGTTTCTCCTCTAGAATCGACAATGGTCGGCAGCTCATACATGTTTCGAAGTGCTGATTCTGTAGATCCAATCGTGGTCCAAACCAGGTATCTACAAGTGTGCGATTGTATCATCGTGTGTGCTGATTCATGTTCTGCAGGGATAGCTCAGGATTGCCGCTCTTGGGAGAAGATGTTCAGATACAAGGAGTCAAAATCAATGTTAGGGTTTCTTCGTCCAGCATTCCAGTGATCGACAACAACGATGGAACATTTTCGTTTGTCCCGCGATTGTCAACCGCTGGAATATTTGTCGTATGGGTCGAAGTTGTATCAAGAACAACTACTGCCCATATCAGCAACAGTCCATTCAACCTTCGTATCTTGCCTGGGGCCACAGTTACGTCAAGGACCACTGTTGACTGGAATAGAAAGAGCATTATTACCGGGATATTGCAGGACTTCAGAGTATATGCTCGAGACGTATCAGGCAATATTCAAGTCTATGGGGGAGCAGGTCGAGAAAGTGACCCCTTTTTGCTATATGTAAACGATACTCTATGTGCTTCTGGAAATGTACCCACATGCAAATTTGCTTCGGGCGCTGTACAGTTAGCAACGACAAACGTTGTGGATGAATTGCAGTATTTTGTCTTCTTCCAAGCAACCTTTGCTGCAAACTATAGATTGTCTGTCACTCTTGGAGGCGTAAAAATCGGATTACCCAATGTCATTGAGGTAGTTCCAGGTTCGGTAGATTTTCGTATGTGCACAAGCAATGGTCCAGGAATTACAGGCTCTGTAGCTGGAGAAACGGCAACATTCAGTACATTAGCAAGAGATTCGTTTGGAAACCCTACGAGGCAAATTCAGGACTTGACATTGGTTACAAGATTACAACTCATGTTGCAGGCAAACAATTCGATCACATTTGCACCAACTCGCGTTGATGATGGTTGGCGAACGCAATGGCTCTTGACCAGATCTGGGAATTATTTGATGGATGTCGGTAGTCTGCAGAACTCTACTTTCATCCACAGTCAAGGTTCTCCATTTGCTGTTTTAGTCAACCCAAGCTTGCCCGATGCCACTCTATCGGTTGCTTATGGGACTTCTTTGACCAATGGGAGGGCAGGTTTGACATCTACATTTACAGTGCAGTCCAAGGACTCTTTCGGCAACAAGTATTTTTCATCTCGTCTTCTTGATTATATCACTCACTTGCCAACTTTCAGTTTGACAACTGGAGGCCTTTTCTTCAATGTTCTCATCGGCGGACCACCGTTTCTTTTCGCAAATGTACGATTGTTGTGATTTGAATTGTTGCTCTTTAGCACTGACATTTTAATCAAGGTGGAAGACTTGAATAATCCATCTTCTTCTGCTGTTTCTCCACAGTACAATGGGCAATATGTCGTTACCTATAGGACCACTGTTAGTGCGGTACGAAGTTCGCCCTTTGCCTCAACACTCCACCTGATTTTTGCTCGCAGGACTATTACAAGGTCTCCATCAGGAGAAGTGGCATTCACATATTGGGAAGTCCATACTCGTTGAGAGTGACTGGTGGGATCACCTGTGCGTCAAGATCGGAACTTCGTGGTTCATCACTGTCTGTAAGTACTGCAGGGGTCTTCAGCTCGTTCTGGATCCTCACTAGGGATGAGTTCAACAACAATGTGGTGGACGGAACAGATGTATTCGTCGTATTATTCAGCCCAGATTTGGCAAGAGACTCCAACGATACTGCAATCACTCCGTGGGTGAACGCATCGAAGGGTTATTGTAGCCGTACAACGATTCCATGTTCTACCGATATAACATCTAATTTGTGCCCCAAAGCTTGTGCACGAATGCTGGGGTAATGATTGATTTCTATTTTGCAAACTTTGATGGCCTGACATTGTGCCTTGCAGGTATGTCATTACAAAGGCTGGATTATACAGTATCTCGGTCTCTGTGAACCGAGTCCCTATCAATTTTGTCCCTCAGCAGTTGATCACGAATGCTGCGATTTTAAATGCAACAAACACACTCATTACTGTGGGAGGACAGGCCTTGGATTTATTCAAATCAATCATGGCGGGAGAATCGACTAATCTCCAGATCTATGTTCGAGATTCATATTTCAATCTAGTACCAAACCTTGCTCAAGTAACTGCTTTGATCAGCTACACAGCTGCTGATACAGGAAATCAAGGGTCGATCTCCCTGACTTTGAATCCAGCAGGCTCAGGAACATATCAGAGTACTCTTTCGCCTACCATTTCTGGAAACTACCAATTGACAATCTCTGTGAACTCTGTACCGACACAGCCCAAAACTTTCATAGTGCAATATGGGCTGATTGCAGCCTCTGCGTGTACGCTAGTCGTATCTAACTCAATTGCCACAGCAGGCATTCAAGGAAGCTTTTCTGTTACTGCAAGAGACGCATACGGAAATCAAGTCGGAACAATCAACACCGATACGTTCTCTGCCTCTCTCCTCACAATGCTCTCGGATTCAAATCAAGTGCAGACGGTAACTGCTACTCCAATAATTTCAAACGGAATCTTTTCTGCGCTGTACTATTTGACAAGAGCTGCAGCATATACCATTCGAGTAACAACATCCGGGTTACAAGTCGGAGATAGCAGTCAGATCACTGTAGTCCCGGGTTTGCCGACGTCAGCATTTGCAGGTGGACCTGGGCTAAACGGGGCACCTGTTGGAGTTGCAGGCTCTTTTGAAATTTTCAGCACAGATGTCTTTGGAAATGTCAGAGCAGGGATCGCTACTGAAGATCAGGTTAATCATCAAGTTATCGTTTTCAGTCCTTCGGTCATTTTGTCTGAACAACTGTTGATTCAAAATAGTAAACAGATCTTCACTTATGCAGCAGATCAAGCTGTTAAGTTTTCTTTGGAAATCTTTAGGGGTGGAAAAAGCTTGAACACGTACAATATCTCTGTACTTTCTGCCTTGGGCGCTCCGGATCCATCTCAGTTTGACATCATCTCTCAATCATTAAACTATGATCCGTTTACACAGTCGCTTGATATATATGGTAGTGTAGGAGTGCAAACCTTCAGTGTACAAATCCGGAACAAAGATGGAGTTATCATTCCATTCAAAAATGTTGCCTATACAAACAATTTCACTATAAGTTTGCAGGGACCTGTTGCAACCAATACAACTGTAGTTGAGACATGTCAGAGCTCAGTGTGCACTGACAGGGGAGGTTTGTTCAAATTCAGTTTCAACGCACCCAGATCAGGGTTGTATTTGATCAATCTCCTGTATCAACAGTCACTTATTAGAAACTATCGAGGAATCAGAGTGCAAGTAAGCCCAGGATTTCCTTATCCTCCTAATTGTTATGCACGAGGAACTGGTCTGAGCGGGGGCATTGCAGGTGTTGAGTCAAGCATTAGTCTGTATTCATTCGACAAATACAACAACGAGATAGTCTATGGCGATCTCGTCAATTTCGGACAATATTCGATCGTATTTCCCATTTGCACAACATCAAATGCTTGCCCAATACAATCAAGAATTGTCAAATCGTCTTCGTCGGCACCCACAATCAGTTACTTGATCACCGCTGCAGCCAATTACACGTTTGCTATCAAATTAGAAAATGAAATTGGAGTTGCAGTAGATATATCCGGAGCTCCCTTTACTACTTCAATATCGCCAGCTTCCATTGATTTACAAGCGTCTAGCCTTCAGAGCGTAGGTGGGTCCATTGCTACAGCTGGTCTTGAGAATTCCTTTCTTATCACGTTGAGAGATACCTATGGTAATACAAATCAGAATGAAGCTGTTACAATCAGTGTAAGAGCTGTTGGACCAGAAACAGCTCAGTCAAGCTTTGCATTGAACAGCGGAGCCGGAGATTCTTTTGCAGTGAATCTTTTTGCGATAGGTCAATATCAAATTTATGTAGAGAGAGTGCTGGCCGATCAGAGTGTACAAGGCTTTCCATCGTCTCCCTTCCTTCTGAATGTTGTGTCTGGTTCACAAAATGCATTAACAAGTTATGCTACTGGGACTGGCACAAGTACAGCTGTTGCTCTGACGAACAGCACAGTCTGTTTGGCCGTGAAAGATTCATATGGCAATTCAAAAACCCTGAGTTGGACTGAGGCAGAGGCGCTCCTTTCAAGTAAATTAGAAGGGAAAAGTACAACACCAGAGTATCCAGCGGTCACATGCTACTATGAGTGGTTGATTGCCTCACTTCCGCCATCTGATTCTTGGTGCTTGAATTACTTCTGCGACGTGCCTGGAGTCGCTGGGCTAAATATTTACTTGGATGGAAATCAAACCCTCGGTTCACCCTTCGAGGTCACTGTGCAAAAACGGCCTGCTCCCATAATGACAGAGGTACGATTCTCTACATCTGGAGTAAAGATCACAGCCAAATTTGATCAATCGACAAATAAAGCAAACATCGTGGGAACAACTTCATGTGTGTTTCTTCTATCAGACGCAACACTTGCAATTTTAGGTGACAATCCAACATGCTTCTGGCCTGCTGATGATTCCCTTGAAATATTTCTTGGACCAGGGGCATCTATAGCCATTGGAAGTATGGTTGAACTGAGAAGCAGTCGAGTTCGAGACGCTGCAAATGTTGCTTACTACACCAACGGAGGAGCGCCAGTACAAGTTCCATTTGTATCGCCGAAACCCACTATTGTGGTGCGATCAGCAAAAATGTACGGCATGTGCGAAGATATTGTATTGGATGCTACGGCGTCCTATGGAGGAGCCGGTCGAAAAATGACATTCCTGTGGGGAGTAAGGCCAGGAATACCAAATGAAGAAGCGGTTACATCTTACTTGACACTGGTAGGTTCAGTTGCGAATGTCTCGATTGCAAACAGTCTTCTTTCGCCAGGGACATCGTATACTTTCGTTCTGAGAATCACAAACTTTCTGGAGCAATTTGCTGAACAGGAAATTCCTATTCTTGTCTCACAGTACCCCTTGCCTAAGGTATACATACTTGGATCGAATATCCAATCTGTCACAAGGGAAAAAGGATTCTCTGTGGAGGGATATTCAGCGTTGCCGCCATGCAACACATCGACAATGTCTTCCAACGTATCACAAGACACAAATCTTTTCTTCGAATGGAGGATTGTTTCTGATTCTAAGTTTCCCCTCGATAGTGCAACGATGTTTTCGCGCAAGCTTTATGTAGACAACTCGTTTCTTGTTGTGGGCAACACATATATCCTAAACCTCCGTGGTTCCATGTCTAAAGCACCTGAATTATACGGCGAGCAAAATGTCACATTATTTATCATAGGGCAACCTGTCCAGGCGAAACTGAGAGCGAAGAACATGATTACATCAGATGAGTTCTTGGTTTTGGATGCATCCGACAGTTATGACCCCGATTTCACTCCTGACGCGTGGAGTTTTCAATGGTCATGTGTCGAAAACTCTGGTGTGCTGCCGTTTTGTTTTGATGACAAAGATGGAATAATGTATTTAGATACCCCTACCCTGACTATTCCGTCTGGAAACCTGCAAGTGGGATATTCCTATAGATTCACTGTTCTTGCAATCAAAGAACCCGGTCCACGCACGTCATCCACATATGTTGATGTACAGGTAATTGCACCTGATAGTCAAATACGCCGTCGGTTGCTCGCTACTCCATCGAATCTAAGATGGAGTAATCTCATTGGAGTGACAATTAATGGCATTAGTGCAAGAAAGCAAAATGTGAAGGAGCGACTCAAGCTCAGCGGTAGTCTGACTCCCCTCGGAACCAACGAAATTGCTAAGTTCTCTTGGCAAATCGTGGCAGGTGATAAATCCGACTCATACGAGGTTTTAAGCCAAGAAGATAGTGCATATTTCGTTTTGGAAAAGAATTCGCTGATTCCAGGTTCTGTGTACAAGGTCAGGCTGGAAGGTTGGATTGAGGGTGGGGACATATACTCGTTTAGCGAGTACATCTTTCCGACCAACGGTGCCCCTTCAGCAGGATCGACACAGATTTCTCCAACAATAGGCATCGCTCTATCGCAGGATTTTGTTGGTTTGTGTTCTAACTGGGTTGATGATCCAGAAGATGAACCACTATCCTACACATGGCAGCTGCACAGCGGGAACCAAACCAAACTTCTTGGAAGAAGATCTCTTTCACCGACAATGAACATTCGTTTGCCACCTTCAGATCGTGAAGACGGACTTCTTTTCTTGTCTGCAAGGATTTGCGATGTGTTTGATGCGTGCACAGACACTCAAGAAATAACTGTTCTTGTTCAATCGAATGAATCAAGCCTCCCTTCGGTTCAAGACTCCGTGCAATCTGTCGAGCTTGGCCTGGGCGTTGGTGACGAATCCAAGGTCTTACAAACTATCGTTGGAATTGGAACCACAGTAAACCTACGTCCGTCCTACAGGAGACGGTTGTTGCAGAGCGATACTGCACTGAGAACGACTCTCACTGGAGCAATCGATTCAGTATTGTCAGTCGCAAGAATAGATTCAGAGCTTCTTGATACAGCCAGCGACGGACTACAATCTGCTACAGGCATTGGTTCTGTGGGCCAGGCATCAGAAAGGGAAAGTACAAGGAGTCTGGTCACAAATTTGTTGACGGGGTCTTCGCAAGTAGGTGGTGGAAGTGACAACACTCTGCTCAACTTGAACAAAGTGATAGAACAATCTCTTTCAGAGTCTCTCAGAAGCTCAGATAGCGCATCCAACGAGACTGCTGATATTGCCTCTCAGCTCGAGTCGCTTACAGATGTCGCACTCTTGGGGTTTGTTCCGGGCCAGAAAGCCAGGAAAATTGATGGACCAATACCATCGACGGTTTCGCGGCTTGCAAACGATGGGAGGTCAACGCGCGGGTTGAATATTAGTACCACAGGAGGATATTTCAAGCTTCCCGATGAGTCGATCCAGTCTTCGTCTTCCTCGATCGGAATAGATCTGAAAATCTTGGAGTTCAGCCCAGGTAGTAACATTCACGCCCTGGACCAACCAAACACTACTGCACAGGCTATTAGCGGCATCACTAGCTTTGAGATTAAAGGCGTGTCTGTCGTAACGCAGGAGCCAATCCAATTCATGATTCCTTTGACCGAGCCAACCTTGCTTGGACAGAGTGCAAACTTGAGTCTCACCAATTCCTCCAATGCCTCATCAGTGGTTGAACGTTGCACATTCTGGGATGCAAACAAGAAGGATTGGTCTTCTCGGGGTTGTGCCGTTTCATCACTAGATATTGACGGGATCAAATGCGAGTGCTTCCATCTCACAGACTTCACATCTTCACAGAGCGCACCAGCACCTGATGTGAATATGGTTGATCCCATTGGAGGTGCATCTGCTTTGTTGGCAGCCAAGGGAAAGCAACTTGCAGTGATTATATTCATGGCTGCAATCTTGTTTGTTTACATCGGTGCAGTAATGCTGAGCAGACATGTTGATGAAAAGCAACTGAAAGAATTTCTTAAATCACCCGCCCATTTCATTCGAGATCGGGACCGGACAGTGCGCAATTCAAAATACAGGCCCGTAGATGAGCTCATCAAAATGCTTGAAGAGAAGCATAATCTTGCTCACATTGTCAACGCAAAACCTTACAGTCAGCTCAGCAGAACTCAGATGCTTACATGCTTTTTCTGCTACATTGTCAGTTCCATGACAGCGAATGCAATCTTTTACGGCAAAGACCCCTCGACTCCTGCTGATGCACTGATCAAAGGAGTCTTGGCCAGTTTGATCACTGTGAGTTGCCCTTCCACCTGTCACTAACGCTCACGCATTTCTGGTTGCAGGTTCCAACCACCGTGTTCTTCATTATGCTCTTTAAGGTGAGTCTTCTTCACAATTTCAAGGCGTTTTGCTGAATGGAGTTTTTTGGTAGAATGTGCGACGACGAGAAGCGTTGAAAAAGAAACAAAGTATGCAAAAACGATCAAGAGTCCAGGATGAATCGAACGTCAAAGCAATCCTTCCCAAGGAAGTTTCCATACCGTCCAATCCACCTATTAGACCGATTTCTGAACAATCCGAAGATCAACAAGGGAAGACTCAACCAACGGCTCAAGGAAGAGGCAACAGACTCAAAGGAAATCTGGAAAAGAGGAAAAGCATTCTCGAAGTCATATCTGAAAGAGAAAAAATCAGTAGATACGAACGTGAAATAAGGCTTGTGCAGAGAGCCAGGCAGAAGTTCAGACCAGGGCAAGCCGCGAGAACAACCAATTCGCTCAGCTGGTGGATTCAGAATCGATATACTGAAAAGGGATCAGTTGAAGGCAAAGGTGATTTCCTAAAGGCTGTAAGGTCCGTTATCGCAGCAAGACGAGCAGCAGGTGATTTATGCGTGCTTATCTGGTCTTTTCTAGCATGCTTGACTTCTGTTGTTAGATGTCTTTCTCTCCAAACTTGAAAGCCGAAATACGATAGTCCATCGAATTCGACAAAGGGTCTCAAAGAGGGGTAAGGCTGCAAAGAAAACAAGCTTCATTCCGTTCAAGCACACATCGACTACCTCTGCTGGGGCACTTCCTTCATGGGTTGGGGTATTTGCCTACATTCTTTCGGTCTCCTACATGATTTTCTGCCTTTACCTGTGAGTACTTGGTTTAATGGTTGTGTTTTTGCGTCATTTTGACTCTCTGCTCAGGAACATGCTGTTCGGCGTAACATTTGAGGAAACGATGGCCTTTGGTTGGATGACTTCTTCTAGCATCAGCACGATACAGAAAGTGTTCCTTACGGACCCTGTAAACGTGCTGATTACGTTTGCAGCCATCCAATTGTTGAACTATTACTTCGATACCCAGCAGGCTGCAGCGAGACGTCAAATGCGAGTAGAAAATCTGTTGAAACAGCAGAAATATGCAGAAAAGTTTATGCAGGCAAGGGGAAAGAGAGATTTACCGATATATCTTATCATCAACGATTTTATCATGGATGTCCTGTCCTTGCCTAATCTCAAAACCATCAGAAATGGGCAGTATACACATCTACATTCTGAAGCTGTCTACAGCTATCACACTGTTTTACTCAACTACGAAAGAGAAGATTCCAATGGTGTCTTTGAATATCTCGCTCGCAGTCAAGCAGTGCCAGACAAGAATTTCTCTTCGGGCTTACTGGATCCCAAGTTGAAATTGAAGATTTCAACCTACGAAATTGAGGGTTCAATTGGCGAGCTACGAGCAAATTTCTTCAAATCTGGTCCGCTCACAGAGTTTTGCCTGGCGGCTGAGCCGGGTTCTTGGATCGAGATTGATTTGGGAGAAGGATTCGGGCTCATTCCTACATGCTATGAGGTTTATCATGGAAAAGCTGATGGCAACGACGCTTTGAGGAGTTGGAATTTTCAAGCAAGCCACAATGATAGACATTGGCAGACTCTCAGAGAGCACAGGAACGATTTCCGAATCACAGAAGGGTTTCAGAAGATAACGTCAAGCCTGCATTACATCAACGACATCACGGAACCACTTCGAGCATTTCGATACTTCCGTATCCTTATGACTGGAAGCAATTCCAGCGGACGCGAACACTTGTGCATCTCCAAGGTCGAACTTTTTGGTAGACTCGTTGCTATGCGAAGAAATTATACTTCGAAACACGAGGTAGCTGCAAGAGTGATCCAGGGCTTCTATAGAGATTACAGGTTTGCAGTCTTGAAGGCTGAGGCGGCTTTACAACAACTCCAGAAGGAACAAGATCAATCCTTGCAGAAAGTGATGCTAGAGCTGACGGAGTCTGAGCCTCCCACAGAGTCGGAGATGGATGACTCATCATGCAGCTTTCCAGAGACTCCTTCACCAGCAGAGGCTCTGGATGACGAAGTCATTTGTCCGGATCCTCCTATCCATACGTCCATGCTTGCATCGAATAAACGTTCTTCAGCGACGCTGACATTGACTGGTTTGTACCTTGAGCCATATGGTGAGAATGAGCTGAAGGCTGAAGAAGTTTCAACAACCAAGTTGTTCGTACGACCGTATGCAACAATCTCTGTCAGGGAATGGCATAGATGGCAAACAAATTCGGGGCAGACTGAAAATGATGACGAGAACGACATGAGTATGAATTACTTGAGGCATGGAATAATCTGCCTTCGAACTTGTTTCAGAGAGTGGCGTATTGTTTCTGTAAGAAAAGCTTTGATATTCAAGCGAAGATATTTGAAGCAGTGGCATTGGGTGACACAGAGAACTCCCGATGACATCGTGAGGCTGAAATTGATGAGCTTAAAGCTTGACACTCATGGAAGAACAGAAGAATTCCAAGTTCCAGCTTTAACATGGATTCCTGTCGCCGTTGACGATGATGTCAAGTACTGGACAGAAGCTCAAGACTTTGAGGTTCGCTTCCTTGATATCAGACCAGAGAGGCCAAGGGGATTGTTGCATTGGATTGGGACGAACGGTTACCGACATGACTGGGTCAACCCTGCAGCTGACGCGTTCAGATTCATGCACGTCACATTATCGTCATCAGGCTCACTTATGGACAGTCATATCACCAGACTGCTTGACCGCCCTCGGCAATCGGATGTTTCTTTTGAGACCAAAGACATGGCTGGCAGCTGGATTTGCTTTGACTTTGGTCCTCAGATATCTGTGTTCCCCTCATCATACTATATAGAGCAAGGACCCGAAGACACTGGAAATCACTTGCGCAATTGGGATATACAAGGCTCCAACGATGGGGAGAAGTGGCTGACTTTGAGTGCACATGCAAATGATGATACATTGAAAAGACCGTCACAAGGGGCAAACTTTACCATTTTGAACGACGAACATTCCATTTCGAAATTGAACATGATGTTCAGATATCTTCGAATAATGGTAACTGGAATCACCTCGAGTGGAAACCACATCATTCGCCTGAATGCGGTCGAGTTCTTCGGGAGAATCAAGTTCAACCCACTAGGAGACGCTTCACCTGAGATGGTTTCGAAAGGAAATCAACTTTCACATTACTCGTCTGGTGCAGATGCAACCAATATAGTACACCTTCAATATCATCACGACTTTGACGAGCGTGGGGTCATGTACTACCTGGGCACAAGGACAGCATCTTTCGCAAATCCTGCCAGAACCGGGATAGTAGATGTATCCCACTCGGATCATCCTCTCCCTATATGTGAAGGCGACGTATATGACCTTGTCGGTCGGGATGTCGTGGACATGTACACGTCGGACACTCCGCTGAGCTGGCTTTCAGTACATCTTGGCAAAGGGAGACTCTTGGTCCCGACACGTTACACGCTAAGGCATGGCTTCAGCACCCCAGCGATGATGATCCGGTGAGTTCTGGGTGCTTTATCAAGTGTCACTGACTTGATTTTACCAGGAACTTTGAATTTCAAGGATCTGTGGATGGGACTAATTGGTTCACACTGAGGAAGCATAACAACGACCATTCCATGACTTTGAGAGCTGGTTCGCTGCGACATTCCATGACAGTCTGCATCCAGTGCAATATTCCATTCTCGCATTTCAGAGTTCTGCAAACAGGACCGAACTCTTCTGGCAACCACCGTCTATGCATCTCAGGGATTGAACTCTACGGTAAACAGCACTTGAAGCTGAAAAGCTGTGAGTATGAAGAATGTGATTGCATTACAGGTATTCTTCTGTCGAAGGATGACATCGTCAACAAGGAGCACAGGGATATCAGGTCATACGGAGAATCTGTGAGGCTGAATGTGATAGGTTATATAACCGTTTCTTCTGTTTCTCACATCTTACTGAACTTTGTGTGAAAATACAGGAGACTAGAAGAGTCCAAGCGGTTCGGACCTGCCTCATACTCTGACCGTATTCGAGGAATCAATGGCGATTCAATGATTTGACGTTGTTGCTTAGTTTTAGTGAGTTTATGAATGAAAACAATTTGAACGCAAGTAAAAGGCATTGACTGTGGTGAAACATGTAAACTCGATTCGATGCCTGTTCGCTTTATATGGGAGGCAAGGAAACTCAAACTTGTGACTCTTTGTAAAGCAGAGTCTGTGTACTGTATGTGTGCAGATGGCAACTAGTGGAGAACCAAACAGTGTCATCATCCCTATCTGACCGTCTCTCCCCATCTCACCGATTCCCTGCCAAAGTCTTCTGCCATACCTCCACTCTACTTCGCATCAGTTGAAGATGTTCTTAAAAGGTTAAACTTCATAATGCCTGGCATTTCTTCTTTCCTTCCTTCCTCCCATCCTTATTCTCTTCGACAATGCAGCACAGGTCTTCTAAGCAGAAGAAGAGGAAAGCTGATCGGGCTACACTGGAATCAAAATCTCTATCCGAAGTACGTCCGATTGCACCCAGCTTGTTTGTGCGTGCACTGCGGCGTTTGCGGGCAAGGGCACAGAGTAAGATCATAAGGGTTTAAGCAGTCGTACTATCAAATAACAAGTGGACTCTCGCCGCCTGAGAATCCATCATGTGAAACTGGCAGACTCGTGACATCTTCGAAACTTTCTAATCTTAGCGGAATCAACCTTTCAAAGGGCTAGAACCGCTTTTTTGTTGGATGGCAGCGTTTTAATTAACCTAGTTAACAGTCAGCATCTCCGCCCGCCCTATCCCAGGCTCAGTGAACTCGATCTGGCTCAGTGAACTCGACCCGACCGGAGGCTCGGGCCCGGCCGGTCACCGTGACGGCAGTGCCAGGCCGGCCCGGGCCGCCGTGTTAACTGATTCCGAAGTAGGTCTCAAGCCGGCATGGAGGCCATGCACGAGGAAAGGAAGTAGTGGCAGGGGGTAGATGGTGAGGGGGGGAGAAGGATGGGGATGGAATGGAAAGTTATGAAGATATGAGGACCGCAGATAAATTCCAACGATGGGAAACGAGAAAGCTGGGCAAATGAGGTTCACCGAGGAGGCCCTAGAACTTTTATGTTTGTTTAGTTAATCAGGTCTTCTCAGGATGTCGAGAAAGTCGGAGGTTTCGTTTCCTGGGTTCATGGATCCTTCTGAGATTGAAGATGTCATGGTATGGTATACTTTGTCTCCTCCTCTTTGTACTTTGTAAGGGGACAAGGCTAACAATCCGCTAAGTTCACAGAAGAGCAAATCAAGCAAAGAGTCAAAGAGCTTGGCGAGGGTGAGGCAAAATCATGGATCATTGGCCATATCCTGACCTCGGAATAATTTTTTGGTAGAGATATCCAAGGAATACACAAACTCAGAGAAGCCTTTGATTGTAATCTGCACTTTGAAGGTGTGTTTTACTATCGTACGCACAATCGTTCTTCTGATCCTTGCTTGGGAAGGGAGCAACCACTTTCTTCGCGGACATTGTTCGGTAACAATTCATCACGAATGATTCATATGTCTGACAGAGTCATTCGACTTCTCAGATCTTTACATGTTGATCACATCTGGGAGTTCATGTCATTTTCGTCGTATGGTTCAGGAACGACATCAAGCGGAGCTGTTCAACTTGTCCTCGACCTCAAAATGGACATCAAGGGCCGAGATGTACTTGTCATAGAAGACATTCTCGACACAGGAAACACCTTGCGCTACATGCTGAAGCAGCTGAATGCACGAGAACCACGATCCATCAGGACATGTGTACTCTTGCACAAGGTTACTTGCTACAGTCTGCTGTCGGAACCCGAGGCTGACCTGTTTTTGATCATTCCTTGCAGTTTGAGATGACCTTGCCTGACATCACTGCTGAGTACATCGGGTGGAAAATTCCAAACAAATTCGTAAGTCTCACGAGGAACAAAAGCAACGAGTTTTGACGTGGGATTGGAAGGTGGTTGGCTACGGACTTGATTATGCTCAGAAGTACCGCGGATTGCCTTGGATCGGTGTGGTTGCTCCATGGGTCTACTCCAAGAACAAGGAAAGCAAAGACGATGGGAGTCTGAACAATGGCGATGTGTCCCTCCCTTGAAGGACTAATCTCAAGGGTTTGAAGTTGTATGCCAAGTGCTCTCACAATGTTGTATGATGCTCTGTTAGATCTGGGTAGATTGATTCATTGAGAATAAATGGATTGACGGGAGAGCTTGTGGGTTACAAATGATAATCGTTTCAAGTCTCCACCATCGGACGCGGCATCCTTCATCAAGGCTCTTCTACCATCAGCATCCAGGATTCGCTGTTACCTAGTGTGCTACTTTCTGCTGCGTTGTCCAAGTCTGCATCATTCGCTGAACCTCAGACGTCAAAGAAGGATCGAACACACAAGACAGGAGACCTGTTTCCAGACCTGTTTCCTTTAGTGTTTCCAGACCTGTTTCCTTTAGTGTTTCCAGACCTGTTTCCTTCAGTGTTTCCTTCAGTGTTTTCTTCTTTGCCTTCTTTGCTTCGGGTTGGTCGGCACCATCTTGCAGAAAATGAGGACGAATTCAATCGCAGGGTTGTAGGAACCTTCAGTGACCTCGTTCAAGTTCGTTTCATTATCACTAGCATGCAAGTCTCTCTTGACTGATTGTTTGTGATCAGAGGCCTCAGGCAGATCATCGCATACACACCTGCATGAGGCATCTCTCTAGGAGGCAAACCGTGCTCGTTCGTGTGCGTGCGAGGAGGCACATCACTGCAGGAGACACTTTAGACTCATTCAGGTCAGTCCCTCAAACACTTGCTGACCGAGGAGGCGCTTTGGCCCCTGACAGACATCCTCCCCCGGCTACCAACATGATTGGCTTCCGAGCGGCATTGCTCGTTGCCTGTACTTCTGTGCTTGGAGCCCTGAAACAGTCAATACAGCGCTGGAACTGCAGCCCGAGATACCTATCTGCCACAGCTTGAACATCCGCAGTGACCGTCTCCTGCCTACAACCTTCACTTGCTTGAGTCGCATCCGCATCGCTCTGTTGCAAAGCCTGCAGGTTTCATGAGCATCCAACAAATCCGCTTGCCTTCCTCACGTTCAACTTATCATATTCCTGATCGGTCAGAATTTCAACACGCTCCTCGTCCAGGAAGTTTGCTAGCAAGAGATCAACGTCTGAAGAGGAGTACTGCGTCAAGGATCCTTTTGGTTCGTCCCCGTTCTTGAGAGACTTGCTGTATATGAACATTTGTATTTCACAGTCACAGGTATGTACAAGCTCGATGGCTCGTCGGATAAGATCAAGTTTGCGCTGTTCGAAGACCTTCATGCGGGTCTCCTCGTCTTGGATCCTGGATGGCAACATGCGGCAGGAGAGCAGCAGCAGCGATCAAGATCCCCCCCACCAGAGAGCGATGGAGCACCGGAGAGGAGGCTAAGGCAAACCGCAAGAAGCCCGCCTCAGAAAATGTTCCATTCCGAGGCGGGCCGTGTTCTACTATGTGAGGGTTTCGCCATACCTGCCGCATGCCGTACCACCAGGCCCAGTGAGCCACCGGAATCAGTCGGAGGCTTCAGAACACGCTGTGAGTGGATATAGTTCTTGTATTGGACTTTATTGATATATGCACGCTACACACAAGTGGAAGAAGAAGAGTTGTAAACGCGAGTGCCTGCACATACTGCTTCGCACGTCCCCTCTGATCCGTAGCTGGTATCAAGAACTTCCTGGCATGTCGTATTCACGCTCGGAATGGTGTCGCCATCGCTGAACGTTTCTAGTTCATCTAAGCAACTGCTGGCAGGTGCCGTTGAATATAGCCGAATTGCATTTGCAAGGATTGTTCCATTTATCTCAAATATGTTCCTTCCCCACGTTGTCAGGCTGAAATTTCCAACATTGAACCAGTATGCAGACCCATATTCAGGTTTAGCGTTGGAGTAATTCAGAGGAAGATACTGTAGTTGCCACACTGCACCTAGTGTGCAGTTGTAATCGGATGTTAACGACGCCACGATGGAAACATACTTCACTCTCTGAGTTGAATTGAACACAACCCCCACAAACGATGCATTGTCATCAGCATTCGATTTCCATTGGCTTCCGCTGCCATAGACCCCGTCATTGATGTTCGAATAGCACAATGCGCCTTCGTACTGCCCACCGATGTCTTGCCCACTGAACGAGCATCCTGCTGCTGAGGAGCTAGACGCGAATGGCACTCCCCCTCGAATGTGGTTTGTGGGAGTTGTGGGTACGCACGAGGCGTTAGGCAGGGAATATGCTTCCGCCAGACTCAACTGGTCACATGTGCCATTCTGACAATAAACGCAGCAGTAGGTTGATCGCAGCGCTGAGGTTGAAAGTGCCGGGCAATCTACGCAATTGAATGCGGAACTCTGAGAGTCTATGTACTCCGTGTACTTCCCAGCCACACAATCATTGCACCACCATGACGTAACATTCTCCGTGGTTGTGCAAACAATTGAGGTGTCTGAGGTCCACTGCACACTTGCACAACTTGATTGACCAATCTGATAGGTTGAGGTGATGTCTTGTTTACCAAAATTGATTCCTGACACAGTTAGAATAGCGCTCGAATATTCAATTTGGATCGAATCAGAGGAGATGTTCGTCGAAGTGATATCCAGGCAACTTTCCGATGAAATTTTCAGAATCTTGTATTGATCATAAGAGACGAGTTGGCTTCTGGATGATACCAACAGACCAGCTGTTACAATCAACGATTGTTGCCCACCTGTCCCAGCAGGTGGTAAGCTTACAAGACTTGTTTCTGAAAGCCATTGGGTTGATTCGCTACTCGTAAACAAAATTCTTGATGACAAGGTCAAATCATACGTGCTGAACGACCCATCTATATACAGACTGTTTCCATACGCCGAACCAACGTTTGCTGAAACAACCATGAGACCATCAGGGCTATCAAACGAAAACGAGGAAGACAGCGAAGAAAGCAACAACGATGTAGTAACAACAACAGAACCCGAGCCACCTAACCCTGAGAAAACATGACAGACAAGACTTGTTTCTGACAGCCACAACGATCCTTCATATCGCACGCCGTCCCGGCCCCCCGCGCCCCTCCCGTCGGCCCTCCGAGCCCGAGCCCTGCCCCGGCTATCGTCACGCTCGACGACCCCGTCGCCCCCGCGTTCGCCCGTACAAGCGAGCTTGCCCTTGCCGCGTCGGTCGAGTACGCCTCCGTCGCGCTCCCTGCCCTCCCTGCTACCGTCACCGTCGCCCGCCCGCTCCCCGTCCCTCCCCAGCCCCACCCCGTCAGACACCGCGCCGACGTGTCCGACTCCCACTCCGTCGCCTCGCACGCCGTCCTGGCCCCCCGCGCCCCTCCCGTCGGCCCTCCGAGCCCGAGCCCTGCTCCCTTGATTGTCAACATTGTTGTGCCTGTTGAAGGGTTGTTTTTGGATATAGTGCTGATGTGCTGAGTGTCGGTACTGATTGTTTGTGTATTTGAGCCAATTTTTTGGTTGAGGGTAACAATCGCCAGACTTGTCCTGCCGTGCATGTGACTCAGTCGTGTTGCTACACTAGATTGAGAGATCCATGTCGTCGCTTCTGAAGATGTTCCTCCTCCATTCATTGCTATTCTTGCTGTTGCTGTATTGGCATTGTTTGCAAAATGCTGTCCAACTATGGTTACCATTGAAGAGCCAGTTGAAATTGCATTCATTCGTTTCGAACCACTCAAAGTTGGTACGTCAAAGGAGCACACATCGCTGATGGTACCAGATATTATCCCAACTGATACCATCAATCGTTGACTTGACCCAATACCACCGCTGGTATACCCATGAATTGACGTATCTGAGGCCCATTTCTCAGCAAAACACCCCTTACAAGGTATTTCAAAAGTTGTAAACCATCGAGTAGCCTCTGAGGCTGTTCCTGCCCGCCTGATTTGTTGACTGAAAAACTTTTCGGCCATATTATTGCCAAAAACAGTCAATCTCTGGGATCCAGTACTTGCAGTATTCGACCTGATGCTGCAACTCAAAGCAGGATGATTATACGAAAGCATTTCTGAAATGGTACCAACGGTCATCAGGGAGATCGATAATCTGTTGGTTGCAAATTGTCCAGGCTGGTTCCTACACCAAATACTACTGTCAGATATCCATCGACTTGTTTCACCCGCGGTATGTCGAATACGATGTCTGAGTGAGGCAAAATGACCAAAGTTATTTCCATGCAGAGTCATTTCACCTCCACCATTTACAATCAGGTTACTCATTCGTGCAACTTGCAATGGACGATAGACCCCTACACTCAAGAAGCAGGACAAAAGGCTCCCTGCACTCCAAACTCCAATGGTTCCCTTCCTGGATAGTCCCAGGTCAGGATCTTCTCTTTGTACCAGTAAAGTCCCAAGAGTTGGAAATGGAGGAGCTTTGGAAAATTCATCCATGTACACTTCCACTGTGTTCTCAATTACTCTGATTGATATCCGATAAACAATATTGCTATCATATATCTTTGTCTGAGAGTTTTCGTACAGGACAGAAAGAATTCCTTCTTTACGTTTTTTCAAACGCAAGATGTTATTTTGTGCATTCATCTCCCAACGATAATAATTTTTGTCATCTACATAACGAAACGTGACTCCAATCCAATTTTCATCGAGATTAACTAAAACGACTTCCAAAGTGAAGTCCTGCCATGTAGATCGCGTGCTTGCATATGAGCGCGAGGAAACAAATTCTAGAGTTGTCCCTTCAACCTCCTGCTTGTCGTAAGATCCATAGATTTGACTTCTCTGCGTGATGATAGAGCCCTGCACTATATCCTGAGAAAATGGAACTTTTTGCAGATCTGAGACTGATTGAATGTCTTCAAAATTCCAATTTGATGGAGCATTTACTGTTGCTAATGCGTTGTCGTGGATCAACCAGTCAACCGAAAAAACATCGTCATCTGTTCGACAAATTAAGTCAGAATGCAAATCGGTATGTTGAAAAGCATTACCTGTTGACAATGTTCTTTTTATGATTTGGTTCATACGATAAAGTACTTGAAAGTCTTGCCCCACAAAATTCCAGGATACTGGAATTTCAGTCCAAGCTCCAGCATCAATCTTGGAATAAACAAGAGACATGGTAGGCGAGGAAAAGCTGTAAGCCTCAGAAAGTGAATATAAAGTTCTTGAAACACTGACTTGAACTTTCTTGGTGTGAGCAATTCCTGCAATAGTATGTGCTTGAAGAGAGGTTGTGGACAGCCACATAGTGGCCCTGGCCATTGATGATCCAATCGATGACTTGCCACTCGATTCGAACGGACAAAGACTGAAACCTTGTAGAAAGAGTTTAACAGATTGGCCGTATGCGCTGTTCTTCGCCTTTGTACTTGATAAAATCAATCCATCACTTGTGAATAGTTCTGTAGAGGTTGAGAACCTAGTTGCACCCAGCGATATTTGTGCACTTTTGGTAGTCAGCCCGGATCGTACCGCACGTATCGTAACTGAGGTGAAAGAACGCCACCTTGTGCTTTCCGAATTCGTTCCACCATTTCTCGCAGACATGGACATCTGAGCAAGACCAAAATCAGATCCCCAGATTGAGAGCGAGATTGATCCAGCTTGTGCAGCATTTGCCAAAAAACCTGCAGAAGAAATTTCCGGATGGTCGAAAGAAAACGCAAGTGATAGGGTCGATACTGAGCTTGAATAATCAACGGTCATATGAACGGGAACATAGTCTTGATTCCCAGCTGCATTTTTGGCGTTCATAGAACTAGTTGAAAACCAAATTGTTGTTTCACAGGCTGTCCCCCCTGTTCTGGCTGCCGGGCTGCTGTCGTATAGTAGAAAGTTCATGCCCCAAATTGTGAACCATTCCGAGAGCTTGTTTGTCGCGTTTACTCTCGTCACAGATATTTCGCTCAAAGAAGGGCCATCGAAGGTAAAAGCATGACTTCTGCTTCCTACCCGATATGGTCCGATAGATATTATAACATCTGCGGTCACTGCAACCCCATGCTTCGATGGTACACCACAGACCATCTGTGTAGACGACAGCCATGTCGTGAACTCACATGCTGTGTCTCCAAGTCGGACTTTTGGCGTCAGGTCTACCATCCCAAAATTATTTCCATCAAGAGTAACCTTCTGCTGTCCTCGTATGGGACCATTCAAGGTGCCACCAAGCAGTGCAGGATACCCTTCGAAGAATACTTTTGTAGAGCCAACGGGATATAATAGTTGATTCACTTCTCGTTTTTGACCAGCAACAGAGTACCAAAGGGAAAATGTCGCAAAGCTGCTTGCAAAGATCCATGACGGCGTCTGACATGATAATCTCCTCAAATCCATAACAAATGCCGGTTCTTCTTTGTATATATTCGATACCTGGCTATCACTTGGTGTGAATCTGCAAAAGAAATCAACTCGTGAACTGAATCCACCTCCAAACACAGTGATACTATCTCCTCCATTGAAAGACAGCCTCGATTGATGAGTGATGCCTATCCATCCCACCTTGATCTCAAAATGATCTGAGAAGTCAGCAACAAGAACTTTTCTGAAACTTTCAAATACAGAGAAAGTGAAGGTTCCATTTCCATCCAGAGCCCACTTCCATTCTGGTATTTGGAAAGCGATTACTTGAGGCGAAGAAGCTTCTACTGATTCAGACTGAATACTCCAAGAAGAATTTGCTCCAGCCGTAACGCGAAATGTATAAGTTTTTTGATTGAGTAAGAATCCGAAACCTGCAATTTGTACGACGGATCCAAAAAAGTAACCAGTTGTTGGTTCAAGAAAATTTATGACAGAATTGAAACGGAATCGTTGTAAATTCTGAACATGAAATCCAGAATTCTTCAGAGTAACATTGACATCGCCACCAGCGAATTTCCAAGGGGAAGAAATGAAAAACACGATATATTTCTCCTCAATCTTTGTCATATTTGTAACCTCCAACTTCTCATCGGTGTAGAGGCGATAAAATTCTAAGTTGTATTTCGAACCCCTGTTGAATCCTGCACCAAATATTGTAATATAGATTCCATTCTGAGAGTAAGATTCATTGGGTTGGAGACCAGACACGGATTCTGTGAAGTTGATATCCAGAACTCCTGTCACGTTTAGTTGTGAAAAAGAGTCTAACAAATAGAAGGAGGTAGAGCGGGCTTCGAAAGTCCACGCAGAAAGATTACAAAGAAGCTTGGTGTATGAAGCGGCTGGAACGAGATTGGATGCAGTGCCTGCCGTAGTTAGACATCTATAAGTGGAGTCATTCCTAGTAGGATCAAATCCTGCTCCGTAGACAGTTAACTCTTGCTGTAATCCGGCAGCATATCGGTTCGGCTGAATACTGATGATTTCAGGGAAGATGAGAAATTTTTGAAGACTTGATGCAAGTGAGACAGAATCATTATTTTCTAAAACTTCAATGGAAGTCATTCCTGACTCAAATGTCCAGATCGCAAAGTTCGAAAAAATCTCATTTTGATTCCTTGCAGTCGCGGAAAAGGACATATTTTTTTGTACAGCTGATGATCCTGCAACCCTAACTATGTATGTTCTGATTGGATCAAATCCATATCCAGTCAACGTCAAGATTGCTCCATGATATGCTGAAGCACTTGAAGGGATTATGGATTCAATTTCTGAAAAAATCTTGACTGAATGAAGCGTCACATTATATCCAACCTCATAGTTCATAAGATATAGAATATCTGTATTGGAACTGTGATTGAATTGAAGAGTCTGACAAACAAGATAGCTCTGGTTATGTCTAATGCAATCGTTTGTCACTCGAATGTTCCTGAAATTGAAGAAATACTTTTCAGTTTGCACAAAACCGTAACCTACAACGGTCAGATTCGTACCACCACGGGCAGAAAATTGGGTAGGCAATATTTGATTGATCTCTTCAATAAGCTTAATGATTCGTCCTTGACCCCCGCTCCTTAGCTGAATTGGGTAAATGCGATCCCTAGGATCTTGTGAACTAACAGTAACTGTGACGGATCCAGCGAGAAACGAACTCGGCAAAGTACATACCAAAGTGGTTGATCCAGAACCAGGATCAGCAGTGGCATTGTAAATCACGTTCTCTTGTGTGAAACTGCATCGATAAGTCCTTGAAGCATGATCAAATCCTTCGCCGAAAATCGTGATTATTGCACCCCCAGTCGATGCATAGACAGGATACAACTTGTCCCAATATTCCAACACATTTAATTCAACCCCTGAGTCAATAATTGTGTTGTCTGTTCTTGCTATCTGAGCGAGAACCTTGCCTGCAATGGAAATATTAACCAAACATTCCACATACGATGCGTTCAAAACGGTTGCTGGGAATTGGAATAAAACCTCGTTACCAAGCTCGTTCGAGGTTGTATTCCGTGAGAATTTGCAAGAATATGACTGTGCCGAGTTGAATCCTGAAGTTTTAAACAGGATCTTAGTAATTTCTGCTGCATATACTTCAACCAAAGAAAGCGAAATCACTCTTTCTTTGAAGTGGATCATGAGGCCAGGGTTGGCAATGAGAGCACTACGATGACTTTCAACATTTGCAAAGAATGATACGTTTGCAATACAAGAAACAAAGAGGCTTGTGTCCACATAAAACAACAACTGTCTTGGACTAATAAACGAAAAACTCTGACTTGAATATGAACTTTCGTAGACAGTAGCGTTGTTAAAGTCGTACTTCTGGACTAGGAGTGAGATTTCATAATTCTTTCCTGGCTGAAAGCAAAATCCACGAACATCGAACGATTTCATGCCGCTGATTTCTATGTCTACAGGTAGGATGCTCTCCACCTTCTCATAGAATTCAAGCTTCGCCTCTGATCCGTACTTGTTGACAGGAGAATCTTTTGACAAGGATACGATCGTTACAGAATATTGTCCACTGGTATTCAAACTTAATTGTTGAGCAGCACAGCATGACAATGATCTGCCGAAGTCATTCACAGTAGCATTGCACCGCAATTCATCACCTCTATTTAATGAATGAAATACACAAGCGTAACTGTCCCGAAAACCGGACCCATCCACAATGAATTCATGATTCGCCACTCCGACTACAGATAAGGGACTGAAATTAATCCAGACCTCCTTGAACAATACAGGAATTGAATGTTCCTTCAATAAATGATCACCGGCTTGCCAAAATAGTACTACCTGTTCGTTTCTTAGCAAAGAAACGTTCGCAATACCAGAGTCCAGGAGACGGTATGAGAAGTTACAGAATACTGCTGTATGGTTTGCGGCAATTGCAATCGTCGAAAACGAATTGAATTGAAAATTTAAAGTACAAGAATAATTCTCATCCAAGTCAAAACCATCCCCCAACACAGTGAAGAACACTTCTCCATAGGCAGGCAAAAAGTCGGCTGAAGGCACAATCCCTTTCCATGTCTCAGTCATATGAAATGAGATCGTTGAGTTCGACTGAATCAAACTTGTGGCATAATTGTTCAAATCATGTTTGTTACTTCGCAGCAAATATACATCTGTTGTGCGCGCTGCTGATGACCAGTAAGGTAACCTGAAGACAAGTTTGTTCTTCTGTCCTTCAACAAGCTCTGAGGAAACAGCGGTATATTGTATCGTGGAAAACGCACACTTGTAATCGCTGAAGGGCTCACGAAAACCAAACCCGGAAATGGTGAAGTAACTCGAGCCAACAAAAACTGGTGATGATGAAGGGACAATTCCAATCCAGTACTCCAGGTATAAAGCGGTTGCCTGAGGTGAAGAAATTTTGTCCTGGATTTCGACCTTGAACTCATATTGGTTTGCCTTGTTTCTTTGAAAAAAATGTGGGAGTACGCACACAAGCATGTCATCTCGGTACCAACTGGTTCTTTCACAGAGAAGATCATCAACTTTAATCTCAGGGTTCAAGTCTCTGAACCCAAAGTGCTTTCCAGCAACTGTGACAACTTGAAGGTTAGTATTGATCGAAGGTAGAAGCAATGCTTGTATATTTGGCTTCACATTTTTCTGTGGAAATAGGTAAAATACATCTCCGACCACTTCTCGGTAAGGGATCGATTGCAGTAGTTTCCAAGAGCTCATATCAAATACAGAAACTTCAAATCCCTGAGAAACATTGAGCCGATACCATGCAAAGCATTCAAGATCCATGGCATTGACAGAATCATGAAGAGACGAGTCCAACAATGTTGTATTCACGACCTGCCATGCCCCATCTATTAATTTTAGAAAACTTAAGCGCAAATCATGAGGCCAGCCACTTGAAACTCCATATAAAATCTTTTGCTCTGTAAGGAACGAAATTGAAATTAGTCTTGATGAAGAATGATATGGCGAATGATACTTCTTACTCTTGTTCTGAAGATCTATTTCAACAACGGACGAGTCAAGAGCGTCCACGAGAAAGTACAATTGGTATCTCGTACAAAAAGTTGAAATGCCGAATTGAATTGGACGTTCCAATTGGAGCAAATCCTGAACATTGGCACTTGAAAAATTGAAAGTGAATACCGTGAATTCTGAACCAAAAACTTTGACAGCCACAAAGCTATCATATGCCTCGTTGTATTCAAGATTCCAGACAGAGAAATTCCTGAAAATCTGTGACGAGGTTGCAACAGAAGGGGAACCTCGTAGATCTATCTTTAGCAAAACTGAATCTTCCACATTTTCCTGACTGGGTACCAACGAATACAGCGTGCTGTGTCGCTCATCCATAGCAATCGCACCTTGCTGAGGAGATCCTGTGACTTTAGAAAAGATTTCATAAGGATTACCATTTGGCATCCTTGCATACACTCTCAACTTTTGACTATGCCAAGTTACAGCAAGCAAGTCAGCTTCTCGACATGTAATTGAATCAAATACAGATATTTCATTTGAAGCACCCCCGTGCAAATACCCTTTGTCAGTCTTGACCGAGATTCGAAATCGATACGGATTTTTGACCTCAGAAATTTCCAACAATGATGTGAAAGACATGCATAATGAATGCGCCGATCGTGAAAACATGCCTTGATCGATTCTATAGAAGCAATCTGAGCCCCCACCTGAAACTTCCAGGATGTATGAATCAAGAAATGAAGTGTTGAATTTCAACTCCACCGCCAAAACATCTTCTTGAAAACAAGTTGAAATGTATACAGTGGGAGTTGGAAGCTCAAAATAAAAGTTGTAAACGCTTCTTGCTGGTTGCAATCGTATCGTCACGCACGCTGGACGAGACTGACAGCTTGGAAGACTAACACTGCAATTCAACTTTTTGGCTACGAAGCAGTTCGAGAAAACAGCTGCACTGTTTTTGAAATCGTATACATTTTCAAACTTATGAATTTTGTAAATGTAAAACGCGTGAATGACATTGCCGCTTGTTTGCCGATCTATTTCAACGACTTCATCTGGCTTGAGAGCGTCAAAATTTTCAGCGCTTGTCAGGATACAACCGTCTATGGGACATGTAACGTTAATTGGAATCTCGCAAGATTGGCCAACTGTACATACGAAAAAGTTGTCCAACGATTCTCCTGAAGTCAAAATCTGGGGAGCGATGTGAGATGAGATGTTCGAACAGGAAAATTGCGTATAAGTATAAAATGTGAAGGGAAGAAAGAATAACGACTGGTTCAACAACTTCTCATTGCACGTGCTGAGTAAGCATTGCGATTCAGAGTTGTTGCTTGAATGAAACGTATTTGACACATTACCCACAAAGTCTGGACACGCTGTCAAAGTGCCTTCACATCCGTAATCAACAAACGACGGGTGAAAGCAGCTCATGCGGAACGAAAAGAATAATTGACTGAGGGCCCCTGAAGGCTTGAATTGAAACAATGAAACTGAGGGAAACCAAGATTGTTTGATTGCCCCATCACAGACTGGAATATATGCATACCCTTTGCTGGTATTCAATGAAGAGCCATTGATCCGAAAGAGAGGAAAGCCAGTTGACAAAAAACACTCCAGACTTCCAAAGTTTTGACTTGTGACTTCCCCCATGTCAGAGTTCTGAAACTGATCATTGCCGTCAAATAACCATGCAACGACAGCAATGGTGTCGTCATCGATCAGGACTTGATGCTTCAAGCGCCCTGTCACTATCCCTGACGTATTGCTGCTCGGGGTCGCACATGTTTCAAGGTTGTCAAATAGGTTCTCTACCTGAAACTCATTTACTTTACCCACACGCCCAGAAGAAGAGATGTCAGACAAATCCAAATCAGAAGGGCACCCGTTTTCAGCAGAGTACTTCAAATATAACCCTTCTCGATTGGCTACCACCTGCCCCACACACAGGATACCATGAACTTTCGCAACCTGACACGCTGGCCTAGTACATGCACTGCTGTCCTCCACATCTGTGCACATGACAGCGCTACCTTTCTGGTACGTACAATACCTTGACCTACCCATTGCAATTTGCAAATCGAAATATACCGATCTGTTACCAGGTGATGGATCATACTTCCAATTCAATGCAGCGCCGATAACCGGCTGAGACAACTCTTCGTTGGTGCTGATCTCGCTCGGCAGGATGAGAAGCAGTACACACAATACCTGAGCGCTCAACAACCTCATCCTCACTCCGATCACGGCGCGACCATCCTGCTTCCCGATCCCCTCGACATGACTAGCATGATACGACAAGGGGTAGGAGTGGAGAAAAACCTCCACGGGGGTAGGGGTCCAAATCAATCTGAGAGTGGGTGTTGAGGTATAGAAAGAGGGGTGGGGGTGAATCAAGAGGGGGTAGGGGTAGTCTGAAGGATTTCGACGTTTGCTGGCAGGCGGCGCGTCTCCTGATGAACAACCCAAGGGAGGAAAAAAGAATCAAGAAAAAAAAGTTCGTTGTACGTTAAGGTACTGAAAAAATATGAACATAAAGTCAACAGTTCCTAATGCATTTGGAAGTTCCAAAATTCTGATCGGAATTTAAAATGTCTCCAAGAGTATTTCGGCAGCTTCTGTGATGTAGCTAGTCATCGATCTGATTGACTCGAAGTCCTAAAAAAAATGCTCGGCGAAACCTTGCCTACCTTCAGGCTTGCCTTGCTCTGTGCCTTGCTCTCATGAGATGGAGGAGGGCGAAGAGGAGACGGTTTACTTCGATGACTTTGACGAATGGCGGGGAGCAAAGGCGCATGACATGCGGCCTGGCGGAAGCAACATGGTGCTGACCGGCTGTCAAGCCACTTGCAGCATTGAGCACCTTCGCATTCTTGCGACAAAACCATTCATCTGCTGCGGTTTCATTGCCCGGCTGTTCAACTATGGTTCATTGGAATCGCTGGCAAGTGATGATCTCATGGGGCTCAAAGCAAAGCTTCAGGATGCAGTAGTGAAAGATCCATACGATAAAGAATCATGGAACAACCTTGGTCGAGTTCTTCACCTCTTTGGCGACCGTGAGGGTTGTTTACAATGCTTCGAAGAGGCAATTCGTATCGATCCGAAAGATCCAAGCCTTTTGCACAATGCGGGTGTTGCAGCTGAAAGTTTCAAGAGCTTTGAGAAAGCTGAACGATTCTATGCGAAAGCTGTCAAGGTACAAAGCGATTTCGTCCCAGCCAGAATCAACAGAGCCATGCTTCTTCTACACCTCTTCAACGACGTAGTCCAGCCCATCAAGGACTTGAACGAAGTATTCGAACATCTGAATATGAAATTGACTTACCTGATTATTAGGTTTTGGAATTTTTGAAACCAATGAAAATACTCGCAACCAAATCTCAGCTTAAACGCTTTGAAATGATCGCAAGCTATAATTTAGCCACAATTCTCATGCTGATGTCGAATGATGACTTGGTCCTGCCATCCATTGTACAATTGTTTTCATTCGCAGATGACAAGAATCCAATCAAACATCAAATACATGACATGATTGTAGATTTGTATCAACAGGTAAAAAGAATTCTATGCTTTGTCCAACCATTCGGATAACCTTCTATCTCTAGGTGATATCTGCCGCAACTGAGTCTGCAGGTCGAGACCTCGAAGCAAATTCTCGAAAGAGGTAACTTGCACGAACCAACGCGAGCCAATGATAAAGTTTGTGCCCTTTTTCAAGGCATTGGCAGCGTAAATCAAAAGAAAGCATCGTTCTAGAGGCAAGACTTAGTTTTTGTTTGCTTGTAGCTTCTGGCTGATTGGATGAAAACCAGAAATTTCGAGAACACATAGTGTTCAGGTCTTCATTGATAAATCTCTCCTTCTTCCATCTTGTTTGCCGTCACAACAAATCAGATGCACTGTTCGTTATACAATCTTGAGTTTTGATGACCTGCAATGATATTTTTTGTAGGCGTCTTTTGAAACATGCGTTGAGAGTTGACCCATCAGACAAAGTTGCAAACAACAACCAAAAGGCAATTTCAACCAGTGGCAGTTGGCCAAGTATGGGGATCGGGGGAGAAATTGAACACATCTTCAAGAACTTCAAGTCGGATGCAGCCAATGAGGTTAGCCTCTCGGCAAATCTCAATCATGAAGAAGATGCTTTTGAAGAGTATTTGAAAGATTTGCTCAATGGAGGGACTCTTGATTTTGCAAATGACGATCTCAGAAGCGGCTACTTTTACAATGTCTGTGCTGCTTGCATAATACGCTGCATCGAATGCTACAAATGCATCGGTCGAATAGCTTCTATCGAAGTTCTGGCTTCAGAGTATGAAAATTTATCGAAGATGGAAACGATTGTATACTGCCTGAAACATTTTGTGAATGAAATTAACTGATCTTGAAAGGACAAGACAAGAAGGAAGCGTGATGTAGAACAACGATTGGAGGTTGGAATTGTTTTATGCCTATCTGTGTCTGAACTTTGACATGAATGCAGGAGTTAGATGAAGCTTTAGTAAGCGAACCAGACGACAATGAGGTTTTCAATCGATTGGCCATGTAATCTGTAACTTGAAGACTTCAGGTTCTGTTCAGGAGGGCGTGCCTCACTAAAGTGCTGGATAAGTTCGAGTCTATTCGATTGACCAGAAAGGCAATCAAAGTTTGCTACTCACTTTCTGTGAACCACCCAAATCGTCTGGGTGTCATCATTCCAGCCATCATCTTCTATGCAAGGGGGTTATATGATGCGACCAAAATTTCGTGGGAGAAAGCAATGCAGAATGTGTCCAGCAAAAAGCATAGGTCCATCCTCGCAGTTCTGAAGGTTTCACCATTTCATTTCTCGCTTTAATTGACACTACCCCTCTGATCTAATAGGCTAGATGGTATGTATGGAATGAAAATTTCAACAATGCCGTAGAGCTTCTCGGTGAGTATGATGATACTTTACAAAGCATCATCGAACTCTCCTCAATTTTGTCGGGATATCGGAGAGAAAGGATCAACAGAAAGGGATCATGGACAACCTGGCAAGCTACTAAGCATCCTGGCTTTCAAATCGAGAACCAGGGACGAAGTTTACAGCTCCTTAAGAAAGCATTAAGGTTGAGCTCAAAACACGTGGAAGTTTGGCATCTCTTGTCGTACCTATCTCAGGTAGTATTGTGAATTTGTACCTTCAAAAATCTGTCGAGTGAAATCAGTCGCATTATCTTTGCAGCAAGCAGGCGATTATAGCAGTGCCATTGTGATTCTCAAGTACGCTTTGAACGTATCATCAGTATAGCATGCGAGGATTTTGATGCTGAAACAATTCAAAGGAATGTGGACCTGCAGACAAATTCCGGTACGGAAAAGGCAAGCATATTCCAAGTTTGATGCTTCTTGTGAATATGCCTTTGATTGGTGAAATGCAGTTGCTGATACTATTTCGTTAGGGGAGATGTCTGCTGAAATTTGCTTGCAGAGCACACACACTCGATTTCAACTTCCTGCAAAAGGTTGAGCATCTGTGTATTAATGATAGTATCGGGAAGCAATCTAGTTATTACAGCTACACCAAAGAACTTCTGTCAAGCTCGTCCTTTGCATTGCAAGAAGCTGAAAACTGTTACAGAAAGATATGTGAGATAGCTCCACATGAAATTGAAGCTTTATCAAAATGGGCTTCATTCATGCAGTTCAGAGGGAATTTCCAAGAAAGTTTGCATATTCTATTGATGGCAATCCGACAAGCAGAGAACCAAGAACAAGCTGGAAAGAAATCTCTGGCAAGAATACTTGTTCTATTGGGACGACAGCTGTATTTTGAAATGAAGTGTGGAGGAGCGCATGTTGAACTGTTGAAGGTGATCAATTCCGAAGACATCGAAGACTTTGGATGGGGTTTGAGAGAATACTGTTGCCGTCTAGCAGTCACATATGCACCGAAGAATCGGGAGATCCTCCTTGAATATGCCGATCATTTGACTCTTCATCCTTACCACGCCAACCCCGCGTCTCCGATCCCTTTTGACGTCGTCTTCTTGTTGAATTTGCCCTATTTCAGCCCCCGTGTGAAGTATCCAAATCCAGAAGGATGCGAACACATATGGAGGGAAAACTTACCTTGCCTGGATCCCAGAAGAGTACAATGCCTCAAAATGCAAAGCTTACAGTGGCGACACGTCTGTAAGAGACTTCATGAAAGCAAGATGATTGCCAACATTCGGAGCATCGAACACGCAATTGATATTAGGATTATCACACAGTCAGACGTTTTAGAGAACTTTTATGACAGAGAACTGGAAATGAAATTGCCTGGCGATGTTGCTACAGACATTCTACAACGACTCCTAGCAACGGAACGTGGTTGTGTTGATGCAAACTTCTATCTTGCAAGGCTTGTTTCAATGCATTTACCCATTGATGTCCAACAAGATGACGCAAAGAGAACCGATACCTTCCAAAAACTCATTGATCGCTTACAAAACAACATCGAAAGTGGAAGAGTTAATCCAAAGGTGTATCTTTCATATGCGAATGTTTTATCAGTCCTTGAGAATGACACTGAGGATGATACTAGAAGGCAAATGGAATTCTTGAAGTGGGCAGAGAGTGCTTGTCTCAAAGTTGTCTTCCCTAAGTTAATGTGGAACGAAGCCCTTCTGCCAATGGAAGTCGGTACCTCCCTTGGGGACCTTTTCGCCAAAACAAATCAAATCGATTCGGCCCTGGCACAATACAACAAGTTAATTGCCTGGGATAAAGCTTTTGCTCCTCGTTGTTTCGTGGACAGGAAGCGAAGATTGCTGCTGAAACACAGGATCAAGTTGAACTATTGTTTCCTCGTCTGTCATCACAACCTGTCAGATATGGCGAGAGTTGCAGATTTTCTCTCAGAGATCATATACGAAAACTTGTCAGGAGGCGGGAGACTCCGAGGAACAGCCTTTTACCTGCAAGCGCTTTCTTCCATCCAAGATTTGCTCCGCCACAGGCAGCATGTCCTGTGGGCCCTCCTTGCCCACGTCAGAAGAACCGTCAGAGTTCCTGGGGGGCATCAGTACCTCGAGGAGGCGCGTGCTCTCTTCATGCGAAGTATCAGGGTCTTCAAGAAGCAGGCCAAGAGCGAGGCCCTGCAGCTCGACGCTGCCCCTTGGATTGAGTTCACCTGCAGAGTATCGCCGCCCGACGCTCTTCAGCGAGTTCTCATGAGCTACCATCGTTTCGAGTTCCTTCTGCATGACAGGACCGACGCTAGCTGCGACAGCCTCCTGGACCTCTTGGAGCAGCTCGCCTTCTCCTCCGCGCGAGCAGGGGGTATGAACTCAGGGGACGTGAACCCAAAGTGGCTGGGAGGATGGGGATGGGGATGGGAGCCCGAGGGTATCAGCCGCGCGCACCTGCTGTCGTCAATATCTGCTCTTGAGTGCCTTGTGTTCATGCTTGAGAGCAAGTTTTCGTTTCACACGCCGTACCCTATCGATTCCGTTCCTCCAAGCTGCTTTCGTCTTTTCCTGCCCTTACCGAGTACAGGGGATCTACTAGTCGATTTTCCACCTCAAAGCATACTCCTCCAAGATACACATACACCTCATATCTTCTCCCCGCCTTCTGACTTGATTTCAGCAGAGACAATACATTTTCATTGCCTTGAAGACATACTTGCAAACATCAGCTTGGACACAGACAGCAAGAAATATTTTTCCTGGCAAGGACGCAAGATCATGTCTCCGAACCAAACTTCTTGGTTCGACTGCTCCTTGAGAAGAATTCTTTTGGTTTTCAACGCAATTTCTAAACTAATTCCGAGTGATCCCAAGATCTTACTTCTCACTGCAAGGGTTGAGAGACTGCTGGGAAACATTCCTGGGTCTTGCAAGTTACTTGAGTCAATCTGCAGATCAAATCCCAGCGATAGCATGCTTTTGAATTCAGCTAGGTACTCCTTGTCTCAGCTCCGTCTCGTCCAACTCTTTGCAGAGTGCCGTAAAGACCTCAATATCGATCGCGGGGCAGCAGTGAGCAACATAAAGTCCTTGCTCGCTGCCATTTTACAGAGCGATCCTGACCACGTTGGCGCTCTTGCTGGAATGTCGTACCTGTGCTTCATCACACGGACAGCGCAAAATGATCTTAAAGAGACGAAGGAACTGATTGAAAGAGTGCTGCAAAAAGAGGATGATCACGAGGGCTGTCTGGTCCTGAAAGGTATGATCAGCATCATACAAGGCAACTCTAAGGAAGCAGAGGTGTATCTGTGCAGGTAACGTCTTCGACTGGTTCTCTGTTGCTGAAACAAACTTCCTCCTTGTCCTTCCAGGTCCATCTCCAAGTATTCGGGTCATGGCGGCAGGCTCAACCCATGTGCCATGTTGGGTCTTGCATGGGTCGCGAAGGCTCAGCATTCAAATTCGGAGGTAATTGTTCTCTAGTCCACTTGCGATGCCTTGCACATCCAAACATGATTGAAAAGGTGCTGGAAATGCTGTATACGGTGTTATGGAATGAAAGCAACGATTGTTATGAAACAGGCAATTATTTCTTCAAATCGATGCTGGATGCTGATTCTTTTCGTGAACAAAGCTTTCAACCTTGCGATCGTGTTGGTTGAGCGCGGAATCTCAAAAGGGAATCGCAAGGATTGCCAAAAGGCTTATGCTTTACTTCTTGGCATGTTGAAGACGCCAACAATGAAACATGCAGGTGAGTCGCTGAATGTCTGTTTGGACGCAACACAACTGATTGGACATAAGGAGTTCTTTGTCTTTTGGGAAAGTTGATGTCATTGCAGCCAGAAAGAGATCTCTTGATGGCTCAAGACTTCCTCCAGACAGCACTAGTACTGAACCCTTCGCATTGTGATGCAAAGATTAACCTTGCTCGATGTATTATGTTGTCAAAGAGTTCTGCTTTTCCGGAACGAGGACAAACTTCGTTCAGTTTTCAGGAAATTCCAGCAGCAATCAGTCAAGAATGGCGTGATGATATCTCGCACGCGGAGCGATTGTTAAAGGATGTTCTTGCAATCTATCCAAAGAACGCTGAGTCACTTTTACTTCTTGCGCAACTGAATTTGACTTACCAAGAGGTGAAGTTCAGTTCTGTTCCGAGCTTTTTTAACTGTATAGACAGAAATTCAAAGAAGCAGTGGAGGGGCTAACCAAGCTCCTTGAACTAGATCCCTCTAACTATCAAGGCTTGGTTTTGAAAGCCCAAGTCATGTTCAAGTTAAGCAACTTCGATGAGGCCGAGGAATGTTTACTCGAGGCATCTCAGGTCAACGACTCCTTTCTTACTATCGGAAGTGCAATGATTGCTTGTCGTAGAATGTTCCAAACGACATCTTCATATTGAAAGAGATGGTCAGGATGCTACTGGAAATGGGCAAAGGGAAATCGGGGATCGAGTTATGCAAGAAAATCTTGACTTGCGATGGTGTCGATTCTGGTCCTCATCATAGGGTGGTGTGCTCCTTGGCTGTCTGACATGTCACAGATACAATATACTTTTGCTCTTCTACACTCGCTCGTTACGGACATTATCAAGATGCATTCTTCGCTCGGAAGAAGGTACCGCGTTACTGTAAAGTGCCATTCTTTATTGACCATGAGGACGAACTTTCAGGGAGATCGTTTGAACATCAGCTGTTTCCTTGACAAAGACAACTGAGCTTTTCACTGCATAAAATTTCGTGAGGCCACAGGGATGTCCTTCGAGTTTGGATCGGGTTGGAAATCATTTATGGCCTGCGCAAAGAATCATGACATGTGGAGTTTCAAAGGAAAATCTCGATACCAGGTACTTGCCCAACAATCTAATATCCTCTTCCTTTAAGGAGAACTTTTTCGAAGTTTCAGAAACGTAGGATCCTAACAATGTGCACTTTAGAATATGATGCTTCCTTGTATAAAGATTGTGTATGACCAGGGCTAGCCTTCGCTGACAGAAAAATGAACTTCAAGTCTTGTTCCGAAATACCCTCCTCATTGTCTTCCACCCTGCAGAATGAAAACATTTCAACCTATTCTTGAATCTAGCTATCAAAGATTCACCTTGCTAAAGCAGGTCGGAGTTTTGCGGTCAGTTCCCCAGTAGTTTTCTTATTGCCGCTTGAAACGGTACCTGCTGATAGAATCTTCTCTATCTGGTGATGGTCAAATTCGTTGCCAAAGTCCTTGTCCTTGGATATTTCCTTCTTGAATTCCTGACTGCTTCAAAATCAGGTCTCAACAAACACCATACCACATAGTTACCGTGCTTGTTCGACTATTTTCTGAGCTTCCTTAGACGCTGAAATCCTTTCAGCTACCTTTCTTTGCGCTTGCGGCAGAAGAGTGCTTCCGCTGCTGCCCATCCTGGCGAACACTTACCGTTCAGCTGGATGCAAAGGTTCCCATGCCACACACTCTCACCTTCCAACTCTTGTCCCTCTCCCTCTCCTCTGAGTCCCTCTTGCTCCTGCTCGCCTCCTCCGCCGCTTCCAGCGTTTAGGAGGTGCAGTCCCGGACAAGAGAACCTTTGCAACGATTCAAGTCCGCCTCAAGATATTTCGGTTCTAAACGAGGAAGGCAGAATAGTCCATAAGTACAGCAGTGCACTCGAAAGTTCCGGCATCACTGATCGAGGCCCGGCAAGTTTGACAGCGTCATCACGGCCTATCATTCGGCAGCCGGGCAGTCAGCAGCGGCACTCGGGAGGCTGCCCGGCAGCGCACCCGCCCCGCGCGGCGTCCCCGCACCGCTCGGACGGGCCCGGTCTGGCTGACTTCTCTCACAATCAACGACTTCACGTTCACTGAATTTAATACTTGTTGTCTTCAAGGTCACTGATATCCTCGCTCTTTTGTACTGCTCTTCGCATCCTCCGGCTGGTTGGAACTAGTCTGAATTAACGTGAACAGATCGGACCCTTCACATCACAACTTTACCTCGCCAATATCCACCATGATGATCCTGTCAGAAGCATTCTCGACCATAATTACTCTTTCGTTCGCAGTCATACCAGGACAGGGCCTTGCTCCACCACGTTTGTTCACGTCCTCTGCTTCAGTTGTAGAAAAACGGCCCCAAATGTCAGGAAGTTCGACATACTCCTGACAAACAAAAGAGTAAACTTGCACTGCATCACTCTCCGATTAGACTCACATTCGGCTTTGAGCTTTCTGCAATCGCTTCTCTGTGCTTCCAAATGTACTGAAGAGAAAACAAGTCAGTCTTGGTCTGGTGCAGGTGAAACATACCCTAGCTGAAAGGATGAACCCCACAAGAGCAGACGCAATTACATACTTCCAAAATGGGCTGCTCATTTTCATCAAATGAACTCGACTGACCCTTCCATCTGTCGGACATGAAGGTCCAGGACACATGTTCAACTTTGTATCTTCACTTTCGAACACCCCAGTCTTGCTCCAGTCTGCTTTCTGACGATCCACGATCATGGATTCTGTTTTGGTCGACCCACTTGCTTGCTTCGTTCCATCTGAGCTGGGTCTTTTCATCTTTTTCAACTTCTCTGAGAATTGACTTTGATCGTGTACGCCAGCCACATTGGTCTTCCCAGCGGCTACGAGTGCTGCGAGGTTTGCTGGAAGATAAATATCACCTGCAGATCCTTGAATAATCTTCCAGCTGGCGAAAACTCCAATCCTCGGGAAAATTTGCACTTTGATTCCTCCGTTCGAGTCCGCAGATACTCCTTTTAGGTTAATCTCAACCCTGCTCTGGCCGTCGTTTTGACTCGACTGGATTAATTTGTCGGCTGAGGGTTGTCCGAATCCTTTCACAACCCACATGCCAGCTGTCGCAATCAAAAATCTGTCCTCACAAGGCTGCCCTGGCACAATCTTGCCTAATACACTTCCAACAACAATCGCCTGCCCTCTACAGTCATAGACGCCAGTCTGTTCTCCACTCTTTGAAGCCATGGCAGGGAACGGTTTGACTCCGTCACCAACTGCGTTTGTTGAACCATCCCTGCTGCTGGTATCCCCATGCCAAATCCCATTGGCACCAGATGTGGAAGAACTTTGGCTTCCTGCCCGCATCTGCAAATTCTTGATAGATTGCTTCACAATGTCATCGGCTAAAGGATTTTGCTTTTCATCTTTGTTAACAGCCGCATGCGAAGTGCTCTTTGATGCAGAAACGAGGTCCTTGGTGAATTCATTGAGCAAATTTTCTTCCTTCTTGATTTGCTGAGCTATCGTCTGCGCATTCGGAGCGTCAAAGCCCAAGGCAGTCGAGCAGGGTCCAAGACATTTTGACACACATGTCCGATCAGCTGACTGATCGCTTCCCATCTCCAGATTTCCCCGAGAAACACAGCCAGCCTTACACAATGTGATTTGCTCTGGCATGCAACCATTCACTGCAGATTTCGCATTTCCATCAGAAGGGTTCGATTCCTTTGAGGACGCTGCAGCCCCTGATGGAATTCCTCGCATTCCAATGCCAGGTGGGATATTCGACTCTTTCCTTGCAACACTCGCGACATCCTGTGTTTTCAGATCAAAGCAGCTGACGTCAACACATTCACTCTTGGGCTTGGTTGATTTAATATTCTTTGTTGCAGACGCAGTCCAATCTGCATGCCAAACAGGGCCATCGGATACACCAGTAAATCCAGTACCTTTCTTCCCGTCAGCAGAATTCTCAGAGAGGAATTCATGCTGTAAATTGTGCTCGAGCTGTTGAGTAGTTTGCTCTTGAACAGCACCATTCAAAACTCCTGCCCATTCTTGGTTGGTCTTATCCCTTGTGGACGACGCAGATAACAACTGGAATCTTGCATCTTCTGAAGTCAATGCTGAACCCTTGACTGTCGCACCTCCCTTCCCTGCATTTACAAACCTGACCCTTCCATCATCCGGTATTTTCCGTGCAAATCTACAAGAGGAGTCAGTCTTTATGTCACCCAGGACCTCAATACATGTCCACTTACGGCCTTGGAGCAGTTACCGATGCCACGTCATATGCATCTGCAACTGCCGCCTCATTCGCTGCAATCAAGGCTCCTGCATCAGCCTGCTGAGAAGCTATCTGCCTGGCTTCTTCTGCAGACTCGCCCGTGACGATTTTCGATTTCTTCACAAGAGTGCGCGCCTGGGCATCAAGTTACAGAATAACTAATGCAGCCTGTCAATCACCTTTCTGAGAACTTCATTGAGCTCTTTTCTTGTTACTTCCGCATGCCCCAGGGGATCATCCTCAACGATCTCATCCACGACATTTTCTGGTGCATTCGTTGCTGCCTCCTTCGTCAATGTGTTGAAAACTGGACTGGACAGGGATGGTGAACTCGACTGGGCTCTCACTCCATCCAAGCAAATGAGGCACACTAAAGCGAATGATATCGTTGCACAAGCCCCTCGCTTCTTCCACCTGCGCTTCGACATGCTGGTCTACTCTTGCAGCACCAGGAGGTGCTCCCTTCCTTGTCTTGGCTCCACACTCCTGCCGCCTCCTCCTTGCCTCACTTGCAGACCTCCTTTGGTTTCACATTTGCTGGTAGCGTTGACCCAGCAAAGCATTAGCAAATCTCAGCGATTGGAAGGGTCAACGAGACAGTTCTGTCCCCAAAACTCCCGAATTAGCCGCCGGGAGGGAGCTATGGAGCGCGATACTACTCAGTCTCGGATCGGACTGGCGTCAGTCACCGGCGGGCCTGAGTGAGCAACGTCGTCGTCACGGTCGGATGCCGTGCCACGGTCGCCCCCGGCCCCCGGGGGCCCGGGCGGCCCGGGCCCCGGGGGGAGGGGCGCCCGGATCCGAGATATAGATGATGGCCCGTAAACCAAGACGACTTACGTGTTTGCGAGGCCTTGCTAAGGTCCTCTCATACTTGGGCACACTGGCATCCTAGCATACAGTCTATCTCTCATGTGCTCCTCAATTCTGGTTTTGTGTGCATTAAACTCGGTCTTGAGCAAAAACTGTCTTGTTACGACTCAGTTGAAGGTCGATGTGGTATCTCAGTGCGGCGTGACTTTGGACTAGTACAAGTCTAACCGTAACTTGTATTCCGTCGGTTATGAGCCTCAATTACATGCTCAATCATGTTGATCTTATGTTTGGTTAGTTGAATTGTTTACTGGAGTTTTTTCTTTCTTGGTATTGTTTCGTTGCTGTTCCGAAAATTCATGCAATTCTATCAAGCCTTACACATTCGGATGACTCCTCTCTTCAATCAGGCTCTCTCTCTAGCCGCAAGTTGTTTAGGCCTCCGAGTCATCTCAGCCTCAATTTGTTTGATTGATCTTCGAATTGGAAAAACAAGCCTTCCCCAGCCAGATTGGTCGGTCGAATATCTGACAGGCTCGAACTGTGGAAACACACTTGGAGCTTATTCGATTCATATTTTCTTGATCTTTGAGAAGTTTCATGTCATGGAGCTAGGCTGTGGCATGCATAACTGGAGCTACTTCTGGATTGGCGAACAAGGTACAACTGCAAAACATCTTCAAATGCCTTGAAACGGATGTTCCAATGTCGCGGCAGCAATCTCTGGTCACAAGTTCTTTACGGTTCAAAAATTTATCTTTTGGTCTTCAAATGCTGGCGAGCAAACTTCTCTCGTCTTCTCTTTTATCTTCTCTCTTCTCAGACACTCTTATCTTTACTCTATCTCTCTTCATTGCATCCGCTCGCTACTTTGCCTATCATAGTATGCATCTCCCTTATCTCTTTACTGCACATCTAATAGCCCTGCATGAAAATCTTCTTCAGAATGGACAATCTTTGAATGGTTATTGCCCGCTCAGCATAACTGTGAACTTGACGCAGACAGTCTTATCGTACTGTATCTCGACTTGGAACTCTGCTGACATTCTCTTGTTTGTGTGACTTTCTGACGTCCGATGTAACGTACCGGGGGGAGGATGGAACGTATGCCAGCCGTGCCGGTCAGATAGCGCCGAGTTAACAAAAACTCTCCTGTAAACCAAGACGACTTAGTACGTGTTTGCGAGGCGGCATTGTAGTACGTGGGACGAAGCCTGAGGGGGCTTTCCTACTGCGGCCGGGTTTCACATCCTAGCATACAGTCTATCTCTCATGTGCTCCTCAATTCTGGTTTTGTGTGCATTAAACTCGGTCTTGAGCAAAAACTGTCTTGTTACAACTAAGGTCGATGTGGTATCTGCGGCGTGACTTTGGACTAGTACTGGCAAGTGAGAGTCTCAGTCTAACGAACTTGTATTCCGTCAGTCGGACTACCGGGTACCGGGCTCAGCGGCCGCGCGGCCACGCCCGGGGTGACCCGGGCCCGGGGTGACCGGTGCCACGGTGCCCGGCCCGTGATCGGACCGTGCCGTACCGTGTCCGATCCGGGCCGGGCCGGGCCAATACCGTACGCGGCGCCCGGCCGCCGGGTCGTCAGTGCCGGGGTAGGCACGGTTAACTAAAACCTTTGGGAGGATCGACAAATTGAATTGGCGTGCATGCCGCCACGAGGTCGAAAGCGTGCGATGCAGCGAGGCAGGCGCCTGATCAGTCATAGCAAGGAGAGTTCATCGTATCAAATGTCAGCCTGCCGTCAGATTCATTAACCTGCTTCTGCAAAACCTGCTTCTTGCCGTCTGTCTGAACCACGCGGTAGCCTTGAGATGTCAGACGAAGAGGACCAGGATGAAGGCTTCATTCCGTTCACGCAGAGTGAAGTATGCAATCAACGCGAATCTCTCTTGAGTTCCTCAAAGATCTCATCAAGTTCCAAGGTAATGTTCACTTCACATCTGGTAATGTGACACTTTCAGCAGTTCACGTCTTCAACGAAATTTTCAAGCGATCCTCGTCCAACCCCCAGTCGTGCAAGCAATCAGCCATCTAGGCTGATACTCTCAAAATCTTGGACCAAATTGCAGCGCAATTCTGAGAACAAAGGCGAAGTAGCAAGGAAGAAAAGGGCTTTGAGTCAAATAATAGATAGGTAGGTCACCCAGACATGTTTATTTGCCCTGATGATAGTTTTTATGTCCAGTTTCGAGTGCGAAATTAGCGATTCTTTCTGTGCAACCCCTTCATCCATGCAGAAAAAAGTCTCTCAAAACTCTCAGTCGTCAAATTTGCTATGTGACCCCGAGGGTGATATCAAGGAGAATGTGGACATATGTTCCCAATGCTCTTCGGAATCAACGAGCAGTAACAAACGATTGTGTTCACTTTCAAAAGTCGATTCGTCACATTCGTCACGTTCTTCATCGAGAACTACCTCTGAGCAGAGAATGCATGTTGGAGATGGTGCTCAGATGAATCATCTCGTGGATAGTGTTCGGGATGGCGAAGCGACGAAGCAAGGAGATGAGAGTGGTGAGTGGGTTGCATCCTCGTCGACCTGTTCAAGTGGTGTAGCAGGATGTGCGAAATTGAGTTTCCATGACTCACATGCCCGGCCAACTGCTTGCCATGCTGCTGAGACATGCTCACGGCGCGACTTGTCAGAAGCGCAGGCTCGCGACTCCACTCACGAAGGTATGTGCCCGGGGGCTGAAGTCGAGCGGTACTGATCCTGTGGTTAGATCACAGCCTTGGCGAACTTGAGTTGATCTTCTCCAGAACACCAGAAGAGCTGAGAGAGAAGAAGTCTCTTTTAACTGACATGCTGAGTAGCTCGATTTCATCTCAAATTCAAGAACCTGCGAATTCCACCAACCTGCCCCCCACAATTCAGGCCGCTTCTGAGCACAACCAGGAGTCGATACCGTCAGGAAGTCAGATAGCGCATGACAACCACAAAGGAGGTCACTTGTCTTCTAGTTTTTCCGAAGTTCAAAGGTCTCTCTCATTCGTTTCGATGTTCATGTGTGATTCTGCTGCAGCCTCCATCCGGACTGCACTCAAGACATTTCCTTTCAGTTGCTGGATATCATCGCCTGTAAAGACCCGGGATTACCAGTATCGCTGAAGTTTACCATATCAGCTTCTCATTTCTAGCAGGCTGTTACCATGAGATTGTTCGGAACCCTCGCAGATGGGACAAGCATCCTTGTCCGAGCAGGTTGTTCGTGAAGTTCAATTTCGAAGCTCTGACGTGTCTGGATCAGGAGGTTTCAGGCCTTATCTCTATGTCAAGAGACCCTCTAAGCTATCAGACGGAGAGTGGAATCTCCTCAAAGTAGCTGCTGCTCCGAAAGGTCCTGCCGTCTGAAGTTCATGTTCGCAGGTCGTCATACTGGAGAAAGTGACCTCGACGGTGTGTGAGCGTGAGGAGAGTTTCGTTGAGCTCATACTCATGTAGATCGGGAAGAATTTGGAGATGGAGGAAACAACTAAGAAGGACTTGTTTGGCTCAAGATACGACGAGGTTGCCCTGTCTACTGTACGCAACCTCGTTTCTTGATCGGTTTCACAGAGATTGAAATTTGCAAAGCTGAGCACGACCTCTATAGAATTTTACAACGTGATCTCATGATGTGCACGTGCAGCTTGTTACATTCTGCCGTTCTCAGGACATGCTGAGGATCTTGACAAGGCCTTTGATTGATCGCCGACTTGAAAGCATCTCATCGCGAGCCCAGTCAAGTATCGCCCACGGCGAGGTATCGCTGGAACTCTACGATGCGAATATCGAGCCAACGATGCGATTTCTGTCGGACTACAACCTTCAGGTCCTTCCAGCTCCGCCATTACCCCCTGTCGTGACTCTGTCCCCTAGTCTGCCGGATGGGTAGTGGTCAAGGGAGGAACCTACCAAGTGCTGTCCAACGATCTAGAAGCGGAGAACGTGAGTCCTGAACATGCAGAAGCTGCTTCTCAACTGCTGTCAGATCTGCGGCTGGAGCGGCGGCAAGATGTCTTCCTGCAGGACGGAAATCTCAGTGAATCTCGCAGATGTGCTGCTTAGTCGCCTCCCTCCTCTTGCCCGCTGACGGGATCTCAGCAGCTCGCGATCTGCAATCTTGACGCCAGGGAGGATCGTTGGTCAAGGATTGCGCCCGTCACGACCGTCAGCATTGACCTTGCTTCGAGAGCACAAGGTGAGGAGGAAGACGCCGTTCCACCCCATCTGAAGTGAAGTGCAGGTGGAACGCAGGAGATCTCCTTCATTGGAGTAGCTCTAGAGAAGAAGTTCGACCCTCCAATCAGCATGTGATTGATCCTTGAACCCTCCTGCCCCCTCCCCTCCCTGCTGAGAGACCTGGTCCAGGCAAGTGATCTTCTCTGTCGGGAGTATCAAGTCCATCGTCTCGAGCGATTCGAGTTACCTCAAGGTGCGGCTCCAGTCAGGCCTCTTGACCCTGACGGCTCCCCACGTTAGATCCGAGCGTTCGACGACGAGCGACGGATGATTAAGAAGTTCTGCGATTTCATAACCAAGGAGATCGACCCTGACCTGGTGGTCGTCTATGGAGGCAACGCCCTGTCCCTGCTGTTTGACAGGATCGAGGTCTTCCTGCCCGCTCGTGTCCTTGCGCGTGAGTTCTGCTTGCAGGAGTTGGGAATGGGATGCGACTGCTCTCTTGGAAGACTCAAGGGGGACCCATCAAAGGCGAAGCAGCGAAGGACCAAGATGCACAACGTGGCCCAGCAGCTCTGCAGCAAGATTCCAGGGAGGATCGTGATAGATCTGCAGAGAGAGATCGAGCGCGAGCACAAGCTCCGGTCTTACTCGCTGGAAGCTGTCGCCAAGGTGAAACGCGGGAGCCCTCGATACCTTTGTCATCTCACAAGCTTGTTTGCCTGCCAGCACTTCTTCGACCGAGATGAAGTCTTCCTCCACGACGAGGACCTCGAGGCCTTGAGCGCAGCCGGCATCGACCAGAAGTCCAACGTTGCCCTCTACGTCATCCAGAGGTGGCTGGACGGCTGGACTTGCTCTTGCTCACGTTTATGCAGGGCTACATTGCCGCTGAAGCTCATCGGGGAGCTCGAGCTGCTGATCAACCTGGTGGAGATGGCGAGGGTCACCGGCGTTCTGATCAACGAGCTCGTTCAGCATGCGCAGCAGTACAAGGTGCTGAGCCAGTTGTGTCGGGCCTGCCGGGACATGGACTACCTGATCCCCTATAAACACAAGGAGAGGGCCGGGGAGGGAAGTCCTGAGAGCAGCGAGGGGGGTGGAGCCTCGTACCAAGGTGCGACAGTTCTGAATGCCAAGACTGGAAGCTACTGGTCTCCCATCTGCACGCTGGACTTTGCTTCTCTATATCCCAGGTAGGAGGGCTGAAGGTGTAAGAATCCGAGGAGTCTGACGCTGTTCCAGCATCATCATCGCCTACAACCTGTCGTACGAGACGTTGGTGAGAGAGCCTGGCGAGCAGGCGGAGGCTGACAAGCAGCGGCTTCGAACCTTGGAGTTTGACGTCTCGGGCTCGAACGAGGATCAGGTGGGAGGCGCGAAGTTCAAGTTCATCCAATCTTGGACGGACCCTGACGGGCGCGAGCACGACGGGATCCTTCCTCGCATCCTGCGGAGGTTGCTCAAGGCTCGCAAGGACGCGAAGCTCGCGATGCAGGGGCAGACGGACCAGCAGATGAAGAAAATCCTCAACGGCCGCCAGCTGGCGTACAAGATCTCCTGCAACTCAATCTATGGCTTCTGTGGCGCCACCAACGGGTACCTGCCCTGCTTGCCACTCGCCGCCACCGTGACGGCGATAGGGCGAGATCTGATCAACAGGACTCGCAGTCTGATAGAGAGAGACTTCACGGCACAGCATGCATGCGCAGCTACAGTCGTGTACGGGGACACGGACTCGGTGATGATCGATTTTCACCTTCCCGGTAGCTCCGCCAAGGACATCGAGCAGGCGATGGACTTTGGTCAGCGAGCGGCGCAGGCTGTCACCAAGACGTTTCCAGCTCCAATCAAGCTGGAATTCGAGAAAGTCTACTGCCCCTACCTCCTCTTCTCCAAGAAGCGATACGCCGGGCTCATGTTCTCGTCTTCGGCACAGTCCCCCGAGAAGATCGACGTGAAGGGCATAGAGACCGTCCGCAGGGACTCTTGTCCCTTCGTCCAGGAAGTTTACAACGAGTGCCTCGAGGTCGTCATGCGAACTTCGCCTCCCGATGTCGACAAAGCGATCAGCCTCGTGCGGACGAGAGTCTCGGAGCTGGTTGAAGGACGAGTCCCTCTTGTCAAACTTGTTCTCTGCAGGCCTGTGGGGAAGGATGGCAGCAAAGGACGAGCCCCGCACATGGAGCTTGTGAAGCGAATGAACGAGAGAGGAAGAAACAGCCCGGCAACAGGTGAGAGGCTGCAGTACGTCCAGGTCATCAACTCGACAGAAAAAGTCTACAGAACCTGCGACAGCGTAGAGGACCCGGCGTTCGCGGTCAAGAACGAGCTGAACGTCGACTACGAGGTTGAGGGTCTTGCGCCTATTCCTGAGCTGCCTGACGAGCTTGACAGTGGTACGTCAACAACCAGCTCAAGAACCCGATCGTGAAGCTCTTCGAGGTGTCGGCCGCCCGCATGAGGGAGCTACGGGCCTGACGTGCTTACCTGCAGGTCCTGGTCCCGAACGCGGAGGCTCGGATCTTTGGTCACTCGTCGCGATCGATGGGGAGCGGGGTGAGGCTGATCAAGCACTTCCAGCCGAGCAGCAACATCATGAGGAACTACATCATCAAGGGCCACAAGTGCATCGGCTGCAGCAAGTCCGTCACGCAGTCGAGCGCGCAGTCGGACAAGCCCCCAAGGATCCTCTGCAGCGACTGCGAGGCTGACAAGGAGGACCACGTGCTCGCCGCTCAGGCCTCGCTCATCGAAACCCAGCACTCTCGCAACGCCCTGTGGAAGCAATGCCAGCTGTGCACACGGGTGATGGTGGGAGGAGCGGCTGGACTCGCTGCTGACCTCGATGGCTGTGCCCTCAGGTGGACAACCCGAGTCTTTCCCAGATGTGTAGCAACGTGATCTGCGCAAACTTTTACGCCAGGAGCGCCGCTGACAAGGTTTGATCGTTGTTTGTTAGTTCTGAAGACGACTTGTAAGTCTGATGTCATCGGCAGGAATTCACGAGGAGCAAGTGCACTTTGTCTTCTCTGGAGGCATGGTGAGCACATTCATTGCTCGGGTTGGATGTGTACAACAACCTTGTAAACTTTTCACCACAACTTATTCTTTTTTTTTTCTGTGATGTTACATGAATCGCTGGAATGCGTTATGTGCAGTTACAAACTATTGTGAAGTGTGGATTTTTGAGCGGTCTTCGACTGTTTCTTGATTGAATAAAAACCTCACACAGCATGCCTGGCTCGATGAGTTTCAACTCGCTCACATTTGACCTCATTCATTCTACGGGATTTCATAATACATGGTTCGACTGATGCCGAATGGATATTGCCATCTTCTTAGCCTGCGTGGGTTTGAGGTTCAGAGTTGTACGTTAACGACATCATATACCATTTCTGCCGCTGTGTACGCTTTCCTCTCAGCAAACGCCAACCTTTGCTTCGCTCTCACAATGGCATTTTGCATTTCCGCGAATTCAGTCTAAAGCATTTTGTCAGAGGCATCTAGGATCACACACTGACCGTGGAATATAGCAACCCTCCTTGCGTCTTCGGTCTTGGGGGAGGGATCTGAGGAGAAATAAGAACCGCTGCAGGCAACTCAAAACAACGAACTTCAAATGTGAGTTTGGTTGGATGGCAAGAGAAGATTTGTTGTCCCGTTGAGCTTTCACGTGCGGAGCCCTGCTGCTGTTGCCTGCATCGTGGAATAAGAACCGTCGCCATTCTGTCTGGGCAGTTCTTGGATACCTCGGCGAGGAGGTGTAAGACTTGTACGAGTCCGTCGAACTTGTTACAACTTGACAATCAAGAATATTGCTAGCCAGCGGCATATCGAGGATTGGACCCGTCTTTGATCGTACCTTGAAGACAGGACATGTCATTCCAGGCCAGGAGTGAGGAAACTGACTTGATTCAGAACGCTCATAGCCACATCGTGAGAACTACGCGAAGGACTGAAACCTTTCCTTGTCGGTGGAAGAATGGCAAAGCTAAGATAGATTGCTTCATACGCCTGAAAATCTCCATCATTCTTCCATCATTGGTGTCACTCATACAAACATCTCTCATGGCTTGGATCTTTCTGGTATCCAAGTCGTAGAATGCTATTCGGCTCCTTGCAATCCCTTCAGCCTGACACAGCTCATCCGCCAAAGTAGATTGCTAGTCACAGTCTCATCAGGCTAACCAACAAGTCCAGGAAACAATCGTGCAAATCAGCTTACGAGAGCGAAGATGTTCATGTCTCGAAAATGAGTTGTCTTGTTCAACCTTACAAGTCCTCAGGTCACCACGAACACGTCGCCGGTTTCAACGTAAAGATTCACCTCAGCGCCACAGTTATGTCCACCCGCTCGGAAGATCTACCATCCTCCCTCAGGCTCTCATAACTGAGCCACACGAGGATGTCAGCAGGCTCTCGGTGGGAGGGAGTCTAGTCACGTGTTGGAATGCTGCCTCCACCCTTCGGAGTTACACTCTGAGGTCGAAGGCCTCTTCTTCAGGGCAAGCTGCTTTTCGTTCTTGCTCGCATCTGCTGTGAAGGGCTTCACGCTTGATCGCCGCGCCTCACTCCTCCGGTTCTGTTGAGAGGTGAGCGTAACGGCTCTGTCAACCAGCAGCAACAAGAAACTGACAGTCGGGGGTGTCGTGCAGAGCTCTTTGAGAATCTCCAGCTCACGGATGAGTTGCCGTTCATTCGTCAAATCCGTCGGAGGCATCTGCAGCAGCATTTGAGCTCCCCGGTACAAACCTGCTTCAGAACTATCCTTCCTTATACCCTCATATCCTCATATCTGTTCACGTTCTCAAATATTCATGTGATCATCGCGCATTCTGACATTCGCACATCATCACCATCTCATGTTCGGATTGTCTCATCTTCTTTCATCCTTATTTCTCTCATTTTTCGCTGTCCTGCCATCTTCACCTCCATGACCGTTTTCACACGATTTGACGTCTGTGCAGCAGTTTACCCTCATAAGTTACCAGGGACTCCCATCACCCTCAAAAGTTATCAGGCTGGAACACGTAAAAGACAGCACAATGCAATACTGATCGGCTTGACGACGAGACAAGAGAGACCGAGAAGGAGGAGCAGGCGACATGTGAGAGTTTTGAAGAGGACGAATAATCTATGAGACTGAAGCGCGTTTCTTTAGGAAGAGCTTCAGCAACAGAATAGTGAAGACCGTAAGCTTTGATCGTCGTGCTTTTCAGGTTGGCGATGATTCGATGATCGCACATTTCCGCTTGCATGAGCCATGTTGTGCTGATGATTTATTTCGCTCTTTCCAGAAAAATGTTCAAACGCTGTCTTGCGCTCTCTCTACATACAAACCGACGGCAGAAGAACACCGTTATGCCGAATCTCTTCAGCGGTCATCGATGGACAGGATGAGGTGTGTTGTCTAGCAATGCAAGCTAACCCTCTGCAATGATCGCGATACACCGGCATCACTCTGACAAGACGCTATTGCAGAAGAGAATTGAATCAGGAGCAGCTTACTACAGCAATCCCCAAGGTATGAAACAACATGACCTTTGGCGAGAGTGTGATGTGTTGCATGGGGTAGGAGCATCTTGACGAAGACAAGTTTTCCGGTGTAGATGTTGTGGGCCCTATCGCTGCTGCCTCCGTCTGGCAAAGATTGGCGAAATCCAGAAAGTCGCAGGTTGCTGTTTCCAAGGAGGATACCAACAGCGATCAAAGTGGATTCCGCATTGTCGTGGAGCAGGACGGTTCCATTAGGGCAATACCGAAGGAGAGAGTGAAAAGGGAGCCGACGCCAGAGGAGAAAGAAATTCGCTTCATGAAATCGATTGTAATCTTTTATCATATTATGGTCCATGTGTATCACCTGACACTCCATTCAAGGCAGGAATTGGAGATATGTCTGATTCAGAGTTTAAGAGAAAGTATCACTGGCTCCTGCCTGGTATGTTGCGTTCAACTATGGCGGTATACTGCGAGTGATCCCAGTCTAAAGGAACTGTGAGTGGAAGGAAACATGAAGATTCTTCAAGCATATGGACGAGAAACACTTTCAATGATACTCCATACATCTGGTGGCCTGGCAGCTGGATAAGATATTCTAAAGTGCGAATCTGTTTCCAAAGTGGACGTAAGTTTCCTTGATTAACATAACTGCAACAGATACTGCTTGAAATCTCGAGAAATCGTTTCAAATTCTTTCGTTATGGCGAAATACAAGGCCAGAAAGTCTTCGCAGCTGCCGCCCAATCGGCGAGACTGGGTATACCATTATGGTATTGATTGATAAATTGACTGGTCAGTGGATCAGAGTCAAGGAGTGAAACCGTAGATCCTGAAACCAATTCAGAAATCATAAGGATGATGGAAGAGAGGGAAAAATACATGATGAAGGTGGTTTGCGATCATTGACAAAATTGGTTGAGCGTGACAAGTGTGGTAGATAAGGGAGTTGAATAATCAGTTGAGAATTCTTGGGGTTCAAGAAGGCTCGGATGAGTTCGCTGAAGATCGAAAGGCTGAGGGAACGGCATTGGCGTGGAAGGTAACCGTTGCTGATTCGTACTGCGATCATATTTGTGTAACAAGATGTGTCCAGGCGTTTCTCATCGCAACTTTGATTGTTTTGACCTCTTCAAGCGCTGCACTGTGGGTATTTTGCAAACGAACAGGGATCAGAAGTTTCCGGGAATTTCGCGAGTTCGCAAAAGATTACATTCAATCTGATGAAATTCGAAAAAGCACCTCAGAATATTCTGCGCTGGTGAGCAGTCTGATCTCGATGTGCCCCGAGTGATTTCCTGCAAGGCGAATGAGTGGACTCCGAAAGTGCGCGACAGTACTTTATCCGAGCTTGCAACGCAGGTCGGAGAGATTGAAAGCGATCGATCAAGATCTCTACTACGGCGAGGGCTGAATTCTGAGACCTTTGGCAGGTGTCCCGAAGTCTTCACGTCATGCCTCTACCTAACCGGAACGAACGCCTTGATAGTTGATATTCATCAACCTTAACTGGAATGAGATTTTTGTACGATATTTTCGGGGAGATTCCCTTTGTCATCTCAGCCATCAATCGTCTACACTCCAGGAAATTCCAACATACTATACAGATAAATTAAGTGTTTGAACTAGTAGCTTCCCTCTTCAGCGCGTTCAACTTCGCCTGCCTCTCAACATCAAATGTTCTTGCCTCTCAGCGATACCCTTACACTTACACGTTTAGCATTGATGAGAAGTCGGATCTTCTGATAGAGAACCTTCTTGCGCTCCTTGACCTTCCGGGACCATCGCGTCATGCCAGAGTGCACTGTTGCCGTTGAACGTACCTTGTCCACGTCCTCCTCCAACTGAGATATCAGTTCCCGAGCTTCGCATTGCTTGATATTCACAGAGGTCCTGCAAGGAAATTCAAAATGCCATACCTCAAAAGTCTGGTGGGACACCGCATGGCATCACAATCTTGATCGAGGCGATTCAATTCTCGCAGTCTAATCCTTGCGCAATCCTTTATGATGTCCTGATGGTGCCTATCAGTGAGAGAGAGAGAGGTGACAGCACAACACGATGCCCGAGATTGACCTGAATATCTCTCACTTTGTCAACCTTGGTCAACGATATTTCCAATTCCTCCTGAAATGCTTCAGGCACTACAAGATCGGCCAATTCAACGCACATTTTTCCTCTTCTTGCCGACACTTTCAGGTGACATTTCGAAACGCAGTATCCCTTTCTCTTCATCAAAGGATATCGAGCCTAAATTTCCGTCGCAATCACGGGATAGCAGTCTCGTCTCGAGACCTAAGTACAGTTCACGAACTTTCTTGGAGTTGCCTTCAGCTGTGACAAGCATCAGGCTGAGACCGACAAACAAAAATTCAATCTTACTTCCATGCTCTCCTTTCCACGCCTTTCGGCCGTCACATAATACCAATTCACATGGGTATATAGACTCGCCATCCTCACAACAAATGGAATCGGTCCGAGAACGGAGGAGCACAATGAAAGTTTTCCTGCGCACCAATCAAGACCCCCAATACACAGCAGTGCTTGTCATTACTCTGAGATCTTACATACAGACGTCTGCGATACTATTGCCGGCTTGGTGTCTTCATGATTCTTTGCCGTCATGGAAAGCTACACAACGTTTGTTGAAGTCGTCGGGGAGGTCTGGAGCGATGCGAAATGGTCAAGAACTCACAACGAACTACCATCTCCTCTTCCTTCTTCTCTGCTCTTCTCTGCTCTGCTGTATCTTTAGAAACACTCGCTCTCTCTCCCTCCTCGTCACTCCCCTCAACTTTCGTCCCTCCTGCATCTCTGCTCTCCTTCTCAGCATATCGCCCTAGGAAAGGCAGCAAGGAAATCTTCGATCCACCTCATTAATGACTTGTTTCTGCCTTTTTGATTTAGTTTGTCCGGCGAAACTTCAAGGCAGGCGTTGTGGAGAAGATTTCAAGAAGTCACCTTTGTTTTGAAATATGATCAAGTATTTCTAAATTTTAAAGCAAAAATATGCAATTTTGTACAAGAAATTTACATAAATCTCTGAAATAACATTTGTGCCTAGAGGTTAAAATCGCAAGTTGACAATTTATTTTCTGTATCCATTTTTCAAAATTTCACAAAGGTGTTCAGCCATATGTCAACTTGCAACCAAATTTCTCGGTTCGCTGCTGCAGGTGGGATAGGTGAAGGGGTGACGGGACCATGTCACGAGGGTGCCGAGAGGAGCATGAAACAACACACGAGTTTGAGCCGAGTATTCAGTGAAACAAAGCTATTTACTGGTTGTGCAAGAAAGTTTGCTAGTAGGCGATCGTGGAAGAATCTAGGTTTGTTGAAGAGTGAGCAATGCCTGATAATGACAAAGCTGGGACCGCGAGCGAGGTTATGTACATGCGGAAGTTGGTTTTAGTACATTTGACCGAGCTTTGTGAAATCCCTTGTAAATGAACTCTTCCTTGCAGATGACTGCGATGAAGACGAGATCTACAGCCCTCAAGGGAGTCCTAATATTCTTGGTGGCGCTCGCCTTGGTCAGCGTTTCCTATGCTGCGAAAGAAGACGAGAAGTCCGAAACCAAGGCTGGAGCAGCTCCGAATGGAATGGAAATCGACCAAGAACTTCGCCACCTTTTCACGGAAATGATGTCTTTGAACCATCACAGGCAAACCCAAGACCATGTATGCGCTCCATAATTGCTTGGGGGATTTTGCGACGCTGATGTTTTATTTCAGGAGAATCTCTTTGATGCGGCAGACAAAGACTCCAATGGTCACATTGACAGGAATGAGTTTGAAGCTTTCGTCAAGAGCAACCAAGACATGATGGATAACTTCCAGATGAGGAGTAAGTGACTTCTCCCTCCTTCCTGATTGTGTTTTCATTTTCATGCGATTAAGGACATGGACCTGAACACGTGTTCAAGCGCAATGATCTGGTACATACTGTGAAATCAATAATGTTTGTTTTCTTCTGATTGCATCTATCAAAGGACAAAGACGGCTCATTGAACAAACGGGAGTGGGCCAGGACCTCACATATCCCTCACTACATGCCCCAGTATTCCATTTCCTCAGTTCTTCAAGTACGAGCTTTGCTAACTGTACCACTAATAGCTTCGTAAACCCGAATATGTGGAAGAATCCTCTTGAAATTGTTTACCAAACCAGGTTGTCCATGATTACCTGTCTTGTTTTATGGTGTGTCTGAGACTTCGAACAGAGGAATGCATTCTCCGAAGGTTAGGGAGGACCATGCTACACAGGTTCTTTCGTTGCTTGTAATTTTTGATTCATAAAAATGACAGCTTGTCCAGGTCTTTGAAGAGATCGACCTCAACAAAGATGGAAAAATCGATGAGATGGAGTAATTTCAATGAAGATCATCCAACCTCATGAATAATCTAATTTTCCTCAAATGATAGGTTGAAGGCAACTTACTCCAGAATTCCAGAGATGTCTATGAATGATCCACATGATATGATGGGTCCCATGGGTCCTATGGGTCCCATGGGCTCAAGACGCCATGAGGAAAGAAGACGCCGGATGATGGACCGCGCAGATCACGAGAGGAGAGAGCGAATCATGGAACGCCCAGAACATGTGAAATTTTCTTGGCACATTTGGTCTTCATACTGAGTGTAACCTTTGTGATTGAAAAAAAACAGATGAAGAGAGATGATCGAAGGAGAGTGATGGACAGGAACTCTCACCGCAATGAGGTAATCTCACTGTGAAGGAATGATTCGCTGAAAGCTGATTGTTTGTTCTCAAGTTTTTTGATCAACGCATCGAGCACATTCAGAAGAGAATTCAGGAGATTTTGCAAGAAAAGGTTATACATGACGATGTTGGGATACTAGAAAGATCATACGTACACGCAACCAGGCTTCGCGCACCTTTCAGCAGCTGGACAAGAATAACGACAAAATTTTGGACAAGAATGAGTGGAATGAGGGTTCTGTCGTCAAGGTGAGCCCAGTGAATCTCGAGCTCATTGGACTCACTCGGGAAGCAGCATGATGAGAAGCTCATGTCCAACTCTGGGCCTGCAGCAAATGCTAAGGATGCTGCCCAGGCAACCGACAAGAAGCAGGTCTCAAACCCTTTTTAGGGGAGTTCGAAAATGATGCTCTGATTCAGAGCACTGCGACGGATTCTCAAGCTAAGCCTCCCACTCCAAAAGCTTCTCAAACGCAACAGCCGAATGGAAAGGATATCCCGGTAGGATGTGCTTGTTATGCTACGTTTTTGACTTAAACCAGGTTATGAAGAGTGCATAATTCGTCCTTGCGGGCTTGTGGGTGCTGATGGCCTATTTGGACATAGTACTGTTTAACGACGCATCTTTCTTGTCAGTTCGAGAATAATCAGAAGTAAAGCCTACTGACGCTTAAAATACTTGGGATTCATTTATGCTGATATCTCTTCTTTACCCTCTGGCTCTCAAGTACTCATTGAGTAAGGTCAAAGTAATCTGACTTCTCAAGCCTTTTACACTTTTAGAGATGCGAAAAAATCATCCACAGATACTATTTGAACATTTTCCTGCACGACGTGTTAGCAACTCTGTAAGTAGCAAGAATTGATCAACTACAGGGACAGCTGTGCTCTTATTCAAACCAGTCAATGACGACCATGTCTTTGCAAACTGCCATGGAATTTAGTACCCAAAACATGTATGGCCGATGATCGCAACCTGCCCGGCATTTGCTGCTTCAGCAGCTTCCAAACGAGCCTGAGAGGAAACTTGAATACAAAATCATTTGCAAATGATTTGACCTCCATCTTATTCACTGATGTCTTGACGTTCTCTATATGTTCTGCCATCTTGTCTATCAGCGCAAACACATTCGTCAACTGCAATAAAAGATTAGAATGGTCAATCAACTTCAAATTGAAATCGAATCGATGGACCTGTTCTGTGTGTTTCTGGAGTTGAGGAACAAGCTCGTTCGCAATAGAGTCAACTTCGGAACCCGACTAGATCGATCTTAAGTTTCAGAATAAGCAACCTGAAGCAATTTTCACCGTATCGATGGTGACTTCGATTTCTTTCAAGCGCAGCATGGCACTTTCTGTCATAGATTCTGCTGCCTGCAGCTGTATTCATCTTGTCAACGACAAGGTTCTCAAAGATGATGGTGTGCCTTTACCTGCAACTTGGAAGACGGCGGGATCCGTAGAGATTGGGCATAGGCTGCTGAAGCTAATTTGACCGCATCCTTGTCTTCAATATCTGCTTTGAGTATTGGCAACCAAGCTTTACTCATATAATCGGAGGTCACCTGCTGGGGTCGACATCCCTCCTCGATCGAGATACTTACCTTCTAACAGCGATCAACTCAGTAATAGATTCGACTTAGAGAATTACACATCTCAATTCGAATCGAATTACTTATGCTTTCCTCTTTTTCTTCTGCCCGCCTGCCCGCCCGCCCGCCTGCCCGCCTGCCCGCCTGCCCGCCTGCCCGCCTGCCCGCCTGCCCGCCCGCCTGCCTACCTGCCTTGCCTCGCTCCCTTCTCCCTCCCTCCCTCGCTCCCTTTCCTTCCTTCCTTCCTCCCTCCCTCCCTCCCTCTCTGCGTGTGCATACACACATGTGAGTGTCTCTTCCTTTTGTGCGAGAGCAGGTCAGAGCCTGTCCTTTCCTTTCTGTCAATCGTGCTCCTATATTCTCCACGCCAGCAGCATTTTTAGTCAACTCATGGAAGTCACATGTATCCTTCAGGATACTTCCGATGGACCCGGTACGTCGGCCCCCGGCTAACCACTGTAGTGACCTTTGAGTAAAAAGACCTGGACTGTACACAGCCCGCCCCACGAGCCACATATAAAAGTCAGTAAAACTATTATGATATATAAGTTTTGTACCAAATAAATGGTTGGATTTATAACCATTTTCAAAGTTGATGCTGAAATTTCATACAAACTTCAGTTACAAATTTCCAGTTTGTTCTAGAATATCAATTTATATCGTACAAAATTTACAATTGAAAACTCAAGATATTTTTAACTGTTAAAAACATGGCTGGGGAGACAACAGTGGAGGCAAAGGATTCGCGGGCATGGAAGGGAGGTGAAACTGGGGTTGATGGAGAAGATGGAGATGATTTGTGATCTGTGCTAGAGGACCATGTCATAGATTTAGGGAAACACACTGATTGTGCAAATTTTGAAAGCAAGAATCTGTAGACGAATATTTGAACTGGGACACAGATTTTCTTTCGCAATGCAGACTTATTTCAAGAGTGATTGTTTTGGTAAACCATATTCTTCGCAAATGGGTTTTTTGGTCATTTTAACTTTATTCTGCATTCATTGGCTCATACAATCTGACTTCTTTCTGTTTTTCAGGGGATTTGTAAAGATTGTGTGACAGCAATGAGGGGAAAGCGGTGGAACGCGGACCTGCGCAAAGCTATCACAACGATGGTGAACCGTGGAATGGCTCATGACGAGGTAGCAAAGTGTACAGGAGTCTCAGTGAGAACGGTCTCAAGGATCATGTGGGAGATAAAGAAGTTTGGGGAGAAGGCCGTCCTGGAGAAGAGGGCAAGGCCACCTGATGAGGACAGCAGAAAAATTGATTTTTGGATCAAAGTGTCGAATCTCAAGGCTGGACCTGGGCTACCAAGTGTAGACGATGGAAATGGAGGGAACATGGACGAGATTGCAAGGCAGAGAATGATTGATTTGTGCATATCGTTCGGAAGAGCTGTCACGATCGAGGCTGAGCCTGGGAGATATGTTGCAAGATTGGGATCCGACTCTCTTTTCAGTTCTTTCTGCAAGCTATTCCCAGAGTTCTGTGTTATGTCCGATGCGGATAAGAAGACAAGATCCAGCACAGATAAAGTAACTGTTCAATTTTTCAACAAGGCCCTGGAACACTGTGGTGGTTTCGAACGACAGCGAAGGAAGAATTGGAGGCCTGGAGAGTTGGGCAAAGAAGCTGGAACGTGGATGTTTGGGTATCGACGATGGATTGATCCGGATCGACCCGATGATATATCAAGGTTTAGGTCTGAATTCAGAAACTTTCTTGAAAAATGTCATTTGATGCAAAGTGTGCCGTCGGAGCTTGAGGTTTTGAAGGTCGTTCGCGAGATTAGATTCTCGTGGCTTCAAAAGTCTCCAGATATTCCTGACTTGCAGCCTCGTCCGGGAAGAAAGGCAGCAATACCTGGGAAAAAGCGCGGACGACCAAAAGGGAGCAAGACCATGAAAAGGCGCAACGACTCTGTCGATAAAATGCAACTTCCACCTGGTGTGGGCAGCTCTTGGCCACAGTTACCCTTGGACAACAATCAAGTGGTCCAGCAGAACAGTTTCCAGCCGGGAATGCCAGAAGCAGCCGTTCAGATTCATGAATCCATGCACCACCTTCAGGACCAGAATGCTGCTCTACTGTCCCGTAATGCCATGCCAGGTTTGCTGCTTCGAATCTTTGGTTTGGAAACTGATGAGAGAAAACAGAAGGTCACGGACATGTTTCGGCTGGATTTGAAGCAGGAAGTGTTCAAAATACAGGTAAAAGAAATTGATTGAATAGTTGAGAAGTTGATGAAAACTGCTATTAGGCAAATCACAGACTCGAGGAAGGAGGTTTGCGCCAGATCTGAGACGAGCAATTGTGAACATGTGTAAGCGAGGAATGGCACACGATGAGGTATCTCGCACTGGATTGAAAGGCAGCTTTTCTAACCTGTGCATAAGGTTGCCAAATGTTGCAATGTTTCCCTCAGGACTGTCTCCAGGGTGTTGTGGGAGTTGCGAAAATTTGGCGAGGCAAGTGTGACGAGCGAGGATTATGTTTGTGAAATTCGAATAGGATAAGGCATACGACAAGAGGCAGACCAGGCCACGTAAGAACAAAGATGGTCTTGACCAAAGTAAGCTTTCCGCTCATATTTGTTCTTATGACGGCGACTGTAGTGACAGACGGTGATCCTGGATTGCATGAAACCTTATCGGTGGACCCCATGGGCATGGGGTAAGATTTTGTGCTTGAACTGAAAAGCTTGTCTTGACCGTATGTATTCCAACCCTCAGTTCTGAAGTAGACAGAAGTCAGAGACGTGTTCCGTCTCGAGGGAGGCCGAGAAAGATGGTGGCAAGGATGCCACCAGATTCTGAGTCTTCTCGACCGAGATCTCAACAAGAAATGAGCATGCGGGCAAGGGAAAGGAGCATGCAATCAAGTCAAATGGTTTCTGGGGCTTCAAGTCTCAACAATCGAAACAGCATGCAGCAGTTAGCTGCGGCTGCACATGGTTTGCCACATGTAGATATGGGATGGAACATGCAGGGAGGATCAAGCATACCGCGCTTTGGAGAGTGGTCTGGTTTTACTTCGCATGCTGTCTCGAATCAGCCTGGAGGTAGCGCCTCCCTCTCATCAGCTTATTCTTTTCTAATCTGTCTGTTGAAGGAGGCGTTGGGCCAAGTAGCTGGAACCACTCGTTTACCAGGGGCCCACCTCAGCAATCGTCCCAGAGCCAGTGGGGCAGCAGTAGCTTCTCTGGGGCAGGTGGGCACTTCAACAGTGTCGATCCAGGCGGTGCTGTCTTATTCTCAGGTGACACCTCTGTCCTGTGAGTGAATTTCTTGAAACTTGTTCTGGCAGGTGGACAATCGAGCAGTAGCTCCATGTTTCAAGTCCCTGGGAGCCCGTGGTACCCCCGAGACCTCCGCGACCCTTGAGTGTAGTCTGTGGCAGAGCTGTGCACTGTTGAATGCATTCCAGTGGGCGCGACAAGTTGAAGGAAGATATCTGATCTTTAATATACAACAACTTGAGCTCATTATTGAAATCCCAGGGATGTCTCTCAAGCATGGGCATGACAGTCAAAACTTTAGAATATCCACCTTGGTGTTGCCTTTGTCTGACACGTAGAGCATTTTCGCGGCTGAAGACTCATCAGTGAATATTGTTGCATTAACATGGGCTCTCACCTTCCATTCTAGCTTGCTTTCCTGCACTAAATTTTCTTCTCTTGGTTTCAGAATCTCCCCGGGAAATTTGGCCTGTAGACAGTCAGTCTACAGGTCAGTGTCATGCTAAGGGGAGCAACCATTCGACAAAGCCGCTTTACAGGAGGTATCCTTTGATCCACATGAGCTCTTTCAGTCAGCAGCACTCCATTGCTCCCGACGGCACGGTTCTTCGCCCTGCCTACAGCTGTCGAGTCTTGGTAGAGACTGGTTACAAACGACAACTGGTAGGAAAACAACTACCTCTGTCATCGAGCAGGAAGGGCTTCACGTTTAGAAAGGGAAGATAGGCAAGTTACAAGGAAAGTCAGCGATATGAAGCAAACAATGTTTTCGGTTGATATCATCACCTTAGATTGAATGGTGAAACCAGACCCCATAAGCTCGCTTTCATCGCCATGGCACACGGTCCCACAGCTCGCACTAGACGCATGGAGAGCAACATTCTTGCGTTTGTTCACAAGGATCTCGGGAACATGCACAGTATACTGATTCCCATCAGGTAGGACAACTCGGACGATCTTCACTTTGCCAGACTTGATGAATTCAACACCGGCAAGTCCATCGGGCAACGAACTCTCTAGCGCCGTGCATGTATTTTCCCGCACGTTGTCATCTCTGTAGTCAGACCTCCCAACAGAAGAGTGTTCTACACGATCTGCAGCTTCCGACCACGTGCCTCTCCTACGTAACTTTTTGCGTGGCGAGCATCGCAACTCCGTCGCTGAACTCTCGCTCAAGATGGGTTGCGAAAAAGTCGCATCATCCGGTGATCCAAGATATGAATCGCAGTTGCCATCAATGGCCCCGCCGAATCTCCTTCTCTTACTCCGCTCGGCATCACATCCTGCTGCCGCCCTCTTCTTTCCCGTAGCTGAACCTCCTCCTCTTATCCTCAAGCTCTGTCCTTGCTCGATCCCGCCACAACCCTCCCTCAGCTGAAGGATCTGCTGGGATAGAGAGATAGCTCCGACGTCCGCCATCTTCTGGTGTGATATGCCCAGGTCGATCAGCCATAGCAGAACGCATGCGGTACGCATGCAACTCGCTCGCATCTCCTACTCCCTCCTCCTGGTGCGAAGTTGTGAGAGGAGGCAGTTAACGGACCGTTTCGAACGAATCCAACGATTTGTAACTGACGGCCGCCGAAATGGGGAAGCGGAAGCCAAGCAAAGGGAGCGAGTCGAAGGAGGCAGAGGGCGAGCAAGAGGGAACAGCGACACCAGGGAAGAAACACAAGAAGCAGGCAGCGAGACCAGCTGAACCCTCACCGAACCCTCAAGCTCAAGGGCTCGAGGGCAACTTGCACCCCTTCGAACATGACCCCGCAGATGACTGTGAAACGTGCTTCCAGGTGTCATGTAGCCTTTGACGGCGACGATTCTCACTCTTTGTGCTACTTAGGCGTATTGTGACATCGCACCTTTCCTCATCAAGCTTGCCCAACGGGTTGGCAAACCGAAAAAAGACCTCTGCATTTGGGACCCATACTATTGCGCAGGGAAGGTCAAAGACCATCTCAGGAAGCTTGGCTTTCACAACGTACATAACAACAACGAGGATTTCTATTCTCTCAAACCCGAACAGTTCCCCCCTTACGATGTACTTCTCACAAGTCCACCTTACAGCCGCAACCACATAGAAAAGATCCTGGTGTTCGCATCTGAGTGCAAAAAGCCATGGATATTGCTCATGCCTCAATATGGTAAAGTCGCAAAAGATGCGAGCAACTCTTGTCCTTGTTTTCTGTAACTTTGTGTATCAGTGCATCGAAAGAGTTATTATTCCGCCATCATTGAAGGGCAGCATCCTTTTTACATGATACCAGTGAGTCACATCTCGAGTAATTGTACATGTAACTCGTGAGTCAGCCCAAACCTTACGTATACCATGCACATCACGGGGGAAGGAAGGACAACACGAACGTGACCTGCAGGTTGTCTAACATCTGAATCATCTTCCTGTACTGATTAGAAGTGCAGACATTGGGCAAGGGATGGAAAATGTCCGAAAGGGGACGAGTGTGCCTTTGTTCATGGCGAAGTTGGCGACTCAGCGCAACCTGCTATCCAGTCGAAGGTGAGACACATGCAGTCAGCAAGACAGCTCTGTCGGCTCACATCGAGCAGGGCATAACCCCCGTCACTCCGTTCAAGAGCATCTGGCACATGCACTTCCCCCCTGAGGGAATGAACAACGGAATCTACACGTAGATTGACGAAAACCGAGTTCCCTCGTTCTGATCGGTATCATCAGGTGGGCAGTGCATAAGCTCCGCAAGTCCAAGGTTGGTTGCATGTCTCCCTGTTCCTACATCCTAATGGGCTGGAACCCAGTTGAAACTTTGCCGTCATGTCGAGGACATCGAGCTTTGAAAGGCCTCTAGCACATAATTCAATTTTCTGCTCTTCGCTTTTCAAGCAACATTCTTTTTCGTCAAGTGTTTCCCATGCGGGGGGTTTACTTGGCAGCTACAGGGGCAAGGCCTGAGGTGAAAGGCTCCTTGCCATCACGAGGAAGGTGGTCATAGTACCTGAGACAAGTTCAGGACAGCGAGGACAAACCTTTCTCTCTAGTACGTTTGCCATGATGCCTTGACCTTGGCAATGTCCGCATTACTCCCTGCGGCCTTGATAGCTTGAAAGCAGTCAGACGTGATCCACTCAAATCTCCATGAAAATACCTTGAGAGAAAGCTTCGGCGTCCTTGTTCAATCGAATGCTGATCTTGTCGGGCACCTCACTCTTCTTCTGGGCATCCCCGTAAAGCTTCATTGCGTTCACCATGTCAGGTTCGATCTCCAGCAGCTGTTCGATAGTAGCTCTGCCTGACTCGATGCCGTCCATGATCTCAAGGCCCTGAAAAACAATAGGTGAGGATGGGATCAGTACAAGCAATATTCCAGCAATAGAACAAAAGCAAAGTAGAAATAAAGACAGCATCGTCTCTGTCACAAAGCATAGTTTCATAACGTTTCACCTTCTTCACACGGGGTACGTAGCGATTCTTGGCTGTGCGCTGCATTGAAAACAAGTAACCATTTCATCACATGCCTTTGGCGGAAGTGTGCTCGCATTGGAAAAGAAACATGTATCAGACCTTAGAAGAGAACTTGCCGGTGGAATCCGCAAACGCATAAGTGGGGAGTGAGATTCCTGCCACAAGCGCAAGAGCCTCTCGACGATTGATCGCCATGGACAAACCCTGCGCTCCCCTTGCTGTCCGGCAGATCCCCACCATGGATGAAGCAAGGGGTGAGCTGAATCTACCTCCCATCATGGCCGATGAGGAGGGAGAAAGAGAAGACATGGCAGGGAGGAGAACAAAGGCGTCTGAGCTTAACACCATGGCTGCCGCCGTCAAGCATAGCAGCGACAAATTTGCGCCTTGAAGCTGCATCGGGAGTTCGATGGCGGTACTGCTGTCGAATAGGACTCTAGTGCCTAGGAGGGGTGCTAGTAGGATCCTCCAAGACTACCCCTAGTCTCTACTCATTCGAAAGGGGTGGAATCCAGTGGGGTGGTTGCTGCTTTGATGTGAAGTGACAAATCATGATGATATTTGGCATGACATGGGGAGCGAACGGTAGCAGGAAGGGGAGGGGAGACGGAGGGAGGGGGGGGGGAGAAGGGAGGGGAGAGGGGAGGTGGATCGATAGGGGAAAGGACAAAAGAAGTATGGATCGAAATTCCGAGGTGTGAAATGCTCTGAATGTGCTTGCGCAGAAAGATTTTTCGACCTTGTGGCACATGGCAGATGCAGACTGAGGAGCAGCACTCATTTCACTGCGGTCCCCTGTCCATGTTTGGTAGTCGGTGAACTTCATGTACAGACAGGGGATGGGAGGGTCCTGGACCAGGCTCTTGGTGGTGTGTTTGAGTCTGCTGGGTTGCAGAGTTGCTGCATCGATCGAGGGATGCGGCAAGTGGGAGAACCAGACAGCGTCAGGGGTGGCGCCGAAAGTCTACTATCACAAGTCTACATCGATCAATGGCAACGTTGCGCTTTTCGGGGGATTCGGTGAGTAGCCATGCGTGGCCATCTGTACTTGGCTGATCTTGTGTAGACGAGAGCGACGAGTTGCAGCAAACTCTGTGGCTCTACTCGGCATCGTCTAAAACCTGGTCCCATATTAATGCCACTTCATCGTGGCCAGCAGGAAGGATCCACCATTCGTTCGCTTCCAATCAACTTGACTCGGCGTCTGACACCATTTACCTCTTCGGCGGTCTAGGTACTCACGCTACTCCCTCGCTCCTCCACTCTGAGTGCTCATATCCCAGATGGACAAAACCGATCCCTGGATGATCTCTGGAGACTGAAAGCGGCTTCTTGGACATGGGACGTGCTCAACGTGTCTTCTGAGCGGCCGAGTGCGAGATATGGTCATGCGTCCGTCGTGCTGGCGGATCGAGTTCTAATCTTCGGCGGAAGGGGTCCTCACTCTCCCAGGGTCAACTATCACTGACCGTTCTCCGCAGATTCGAACGGGTCGGACTTGAACGATTTATGGATTTTTACTATCGATACGAACTGGACGAAAGTGGAATACAACATGGCTTCGTGGCCCCCGGCGAGGAGTTTTCACAGCATGTCCATCTCGGAAGGAAAAGTGGCTCTATTTGGTGGAATCGAAGGTGGAGTCTCCGTTCTGGATGACTTCTGGTTGTACAGTGTGGATCAGTCCTTGTGGATGTTGTTGACTCCAGTCGTCCGACCAAGTGCTAGATACAACCACTTCATGGCCCCGATCTTTTCCTTCTTGTTCCTTTTCGCGGGTAGGACGGCTGAAAGCACGATGGATGATGTTTGGGCATATAAAGATCATGAGTGGGAACTCATGCAAGATTCGCCATCGAGCTCTTTGCTTGCCGACGGGATAAGCATGGCAGTGATCAACCAGGCTACTCTCTTTGTTAACGGAGGAAAACTCTCCAACACCTTTATTGAAGGCGTGTGGACATACAACACATGCATCTGTCCAGCTGGTACGGAAATCGGCATTCATGGTTGCCTACCCTGCAATGCAGGGTTCATCAAAAATGCCACAGGAAATCAGAGCTGTTCTCCATGTCCGGCCAACACCTATTCCTCGGTCTCGCGCACTACATGTGAAACATGCCCTCTACATTCAGTGTCAGGGAACAGATCGCAAGACAAATGGAACTGCACTTGCATCGAAGGATATGGGTATGAAGGCGGGCAGGAGCTAGTCTGCAGCGAGTGTCCCAGGGGGTATGTCAAGAATAGTGTGGGCAACTATGCTTGCTCTCCATGTCCGGCCAACACCTATTCCTCGGTCTCGCGCACTACATGTGAAACATGCCCTCTACATTCAGTGTCAGGGAACAGATCGCAAGACAAATGGAACTGCACTTGCATCGAAGGATATGGGTATGAAGGCGGGCAGGAGCTAGTCTGCAGCGAGTGTCCCAGGGGGTATGTCAAGAATAGTGTGGGCAACTATGCTTGCTCTCCATGTCCGGCCAACACCTATTCCTCGGTCTCGCGCACTACATGTGAAACATGCCCTCTACATTCAGTGTCAGGGAACAGATCGCAAGACAAATGGAACTGCACTTGCATCGAAGGATATGGGTATGAAGGCGGGCAGGAGCTAGTCTGCAGCGAGTGTCCCAGGGGGTATGTCAAGAATAGTGTGGGCAACTATGCTTGCTCTCCATGTCCGGCCAACACCTATTCCTCGGTCTCGCGCACTACATGTGAAACATGCCCTCTACATTCAGTGTCAGGGAACAGATCGCAAGACAAATGGAACTGCACTTGCATCGAAGGATATGGGTATGAAGGCGGGCAGGAGCTAGTCTGCAGCGAGTGTCCCAGGGGGTATGTCAAGAATAGTGTGGGCAACTATGCTTGCTCTCCATGTCCGGCCAACACATACACCGCTAACTCAACGAAGACTTGTACGCACTGTACGTCAAACTCAAGCTCTCCAGCTGGATCGTGGAGCGTTTTGAACTGTACCTGCAATCCAGGCTATGTCCATGAGCTTGTCAACAGCACTACGTGCTCAGCCTGTCCTGAAGGGAAATACAGGAACGTGAGCGCCACCTCGTGCATCACTTGCCCGCCGTCGACATTTTCGGATGTGAAAGGAGCAAGCTCTGTAGAAATGTGCAAATCTTGCCCGACACTTTACTATTGGAAGTGGTTCCCCATCGCATCGGCACATGTCAGTCTCTATCCTCAATTCGACTTGTCGGAGAGCTCCTTCCAACTGCTGCTACAACAATGTGGTTGCAATCCAGGCGAAGGATTGAACCCGTCCCAGCTTCCCTATTGCGTCGCATGGTACGCGTACTGTGCTCTCTATGAACTCTCCTGCAATCTGAATGTCTCGCAGCGAAGCAGGAAAGTACAAGGACGTGTTTGGCCCATACAACTGTACTTCTTGTCCCAACAACATGATCTCGCAGTCAGGAGCCGATTCGAGGCTGAGCTGTGTCTGCGACAAGGGATACTATGGTGAGAACGGTCTGAACTGCTCCGCATGTCCCATGGGCAAGTACAAGTCAAATTCTGGCTCGGCTCCATGCAACTCTTGCCCTGTTTCCAAGTGAAGACTGAATGTTGATGACCTTCTGTCTCTCATGTTCGTTGCAGGTACTCAGACTCCCTCGCTGCCACCAACGTGCAGGCATGTCTCAGTTGTCCGGATCATAGCTTCTCGAAAGAGGCAAGCACAATCATCTCAGACTGCAAGTGCAAGTGAGATTGAAGCGGTGTGATGAGTCAAAGTTTGTGACGCTTCGTCCATTCAGTGCTGGCTATGGAGTTGTGAACGAGACTATTTGCGTCGCTTGTGTTCCAGGAGTACGCACAAACTTGTGAATGTTGCTGCTGCTCATCATTGCCGTATGAGCAGAAGTACAAGGATCAAACTGCAAACATAGATTGCACCGCCTGTCCGGCTCATTCCAGCGCACTACAGACTGCATCCACAGTGTGCAAGTGCAATGCGGGGTATGAGCCCACGGTAAGACTTGTGGTAACGAGCCGACGTGTTGAGCGGCGTGCAGAATCTTCAGGCATCCGCTTTGGAGTGTGTTCTCTGTGCTGCAGGACGGTACAAGATGGTCATCGACAACGTCGGGTGACGTGGCAACATCAAGTTCTGACTAGGCTGATTGTCCGATGGCAGATGTTCCGCGTGTAAACCTTGGTTCCTACCCAGGAACGCTTCCTATGGTCTGCCTGCTGTTCGCAGCCTCTGTTGCTGATCTTGTTGCCTCTTGTCAGTGAGTCCAACCATCCATGACAAGCCCTGCCTCTGGGAATGCCTTCCCGGCCAGTTCTATCTCTTGAGCCACCTGCCCAACGTCTACAACGAGGAGCTAAAACGATCCAACTACTCGAACTCGCTCCGGCCCAACACCTGCCTGCCTTGCTCGCCTGTCCCAAGCACAAACCCGTGCGGCCTTGTGGTTGGAAGGCTCCTTCTCCTGACATGTTCCCTCAGCTGCGGCAGCGGAGAATTCTACAACTGCACCACCTACTCGCGGGACGGGTGACGATCGACCGCAATGAAGCCGCGGGTCTTATGTGAATGCGCAGATGCGTCAAGTGCTCGAACATGCAAGGGAGAGGGAGGTGCTTCACATTCTCATTTCTTACAGGCAACTGAATTCTTGTCTTTATCAGCTACCTGGACCCGAATCCCTCCTGGGACAACTGTTTGAAATGCTCTTCCTCCACGGCTAATTGCAACTGCGGTCAGTGCCCGTTGACATGCGATCAGGGCACTTTCAAAAATGGAGGGACGGACTCCAATCCTGTCTGCCAAGACTGCGCTTGCGAGGTCATCAGTACTTCACTGCCTTCCTCCCTCCTGCCTCTTCTCGCTCCCTCCCGCTCACCCCCTTCTCTTCATTCCTCTTTACTCCCTTGCCTTCCTTTGGTAACAAGGGTAGCAGAACCCCAAGGGACCTTGTGGCATCGGTCCCCTCTGGACTTGCGATAGCACTCCTCCCTCGACGTGATGGAGCAGGTCGTTAGATTACTGTACATATAAGCCCGAGCCATCAAGTGACCTGCAGCAGTCTCTCCTTCTTGTTCCGCATTTCTTCCGCTCGCATGCGCTCTCCCCTGCTGTTATGCACAGCCTCGAGCCCCTCAAAGATGCTGGTGGCGATCATCGGGTCGCTTGTGCGGAGGTTGTCCGCGATCTCCAGCATCCTTCCCTCCCTGGCAATGATGTCGTCGTAAGCCCGCGAGCTCAGGTTGACAAAGAAAGCCTCCATGTCCTTCTGCATGCTTTCTTGCAACGTTGCTCCCATCCACACGCATTTCTCCGGGGGCAGTTCTGTCCTGCTGCTGTGGCTGAAGACAAGCTGTAGCGAGTGGTCCGGCTCTTCGACGTCGATCGGCGGCTCCTTGGAAGGCACCAGCTCGTCTCCCATCGTCTCCACGTACAGCAACTTTCTGCGCGCGTAGGTGTAGACGCCTGCACCGATCAGCAGGACCCCAGCAAAGGCGATTAGCACGTAGAGAACTATGAAGCCTGCGCTGAGCGAGCTACTTGCAAGACTAGCTCCACGCTTGTACTCAAATTTCGAGATGTCTGAGAAGCCAGCAGTAGCAAGGCGCTGCTGGAGGACACCTGACGCGAGTAGCTTCTCTACACCCACAGCCTCCTGCTCCGAGTTGCACAGAATTGCCACGCTGACCTTGACCAGGATGCTGGCTCGCCTCGCCGACGAAGACTGGGTTATCAAAACTGAGTTCAAATCAACCTGAAGGTACTGGGCGATGACACTGGAAAAGGTAGTCTGCTGCGAAGCATCGAAGCTGTTGGCGACTGTCAACTGCATTGACAGGCTGACATAAATCTGACACGCAAAAGAGGTAGTCGCGCCCACCGGGGAGATGGTTGAGGGAGGGCAGATGGAGCAAGTTGAGGCTCCTTTGGTGGGGTTGAACTTGCCGATTTCACATTGGATGCATGGAGTTGAATCTCCCAGCGAGTATTTCCCTTCCTCGCAATCGAAGCATGCAATAGCAGCAGGGCTGTCCTTGAAAAAGTACTTTCCAGCATAGCAACCTGTGCAGGTTTGTGAATTCGGATCGAACCTGTACTTGCCCAGTGGGCAAGAAGAGCATCTTGCATCCGAAGTTCTACTGCAAGGACTCCATTGGTACTCTGAAATTTTACAGATCTGGCAAGTCTTGCAGGCGGTACTGCCACTCATATCACTGTACTGATCCGAAGGACAACTCGTGCAGGTCGAGCTTCCTGATGCAGCAGAGTATTTCCCTGCAGCGCACACTGCACAAGGTGGATCCGCGTTATTGGCTAATGCGTAAGTTCCTGCAGCGCAAGACATACAGAAGGATAGTCCAGCATTGGTGTTGTATTTTCCCGGCTCACAATCAATGCAAGGCTGTGATCCCACGAAGACCTTGTACTTTCCCTTCGCGCATAGGGTGCATACTGCGTTATTCTGGAACGAGCAGTTCACAAGGTTATATTCTCCCTGCCCGCATACTGTACAGTCACGGCAATCATTAACAGCCTTGCATTCTGAGTAGATGTATTTCCCGGTTGGACATTGTTGGCAATCTGCACAGATCCTGTCTGAAAGCGGAGAGCATTCTGACGAAATGTATTGCGTCTTTGTGCAGTTTGAACATGGTGTGCATACCGTGTCAACTGTGCGATTGCAGGATTTAGTCTTGAAGGTTGGAAACCGACATGTAGAGCATTGCATGCAAGTAGAAGCTCCTGGGAGCGGAGCGACAGTACCATCAGCACATTGGACACACACCGTGGGGCTGGTGGCGCCCACTACCGTAGAAAAATTTCCAGCCGCACAGGGCGTGCATGCGCTTGCAGTTATGTCAGATCTGTAGGTTCCTGCAGGGCACTGTATACAGTCAGGTCCAAAGTATCCTGCATAACAGACACAGGCAGATTTAGAGGTACTTCCAGCTTTCGACATTGAATTCGTTGGACAGTCCATGCACTGGGTAGACGACGTAGCCACGGCAAGGGATGAAAATTTTCCAGCAGGGCATTCATTGCAGACTTGATCAGCCACTGCTCGAAATTTTCCTGCTCCACATGGAACACAAACTCCCTGCGCCGATTTGATGTAACCAGCCACGCACAAACAAATTCCGTATGTTGAATAGGTATTCACAGGGCAATCATAACATGTGGAGGACGCAGCTGCAGAGTAATTATTTCTGGGACAATAGGAGCACTGAGTGAGCCCAAGCTCTGCGGTGTAAGTGCCTTCCTTGCAAGCAGAGCAGGTGGAGGGATCGGAGCTGTAGTACCCGTAGTTGCATTTGCACGATGCACTCGAAATACTACCTGGGTTTGAAACCGCATATCGCGTGCATGGAGTGCAAAGGCTGACGTTTGATACAGGCACCTCGCTGTAAGTATTTGCTGGACATTTTAGACACACGGTAGAGCCATCATAGGAGTATTGGCCAGGCAGACAGCTCTTGCACGTGTCGACAGTCAAAGACCCAGAGATATTGGAAAATTTACCGCCTCGGCATGCTGTACAGTTGCCGCCGTGCGGACCCCAATAACCAGCATTGCAAGTGCAGCTGGTTCTCTGCGGACTCCCCTCGGGAGAATAGGAGTTGTTTGGGCACTGCAGGCAATTGCCTAACGAAGGCGCCGCGTCAATCTCCGAATATTTGCCAGCAGGACATGCTACACAGTTTGATGTGCCTATGATGTCCTTGTATTTGCCCTTGCTGCAAGCTTGACATGTACTCCAACTGAATGCGATGGTTCCAGAGTATCCAGCACCACATTTGCAACCTGATATCGGCACATTGTTGTACACAGATACTGATTTCTCGGGGCAATTGGAACATACTGCATTGGTTGTTGGGCTGCACACTGTCGACGCGTATTGCCCTATCTGACATTGCGTGCATGGCTGGCACTTATTCGCACTATCCCTCCAGTAGCCTGTGTTGCACTGCCAATCGCAGCCTGATCCGGTCCAGTGCGCCAAATCATCCTTGGCATCGCAATTAGGGGTAGGACAGACCTCTATCACCCCGGCAGGGCAGAGGGGGTTCTCTGGAGAGACGCTGTTACACGGCTGATTGGTGCAATTACACGATGCAACAACTACAGCCGCTTTGAAGTAGTAACAGGCACAACCACTGGTCCACACGCAGTTGAACCTCTGGGGACGAAGGCGTGGTTCCAGGTTGTCATCGCCTTTGTAGCATGCAGAGCTGTAGCCAGAGATTCTGCAGCTGCTGTAGCCGCAGTCATTATCATACTGGCACGACATTCCATATCCCTCGCTCCCTCCTGCCATTCCTGCTGCCCATGCTGCTACAAGTGCGAACGCCGCCCCTTGCATCTCATCAGTCGCCAGGGACCCCACCCCCTAACTGATTAATTTTTCGGGTTCGATACCCTTCTTTCAAAACAGTAATAGATAGAGAGGGGGTAGTGTGCCTCTCACAGTGGGGTCCTTTGACTAGTGAAAAAAACAAATCATTCGATGTACGAGTTGCTTTTTCGATGAAGAAGGCAGGTGGTAGAAGAGAGATGACAGGGAGTCAACCTCCTCCGCTTCTTGTGTACAAGTGGTGCCAGGGAGTCAACCATCTTGAGGGTGTTTGGGACTAGAGCAATAGAGAGGCAAATGTCATGATTGAGACTCAATTCGAAAAAGTGTATGAGAAGATGTGTGAGGGAGAGGGAGAGGGAGAGGGAGAGGGAGAGGGAGAGGGAGAGGGAGAAGGAGGGGGAGAGGGAGAAAGAGGGGGATGGGGGAGAGGGAGGGAGGGGGAGGGGAGCACGGGAGTTTGGGGGGGGGGGGGCGGGAGCACGGGGAGCGTGAGAGAGTGGGAGGGAGCCATTGGTATTGATCCATTCATTTTTCCCATGTTTGGTACAAAAGAGCTTTTTGAGAGTCATGGAATTTTGAATTTCCTCTCTTATGCCAAGTGTGAAGAAATCAAAGATTCAAAATTAAGGTATTCATGTTCTTCACAACGTCAGTTCCAACTAGGTTCCACACCTGTCTTTGATGGCGGAAACTTTGCAATTTAATCGTTCTTTGGTAGAGTTTGACAGGACTTTGCCGCCCACTCACATGTCTGATCAAGAGGACCACACCGAATTAACGGGGAATGTAAATATTTGATCCATTTTTGACATCTGTTGACACGTTTCTTGTGCAGAAATATGGTTTCAGTACTGCCAGTGAGCTGCGGCGGATTGCGCGAGGGAGGGACTCAGCAAGCACAACGTCCTCAGTCATTTCTAACTCGAGCACTTTGTCGGAAAGAGACATCAAGGTCAGAAAGAGGAGGGCGTACGCTGAAAAGGTAAGACACGTTGGATGCGGGAATGAAAAGGAAAGCTCTGACATGCTGCTATTTGTGACCAGTACAAGGACTTGAGGCCCCCGCTTTCATCTCAGGGCAGCAGACTCTCATTTCTGCTCGTCCTGGTCCTCATTACCTTCTTCGTGAGCATAATCCTAGCTTGCAGCATCAGGGACGTGCATGCTTTCCTCGGTATGCCGAATTGGGAGGATGTGCAGAACGAGCATTCAGTGAAGATGACCAAGTTGGAGCGTGAGTACATCGCAATGATTCAGAAGCAGATGGAAGAAGAGCTCGCTGCTGGCAAATACAGGCCAAGAGCATTTAACTAAGAGCCTTCAAAGGCTTTGTATGGACTTGCAGTTCGCATGTAAACTCTGGCGAAGTTGCATGAAAGTTTGATTTAACTTACGGTTGAGGCTGGGGAGGCAGGAGCAGCTTTATGTAGTTTTAGAGGCCTCTGGACGGCCGGTCACGGTCACGTGATCATCGAATCCTAGCAAGGCTGATCGTGACGCTGTCGGAGGAGCGGCCGCTGGCTACTTTCCGCCGCCGTTGCGCCACTTGTGACATGATCATTCAACGTCTTGCGGCCAAGCCGCGGCGGCGGTTAGAGATGGTTGCACTCGTCAGATTCAACTTAGAATGGGCCCGGCCCGCGAGTCCGAGTCCGATCAACCGCAGCTGTCTTTCAAGTCAAGTCGTTCAACGGGTCAAGCCTCTTTAACTTAACTTTAAGTAAGTGGCATGTCATGATGATGAACCGGGTTACTAGCCCGCCGGCCGTGCGGGCCGCTGTACGGTCAGCCACGGTGACCCGGGCGGACAACTTGGCAAGTTCATGGTGACGGCGTCGGAGAAGTTCAGCCCGGCTGGGCCGGGGGTTAAGTGCTCAAAGTAAGTCAAAAATCAGTACGAACCCCATCCGGCGAGGCCTTCGGAGGTCTTTCGTGCGGCATTCGGAAACTTGCCTCGGTAGACCGAACTGAGAGCGGCAACTTGAAGGGACGATGAAGCCCGGAAGTTGAACTCCGAACCGGGGCCTAGTGGTGCCCTGAGTGTTGAGAAAGTTCAGTTGGCCCGAAAGTGTTTAGCTGTACGGCCGGGCGGTGAGACTCTGAGACGATCTCACTGAGTCACGGTCAGGTCACCACGGTCCGGGCCCCGGGCCGGTGACCGTCCCCCCGGCCCGCCGGGACTCGCCCTCGGGAGTGAGCCTCTCAACCGTCGTCAGTGTTCAGTGTTTGATGGAACGTATGCCAGCCGTGCCAGTCAGATAGCGCCGAGTTAACAAAAACTCTCCTGTAAACCAAGACGACTTACGTGGCAAGGCGGACGATGTAGCGTGTGGGACGAAGAGGGGGGCTTTCCTAGCCGTCTTGCCAAGTTGCTAAGGTCCTCTCATGTCTGGATGCTTGGGTTTCACATCCTAGCATACAGCCTCTATCTCTCATGTGCTACTCCGAGAATTCTGGTTTTGTGTGTCATTAAACTCGGTCTTGAGCAAAAACTGTCTTGTTACAACTAAGGTCGATGTGAAATCTGCGTGACTTTGGACTAGTACAAGTCTAACAAACTTGTATTCCGTCACCGTGACTGCCGTGTTCACGCCCGGCCGCCGGTCAGTGGACTCAGTCTCCGGCCGCAGGTATGATAGGAGTGAAGAGGACTTGGGCTCCCCCGGGCCCGGGCCGCGCGCCACCCGTTGTACTACCGTAAACCGTGAACTTAGCAACGGTGGGCCGGCCGGGGTTCAAAGCTCCGAGCCTCAGTAGTCACGGTTTGAGACTCTCAGGGCGCCGATTGAGTGAAAGTGGTTTGGCCCCGGTCAGGGTCTGCCCGGGCCGGACAGACGGGCTCAATGCAAGGTCTGTTACCTCTTTTGTTACCCTGTCTGAATTTACTATTTCCACAGCTAGAAAATGTGAGACCTTGACCTAGGGGGATTGATGTGCCGCTTCACCCGTGCACGAGATTGTTCTCTCTAAAACTTTTTTAAAACATCTTTTTTGGAACTAGCCGATTCTGGGATTGGTTCATGGTACTGGAAGTTGTACAAGTAATTGCTACCACTAACAAAATTCTATTGATTTAGTTTCAGAATATCACGTACATATACTTTAATAACAGAATATTGGTTTACATTCATTACTAATAAACAGTCACTTCTCCAGAAATCTATATAATTCAATAACCATAGTAAAGATCTTCTAATCTTTGGTATCTGATCAATACAATTTTATATCATTGTATGATGCAGGGTACTAGAGCACTGATGGGGTCTTAGGAATCTCTAGTTGATACGAGATAGAACCTATCATCCTAAGACCCTGCTAGGACAGCGCAGCGGCGGGAGAGGAAGCGGAGAGGTAATGCACATGATAGCTGCAGGCGCTTGGTCTGTCAGCAATGGCGGGCTGGGATTGGAGATTGCAACTGTTTTTTCTTCTCGTTTCTTGTTATTCGTGAAATCCGTCGCACTTTTTTGTTGAATCCTCTGCAACTCTGTGCTGTGACTGGTGAAAGATGTATGACCGTACACTCGTGAGAATTGGGATTGAAACTGTATCAAGGTTGTTCGGTTTGTTATCCATTTGAATGGTGTAGATATCTTTCATCCTGGGCAGTGTTTATTTACATGAAGAATCATTCATTCAGCCCCACACACGAATGCTGTGATAGATTTAGCAGTTTCTTTGATGTTGCTAGCATGTTTTGACAACCATGGTTCTAGTGATCTGGAAATGTCCGGGCAACCTCCACCTCCGCCGCCTCCGCAGGGATTCCCTCCAGGATTCAAGCCAGGAATGCCACCGGGCTTTCCTCCGATGCGAGGAATGCCACACGGTGCACCACCACCACCACCTGGATTTCAACCGGTAAAGACTAACCAAACCCTATACGATACCTCTGAGCATTTTCATAGAACGCTCCTATGCCGCCCCAACAATCCCATTCGCAGCCAGACCTCGCCATGGACCAGGAAAGAATTTTGGAAGAGAAGGCTCGCAAGTGGCAATCGTTGCAGTCAAAGCGCTATGGCGACAAAAGGAAATTTGGTTACGTTGAGGCTCAAAAAGAGGATCTTCCCGCAGAACATTTGCGTAAAATCATCAAGGATCATGGTGATATGACTAGCAAAAAGTTCAGGCACGACAAGCGTGTATACCTCGGTGCGTTGAAGTACGTTCCTCACGCAGTTCTCAAATTGCTCGAGAATATGCCTATGCCATGGGAGCAGGTATGCCTTGACTGATCTAGCACCAGAAACCTGATATCTTCATAACAGGTTCGTAACGTCAATGTTCTATACCATCTTACTGGTGCTATCACCTTCGTCAACGAAATTCCCAAAGTGATTGAACCCGTATTTATCGCACAATGGGGAACAATGTGGATTATGATGCGACGTGAGAAGCGTGATCGAAGACACTTCAGAAGGATGCGCTTTCCACCTTTTGACGATGAGGAACCTCCTCTGGACTTTGGAGACAATATCCTAGATGTCGAACCGCTTGAAGCCATCCAGGTAATCCATATCTTGCTTTTTGATTCGTCCTTACAAATTTTGTAGATGGAGCTCGATGAGGATGAAGATGCACCAGTTATCGATTGGTTGTATGATGGTAGCTATCCCTTGCGATACACCAAGTTCGTCAACGGACCGTCCTATCGATCATGGCGTTTGAATGTCCCTATCATGGGAACCCTCTACCGTTTGGCTTCTCAATTGCTGTCGGATCTTACAGATAGGAACTACTTCTATCTTTTCGATCTGCCATCTTTTTATACTGCCAAGGCTCTCAATGTCGCGATTCCTGGAGGTCCGAAATTCGAACCTTTGTATCGCGATGACAACGTTGATGAGGAGGACTGGAATGAATTCAATGACATCAACAAGATTATTGTTCGCCAGCAGATTCGAACGGAATACAGGGTTGCATTCCCATATCTGTACAATTCGCGACCAAGGAAAGTGCACATGGGCGTCTACCATTACCCGACATGCACTTACATCAAGGCTGAAGACCCAGACCTGCCTTGCTTTTACTTCGACCCATTGATCAATCCTATCGCAAATTACAAGTCTACGGTGCGATCCGAGGTGGAGTTGGAGGACTTGGATGAAGACTTTCAGCTTCCAGAAGAAGTGCAACCATTCTTGACCAACACTCCGCTGTACACGGACAATACCGCCAACGGCATCGCGCTGTACTGGGCTCCTCATCCTTTTGATAAGAGGTCTGGTGTGACGCGCCGATGCGTTGACGTTCCTTTGGTTAAGGAATGGTATCAAGAGCACTGTCCACCAAATCATCCTGTGAAGGTTCGAGTCAGCTATCAGAAGCTGCTCAAGTGCTACGTTTTGAACAGATTACATCATAGGCATCCGAAGGCCCTAAACAAACGATATTTGTTTAAAATTCTTAGGTCTACCAAGTTTTTCCAAACTACTCAGATTGACTGGGTAGAAGCTGGACTTCAGGTTTGCCGTCAAGGATACAACATGCTCAATCTGCTCATCCACAGGAAAAATTTGAACTACTTACATCTTGATTACAACTTCAACTTGAAGCCTATCAAGACCCTTACCACCAAAGAGCGCAAAAAATCCCGTTTTGGAAATGCGTTCCATCTTTGCAGAGAAATTCTCCGCTTGACGAAAATTATTGTGGATAGCAACGTCCAGTTTCGATTGGGGAATGTGGACGCTTTTCAGCTTGCTGATGGATTGCAGTACACTTTTGCACATGTTGGTCAGCTCACTGGCATGTATCGCTACAAGTATCGATTGATGAGGCAGATCAGGATGTGTAAAGATTTGAAGCACCTCATTTATTATCGATTCAACACAGGACCGGTCGGCAAAGGCCCTGGATGTGGATTTTGGGCTCCGGGATGGCGTGTGTGGCTGTTCTTTCTCCGAGGTGTGGTACCCTTGTTGGAGAGGTGGCTTGGCAATCTCCTTGCTCGACAATTCGAGGGCAGACACAGCAAGGGTATTGCTAAAACGGTCACGAAGCAGCGTGTCGAATCCCACTATGACCTTGAACTACGTGCTGCTGTCATGCATGATATTCTTGACATGATGCCCGAGGGTGTCAAGCAGAACAAGAGCAAAACCATTCTCCAGCATTTGAGCGAGGCATGGCGATGCTGGAAAGCCAACATTCCATGGAAAGTTCCAGGAATGCCGATTCCGATTGAGAACATGATTCTGAGGTACGTGAAAGCCAAGGCTGATTGGTGGACGAATGTTGCTCACTACAACCGAGAGCGTATTCGACGAGGTGCCACTGTTGACAAAACTGTCTGCAAGAAGAATCTTGGCCGTCTCACTCGTTTGTGGCTCAAGGCAGAACAGGAGCGTCAGCACAACTACTTGAAGGACGGTCCTTATCTGAGTGCAGAAGAGGCAGTTGCAATCTACACAACAACGGTTCATTGGTTGGAAAGCCGTAAGATTACTCCAATCATTTTCCCTCCGTTGAATTACAAGCATGACACGAAGCTTCTCATTCTTGCGCTGGAGCGCTTGAAGGAATCATATAGTGTGATGAGCCGCTTGAATCAATCTCAGCGTGAAGAGCTCGGACTGATTGAGCAAGCTTACGATAATCCACATGAGGCTTTGAGCAGGATCAAACGTCATTTGCTCCAGCAAAGGACCTTCAAGGAAGTCGGAATTGAATTCATGGATCTCTATTCTCACATGATTCCTGTCTACGATGTGGAGCCTTTGGAGAAGATCACTGATGCATACCTCGATCAATACATTTGGTACCAGGCTGATAAGAGTCGTCTGTTCCCCAACTGGGTGAAGCCTGCAGACACTGAACCTCCTCCGCTTCTTGTGTACAAGTGGTGCCAGGGAGTCAACAATCTTGAGGATGTTTGGGACTACAGCAATGGAGAGGCAAATGTCATGATTGAGACTCAATTCGAAAAAGTGTATGAGAAGATTGATCTTACGTTGCTCAATCGTTTGCTGCGCCTTATTGTCGATCACAACATTGCAGAGTACATGACAGCTAAGAACAACGTTTTGTTGAACTACAAGGATATGAACCATCTTAATTCTTATGGTCTCATCCGTGGACTTCAGTTTGCCTCTTTCATCTTCCAGTATTATGGCTTGGTGCTGGATCTTCTGGTGCTGGGACTCACGAGGGCAAGTGAAATTGCTGGAACTCCGATGAAACCGAACGATTTCTTATGCTACGATTCTATTGCAACGGAGGTGATGATCTTGCTTTTGCTTGTGTGTGAACTGATTGGTGGTACAGGTAAAACATCCTATCCGCCTGTACTGTCGCTACATTGAAAGGGTATACATTGTCTTCCGTTTCACACACGAGGAGCAAAAGGATCTGATTCAGCGCTTCTTGAGTGAACATCCCGATCCTAACAATGAGAACGTGATTGGTTACAACAACAAGAAATGCTGGCCGCGCGATGCGAGAATGAGGTTGATGAAACATGATGTGAATCTTGGTAGGGCTGTGTTCTGGCACATCAAGAATCAGCTTCCTCGTTCGGTTACTACAGTGGAATGGGAAAACAGCTTCGTCTCAGTTTATAGCAAGGACAATCCTAACTTGTTGTTCAACATGTGTGGTTTCGAAGTGAGAATCCTTCCCAAGTGCAGAATGCTGCAAGAAGACTTCAGCCACAGAGATGGCGTGTGGAATCTTCAAAATGAAACGACGAAAGAGAGGACCGCACAAGCATACTTGCGAGTGGATGAAGAATCGCAGAAGAAATTCGAAAATCGCATCAGGCAAATTTTGATGTCGTCTGGCTCCACCACTTTCACGAAAATTGCAAATAAGTGGAATACCGCTGTCATTGGTTTGATGACATACTTTCGCGAAGCTGTCATCCATACAACAGAGTTGCTGGACTTGTTGGTGAAGTGCGAGAACAAGATTCAGACTCGTATCAAGATCGGCTTGAACAGCAAGATGCCTTCAAGGTTCCCGCCAGTGGTGTTCTACACACCCAAAGAGTTGGGTGGCCTTGGTATGCTTTCCATGGGACATGTCCTCATACCACAGAGCGACCTGAGGTTCTCCAAGCAGACTGATGGTGGCATCACTCATTTTCGGTCTGGTCTCACTCACGATGAAGATCAAATGATCCCCAATCTCTACAGGTATGTCCAGCCTTGGGAAAGTGAGTTTCTTGATTCACAGAGAGTATGGGCTGAATATGCACTGAAGAGGCAAGAGGCAAACGCACAGAACCGACGTCTTACTTTGGAAGATCTTGAGGATTCTTGGGACAGAGGCATTCCCAGAATCAACACTTTGTTTCAAAAAGATCGTCACACCTTGGCTTACGACAAGGGTTGGAGAATCAGAACTGATTGGAAGCAATATCAGCTGTTGAAAGCGAATCCCTTCTGGTGGACTCACCAGAGACACGATGGCAAGTTGTGGAATCTGAACAATTACAGAACCGATGTCATCCAAGCGCTTGGAGGAGTTGAGGGCATTCTGGAGCATACTTTGTTCAAGGGAACATATTTCCCCACATGGGAAGGTCTGTTCTGGGAGAAAGCAAGCGGCTTTGAGGAATCTATGAAATATAAGAAACTCACTAATGCCCAGCGCTCTGGTTTGAATCAGATTCCAAACAGGCGCTTCACTCTTTGGTGGTCCCCAACAATCAACCGTGCGAATGTATACGTCGGCTTCCAAGTGCAATTGGATTTGACTGGAATCTTCATGCATGGAAAGATCCCCACTCTCAAGATCTCTCTCATTCAGATTTTTCGTGCACATCTTTGGCAGAAGATACATGAGAGCGTTGTCATGGACTTGTGTCAAGTTTTGGACCAGGAGTTGGATGCTTTGGAGATTGAAACCGTGCAGAAAGAGACAATCCACCCCCGCAAGAGCTACAAGATGAACAGCAGTTGTGCTGACATTTTGCTGTTTGCTGCCTACAAGTGGCACATCTCAAAGCCTTCGTTGCTCACTGATTCTAACGATCAGTTTGACCAAGGCACCACAAACAAGTACTGGATTGACGTTCAGTTGCGCTGGGGTGACTTTGACTCCCATGATATCGAGAGATACGCCAGAGCCAAGTTTCTAGACTACACCACGGACAACATGTCCATTTATCCTTCTCCTACCGGCAGTCTGATCTCCATCGACTTGGCTTACAATTTGTTCTCTGCCTTTGGCAACTGGTTTCCTGGAGTGAAGCCGCTACTCCATCAGGCAATGCAAAAGATTTTCAAGGCTAATCCTGCATTGTATGTGTTGAGAGAGAGGATTCGCAAAGGTCTACAGCTGTATTCGTCAGAGCCGACGGAGCCATATTTGTCCTCACAGAATTATGGTGAGCTGTTCTCCAATCAAATCATTTGGTTTGTTGACGATACCAACGTTTATCGAGTCACCATCCACAAAACTTTCGAGGGTAACTTGACAACCAAGCCTATCAATGGTGCCATTTTCATCTTCAATCCAAGGTCCGGTCAGCTGTTCCTCAAGATCATCCACACGAGTGTCTGGGCTGGACAAAAGCGTCTTGGACAGCTTGCGAAGTGGAAGACTGCGGAGGAGGTTGCGGCTTTGATTCGTTCATTGCCCATCGAAGAGCAGCCTAAGCAAATCATCGTTACTCGCAAGGGTATGCTTGATCCGTTGGAGGTTCACTTGTTGGACTTCCCCAACATTGTCATCAAGGGAAGTGACTTGCAGTTGCCCTTCCAAGCCAGTTTGAAGATTGAGAAATTTGGAGACATCATTCTCAAGGCAACAGAGCCTCAGATGTTGTTGTTCAACTTGTACGATGACTGGCTCCGTACAATTTCCAGCTACACGGCGTTTTCACGATTGATTTTGATTCTGAGAGCATTGCATGTAAATAACGAACGGGCCAAAGTCATTCTGAAACCAGACAAGACAACTGTTACTGAGCCGCATCATGTTTGGCCTACACTTTCGGATGAGAATTGGTGCAGCGTCGAAGTCGCCTTGAAGGATCTGATCCTTGCCGACTACGGCAAGAAGAACAACGTCAACGTTGCATCTTTGACTCAGAGTGAAATTCGTGATATCATTCTTGGAGCTGAAATTGCTCCTCCTTCTATGCAGAGGCAGCAGATTGCAGAGATCGAAGCTCAGGCGAAGGAGGCCAGCCAGTTGACTGCGGTGACCACTCGCACCACGAATGTGCATGGTGACGAAGTGATCATCACTACGACCTCATCGTACGAGCAGCAGGTCTTTGGATCGAAGACTGATTGGCGCGTGAGGGCGATTTCTGCCACCAACTTGCACTTGAGATGCAACCACATCTACGTCTCGTCGGAGGATGCGCGCGACACTGGCTTCACCTACGTGCTGCCCAAGAACGTGTTGAAGAAATTCATCTGCATTGCAGACCTCAGGACTCAGATTGCTGGTTATCTCTACGGCATCAGCCCGCCGGACAATCCTTCAGTGAAGGAGATCCGTTGTATCGTGATGCCTCCACAGCTAGGGAACCACCAGGGAGTTACTCTCCCCCACCAGCTTCCTGAGCACGAGTACCTCAAGGACCTGGAGCCCCTTGGCTGGCTGCATACTCAACCCAACGAGCTTCCTCAGCTCGCACCGCAAGATGTCACACAACATGCGTGCATCCTTGAGAACAACAAAGTGTGGGATATCGAGAAGGCCATTCTCATCACGTGCTCCTTCACCCCAGGCTCTTGCTCTCTCACTGCCTACAAGTTGACTACGACTGGCTTTGAGTGGGGAAGGAAGAACAAGGATCAGAGCTCCAACCCTCAAGGATATGCTCCGACACACTACGAGAAGGTCCAGATGCTCCTTTCCGATCGCTTCCTCGGCTTCTACATGGTGCCGGACACAGGATCTTGGAACTATAACTTCATGGGCGTAAAGCATCAGCAGAGCATGAAGTATGGCCTCAAGCTCGACAACCCCAAGGAGTTCTACCATGAGGTGAGTTTAACCAGAATGATTTCGATGTCTTTGAGCCGATTGCTTACTATTTGCCGCAGAGCCATCGCCCTGTTCACTTCCTGCAGTTCGCTTCCTTCGAAGACCTGGGTGCGGAAGGGCACGACCGTGACAACTCGCTTGCCTAAGGAACACGAGACAACTAGTCAAGTGGATTGGAGAGAAAGACTAGTCATGTCGTCATGGTTTCATGTCAATAAACTTTTAATGATTCACTATCCTGTGTTTTGCTCAACCTCCATCTCCTGTGAGACCTCCCGCATGATCTCTCTTGCCCACTGCTGGAGCTTGTGAGAACAATTCTGATATTCCTCGAGGCTCTTTCCGAAAGGATCCTCCAGCTCTCCCGGAAACACACGTACTCTTCGCATGCACGGGTCTGACTTGACGTCCTGCTTGCCCTGTGAGTCCAGAGACAGGTGTTGGATGTCGTCTCTCGTGCCATTGTTGGTCTCCCGCAGACATTGCTCTCTGACGTAGGACGCGTGCTTGTTCTCCATGCACAAGACCCGCTGAAAACTCGTCACCAGCTTTGAAGACACATGAGCGCTCCTGTGCTCTGAAAGTTCCGATGGGAAAAGCGCGAGGGCGTTGGGGCTGGCATGGCGTTTCCACCCAGCCTTCTCTCCTATCCCTGCACTCTCGACGTGCACAGAGGACAAGTTCATCTTCTTGATCTCTCTTCTCAGAAGCACCATCATCATTGGACTTCTGCAAGTGTTTCCTGTGCACACGGCAAGGATTTTGTACGGCTCCCTACTCTCGTTGCCCTTGACCGATGCAAAAGCGCAACAACCCTCGAAGAAGAGGATCGTGAGAATGATGATGCACAGGAAACAGCTAGCAGCAGCTCTGATCATCTTAGTTGCAACACGTTTTTTCAGCCTTGGCTCGTAAAGTTTCAACATTCTTCTCATCTAGTCGGAATCTGTTTGGGTGCGGCACTGTTGCTGGTGGCTTCAGATTGCTCGAAAGGGGAATTCCTCCATGGTGAAGTATATAGTTCGCTACACCTGATATATCGAAATCCAAGAAGATTCACACCAAATTAGTCATACGAAAGTATGTTGCGATCCTCTGAACGACCTTGTTCCATTCCAATGTTTGTAAATCCCCCCCACTTGGATCCAGATGAAACCCCAACTCCACAACTTGTCAAACACTCGTCGGTCTCTTCTCTCCTCACACTCTACCCCTCCTGCTTCATCTCTCTCCTCTCTTCTTCACCTCTCATCGCGGCACCTTCCTTTTCCTCCGACATCTTCGTCGTGCGACTGATGATGCAATTGAAGCGGTGCAAGCTCGAACCACCCTCTCTTCGACATGATTCACCCCTGCATTTACCTTGAAAACTACCCCTTCTCATGTACCCCCAGCCTGTGCCAACCGAGTCCATGGAGTCGAAGAAATGAGGCGGACCCGTCCGGGGGTATCTACCGGGACCCCGGGCCCGGGTAACTCAAACTTCCGGTCTACGGGCTGACCCTGCAGCCATGACCGACAAGAAGGCAACGGCATACTCTGTCATCAGGGTCATGGCCTAAGTCCTGCTAAAACTGCTTTTAGCTACAAAGCCCAAATCTAACATCTTTTCAGCTCCCGGTCCGTCATCATCTGCTGACTACAAAGTGCGTTCCGACTCTTTTGTACTGCTGACTAAAGTATGAAACATTTCGAAATTGAATCGTTTGGTATTCAGTACTCTGCGTCTGCTCGTCAAAGTACATTTGGTTCGGTCTGCTTTCCCCAGGTCAACTAGATCATAGTGAGTCAATTGATCAATTGAAGACCTTGAGGGGCAGGGAGGGGATCAGAAAGGGTACCAACCTCTTCATCCCTAGTTTACTACTAAATTCTCAATCGTTGTTACTTCCGTATACAAGAATCGTCAGCAAGGACTGACATCCCAACCGATCCCCTATGGTAAAGAGTCAGGCTGTAGTAAATTACAGCATCAAACACTACAAGAAACATTTTCCTGGCCAAAAATTTCCCAACAGTCTTCCTCTCCTCTCTTGCTCAAGCGTCCTCCTCCCGCCTTCCCAACTCTTCCTCCTCCCTCTTGTGCTCTGAATCCCACAAGCCTTGTATCTATTCCCCGCCACACACTCCAGGCAACAAATGTCGCACAACAAGAACTCCATTCAACTCACCCAGCCTGCGATCCGACCAACCCGCACAATTGAGATCGTCGAACTCGAACAACACCGAGTGATCTCGTCAACAAGTTTTGAAGCCAAAGACAAGAAGCAGCCCTCGGTGAAGAGTGATGGCATGTCCTGCCTACAAAATTTGATGAAAGCTCGAAGCAAAGCTTCAATCTCACCGACACTTCGACCAAGGGCAAGCGGTACCACAAGCTCTGAAAGTGACACCGAAGATGCCTAATGGCATTCCCCTTCTGTACAACTTGTAACATTAGCCTCTGTTTCACTAGCAAATCAATAAAATGTTCAACTGCATTATGGTGGTGCATGTCTTTGAAAATGAAAAATATAACGAAATTCATTTCATTGAGAGGTACAACTAAGCAAGCCCCATATTGCTGAAGGCCCTGAAGCAAGACCGGAGGGACCGGCGTTCACTTCTCAGTCTCGCCCCGTCGAATGTCTCTGGATTTCCTCAGTTCTTCTTCCCAGGTCTTGATTTCACCATGCCTTCAAAGCAAGTCATTCCAACTGGTCTTACAACAAACAAGGCAGTAAGTGATGTATTAAACCTGATCTTTCCTTTTGTGCTCTCAAAGAACTCAGACAAGTCCACGCCTTGCTCTGCCTCATACTCCTGCCAAATCCATGAGAAGATTACTCAGTGAGAACACAATGAGTGCCATCTAGAACTCACTTCAGCTTGCAAGATCATTTCAAACTTGTCGAAATCCTTCACCACCTGCCATGTTTTTCGTCCACATTACAGCATGTGAGGGAGAATCAAAATGTGCATCACCTTAGCTTCCTTGGTTTCGCCAGCTTCATACTCATTCCACAATTCTACGATTTCCTCTCCGATCCGACTACCAGGAACCTAAAAGCCTTGGTCAAGATGTCAAAACATGAATCCCGAAGCCTCAAGTACAAGAGATTTGATCTTGGACATGGCTTCAGATTCTAACTTGAACTTTTCCTGATCTGAAACACCACAATGTGGAGTGATATCGCCGACCAGTGCTTCTGCAAGATCATGAACCAGCCCGATTTTCATGCATCGCACCTGAGTGTACAGGTCAGAAGGGAACGAAACATCAAAGAAGAGTACATGGTCGACATCATTCCTATTGGAAAGAAACATCGGCAGCAAGGTGATGCGCCACGAGTGCTCAGCTACACTCTCATAATTCTGAACACCTTTTCGGACCCATCCTGTCCTTGCAGTTCTCTGCGAAAATAACCATGAATGCCCGAGCGGTCTCGCCTTCTCCAATTCACCTTGAGCTTTCCGCAAACTTTAAGGAGCTCAATGACCTCACTTGGTTTGGGTGCTTGGAATGAATTCTGTTCACCACTCATCTGGCTTGAAAGAGTCCTTGAGATCGCAAAGCGAGTCCTGCACCGTTGTCCAAAGAGAGGTCTGCTGGCAAAGAGCCTTAGATTGTGAAGCGGTATTTTGAGCGCCTGCACTGGATGACGGGCAAGAGTTGAGAGGAGCAGAGTGGTGACGAGCAGCAAGAGGCTTCGAGCTTGCGGAGGGCTGGGGGACAAGAGCTTCGTCGTCCTGGCGGGAGCAGGCAGCCTCCCAAAGCAGCTCGTAGATCCCATCCGTTCTGAAACGTTACAGAACTCATTGACGGTTGCAAACACAAGGCAGTTACAGGAAATTCTCTCGTAACGGACCAACGGTTGAACACCTTCACCCCTCTGTAGACTCATTTATTACCGGTGGTGAAATGGGTACTTCTACCAAAAACCGTCCACTGTCTACCCCCGATGGCCACCCTCCGGGACAGGCCTGGCTGCACTGCTACCCCTACTTTAAATACCATACATCTCCATAATTTGACCGTAGGGTAGTATACCCACCCTACGAAAATGAGGTCGCCTCCGCTCCCCAAACTTCATTGGCCGTTGATGGCATGGCAACCAGGACTGCGAAGCAGCGGTGTGAAGCTCATGTAGGATGAGACGAGGGGGAGAACGATTACAATATACCGGACATGTCTAGGCGAGTCTTGAACGCTCTTGTGGCCTTGAAGTCTCCTTGATATGAAGACCATCTGCGGAAGCTATCAGAAGTGAAACCGTGAGCAACTTGAGCGGTGAAGAACCGAGCAGGGCAAATATGGCAGACCAAAGTAGCAATGGCCCAGGAGGGGCCGATGCTCCAATCTCCATGCAAGAAGCGGCTCCAGCCGAAGAAGAGAGTCGAGATGAGCAAGAAAAGAAAGAAGCGTCCACAGTGGAAATAGAGCAACCCGGACATCTTCCGCAAGAGGTGGAAGAGGGTGAGGCACCTCCCGTGACAAACAGCGAGATAGATCAAACCGATCCAGATACAAAAGAAATCAGAAGTGAGAATGATGAGCAAGATACCGCAAAGCCGGATCTAGCTGATAGCGAGCTAGAACTTCAAAACCAACAACAAGCTGCGACGAAGATCCAGGCTCGAGCAAGGGGGATGCATGCTCGGCGGGAAGTCAGCAGGAGGCGGCAGTCTGCTGCGGGGGAGCAAGGAGCAGGCCAAGACCCGGCAGGAGACGCCGAGCCGGTGGCAGACGAGCAGGAGGGAGATGTAGACGGAGGAGCAGGCGTGGAGGAAGGAGGAGAGGGAACAGAGGGAGGAGAGGACGGGGAGGGTCACGAGCACAAGGCAGCGACGAAGATCCAGGCTCGAGCAAGGGGGATGCATGCTCGGCGGGAAGTCAGCAGGAGGCGGCAGTCTGCTGCGGGGGAGCAAGGAGCAGGCCAAGACCCGGCAGGAGACGCCGAGCCGGTGGCAGACGAGCAGGAGGGAGACGGAGGAGCAGGCGTGGAGGAAGGAGGAGAGGGAACAGAGGGAGGAGAGGACGGGGAGGGTCACGAGCACAAGGCAGCGACGAAGATCCAGGCTCGAGCGAGGGGGATGCATGCTCGGCGGGAAGTCAGCAGGAGGCGGCAGTCTGCTGCGGGGGAGCAAGGAGCAGGCCAAGACCCGGCAGGAGATGCCGAGCCGGTGGCAGACGAGCAGGAGGGAGATGTAGACGGAGGAGCAGGCGTGGAGGAAGGAGGAGAGGGAACAGAGGGAGGAGAGGACGGGGAGGGTCACGAGCACAAGGCAGCGACGAAGATCCAGGCTCGAGCAAGGGGGATGCATGCTCGGCGGGAAGTCAGCAGGAGGCGGCAGTCTGCTGCGGGGGAGCAAGGAGCAGGCCAAGACCCGGCAGGAGACGCCGAGCCGGTGGCAGACGAGCAGGAGGGAGACGGAGGAGCAGACGTGGAGGAAGGAGGAGAGGAGGTAGAGGGAGGAGAGGACGGGGAGTGTCACGAGCACAAGGCAGCGACGAAGATCCAGGCTCGAGCAAGGGGGATGCATGCTCGTCGTCGAGCAAAAGATTCTAAGTCTTATGGGCGAGAAGTGTCAGGGATGAGAAGAGGGTCGGAAGAAGAGAAGTCTCCAGCCGAGGAGCATGACGGGAGGAGAGCTCAAGTTCCAAGCGCTCAGCTCTCTTCCTCTCCTGAAGGAGGTTCGGGTGAGGAACACGTGGGAAGCAGTTTTGCTGATTTTCTCTCCAGGAGTCGGGGTAGCTCACCCTCGGAAGAAGAAAGTTGCAAAGTTTGCTGGGGACGATGAGGGACAAGAAAGGGGAGCTCGGGGTGTCGGCTTTGCCAAGCAGGACGCTCACCCTGCTCCACAGCGCAGAGCAGTGAAACTCTCTCCCACTACTCCCCCAAGGAGACTGAAGGAACCAAGTTTGCACCTAGAGGAGGGAAGGCACGCTCGATTCGCCTCTGCGGACGTGTATGAGGAGATCCCAGCGAGGGAGGAAGTATCAGGTAGCCAGCCGAGCGAGGACGGGTTCTCTTCAGAAGCAAACCCTGGCGACGAGGAGGAAGACATACCCCTCTCACAGCTGAAGGGTCCTGTGCCCTTAGGTAGAGGACCAAGGGGAGGAGGGCTAGCATGACCGGTCTCTGTCCCTCAGGTAGCCCGAGACCCCACCTCTTCCGCTATTCTCCTCCTGCTGATGGCGCAAAGCCTCAGCGACTGGAACTTGATTCGCCTCGTTCGGGAGGGGAGAGCAACGGTGAAGCATGAACCTCCTCCTCCTCCTCCTCCACCACCACCACCACCTCCTCCTCCTCCTCCTCCTGTCTTCCTCACATTCACCCAGAATCCTTCTCAAGCGGAAGCAAGAAAATGTTTAGAGCCGACCACTCACCATCTCGAGTGGAGGCGGGCGATGATGCTCTGCTGCGAGGCTTGAAGGAGAAGCTTGCGTCGGTGAGCAGAGTCTTTGTCGCCTGCTCCAGTGACGCCCATGGGATTGAAGGTGGAGGAGCGGATAGACAGCAACCAACGCCTCCTTTTGGACTCACTCGACATAACTCAGGTGATTCTCCTCCTCCCTCCTCCTTCCCACTCCCTCCCCCCTTCACCCCCCCATGCTCATTCCCCCCTGCTCCCTTCTCCCGCTTCCTCTCCATCGCTCATCACATTCTCCTCAGAACGTCGATGTCGACACAATCCAGCAAGCCAATGAGAGAGTGGAGAAGCTCATGCAGTTAAGCAGCAGATTCTCAT